GACACCTACTTTGGACAAATTATACTCCTTTGCCACCATAAATGACTATAAATCTTAAATGATCGTCCGCCTTTCCTCGCCATGACTGGCAAAATATAACTACTCGTTATGAAAATATAGAATGTGGGATTCGAAAGGTATCCTAACGAAACAACTAATTCGGGCATATGCCGTTCACGATTAGGTAAATTGGAAACATCGATCAGGGGAGAGCGAAAACCAATTGACACGTGGATAGCCTAGTCCTTTGAAATGAACTGGCCTTGAAAACGATGGAAATCCAGCCGATCTACGTGGTCGATACGTATCCTGGGAATAACTCAATTATCGACAACAAGACTTGGATCGGTCCTTGAGGTAAATAATCCTCGTCGTTTTTTACTTGTTACCCGCGAGCAAAACGACGTTTAATTGATCACGAATAGGACTCCGCTAAAGGAGAGATCATACTCTACTTGGCTGTCGACGACATCTCGATCGAGGCTTGTCCCGTTATTATTCTTAATAGCCCGAGCGATTTAAAATCGCGACGACGCGACGTTCGTTAGTCGATGGAATTCTATACATTAGGTTTCTATAAATTTGTTTTCAGAGCAAGATTCGAGTCTGTTCAATTTCACAGTAACTTGTTAATCATTTAAACACGATAAATACAGAAATTTCAAGATAAAACGAAAGAAATGGTTGGTCCATCCAGTTTTGATGTCGACATGGTTGCTCGACGTTGCTTGTTCTCCAGAGTCAAATGGCACACGCTCTGTGAGTGAATCCTATCTGGGGGGGGGGGGAGAACGACGGCGCATCGCGATCTCGTTGCACCATTCCAGTGGTCGGCACGGACATTTCACCTTTAAGAATCGCGCACTGACCTCCTGAACTCGATGATCGGGGGAAAAAATCCGCCGATGGAACCCGATCGACCAGTTTCAACCGCGTTTTTCACAGGAATCGACGTTAATCGACGTTCGCTGGGAAGCGTGAGACTAGAGAGGATCGAGACCGAGCATTTCGATCGTAACAGATGGGAAACAAACCTCCGATCGATTATTTCAAAGAGAATCAAGCATCTTTAACCGGTCTTATTACGTTTAATTGCTAATTACTTTGTCGGTTGTCTCTCTGTACTTGTACATGGCACGTACTACGATTCCTACTCGACGCCAAACCTTGGAGAATGCCGATGGTCAACTTGTTCCAGCAACGGGTGTATCTCAGTAGAGACTTGTAGGAAGACCAAAAATGTCGAGCAATCTTGTTTATCCACGAGTAGGTTGTGCAAAGATGGGAAAAGAGCCGATCGCGTACGCCGCGACGAAAGTACCCTTTCCCCCCCCCATGAACGGTCTAGACAGAAGAGGAAATTGCAGAACAATTGTTAAGTAATTCCCCTATCGGTTACGTTTTATATAATAACTTGAAACTGTATCTCCGAGAGCCTGTCCCTTTCTTTCTCGGTTTCGAATGCGATTCAGAGACTTATCGATCCCCGTTAATTATATTATCCAACAACGATTTTTAAGGTCTCGTTGGCAACAAACATTATCGTTAACCCGTTGTTATGTCATCGCAATTAAACGGAAAGATCGGTTGACGAAACGCACGCGATACGTTCGAACGTGGGAATCTGGTTTCGAATAAAACGAATCGCTAACGATTAATAAACGTTCCCGTCGAATCATTAATTACTTATAGATTCGAGACACGAATTACGGTGAAAGGTAGTTGATTTGACAGCGTGTCTATCGTCAAATGTTATAGACATCGTACGATTCCTGGACAAAAGGATGCCGCTACGTATCGAATTTTTTCCTATTTCGCACTATTCACCCGAGAAAACGTGTTAACATTTTTCGAAATTCTTCCACGTACAGGGTGGACCGCGATACTTGATCAGCTTAATTTACCCTATCGCTAACGGGTCGCGCTATCTTTTTGTCTCGCAGCGTACGCAGTACGTGTTCCTCGTTGTTGGTAACGGATAGATAAATTCGATCGCGACACGTTGGCCTTCGGATGTCCGTGAAATATCAAATATCTTTTTTTTTTATACCAGGAAACCGGTGGTCACTCTTGTATGCTGAACAAACGTTGGCCCACTAATGGAGGAACGTTTATCAAACATTTACATTCAAGGTACGCGATGCGGAGTACATTTCGCGTTCAGGCCTAACATCGAGTGTCCATTGTTTATTTAGTCGCCTTAAGATTCCGACTACGTTATTAGAAAGATAGACATTTCGCTCCATTGCCTAAACTCCACGATAACTGTAAAAGTCTCGTAAAAGTTTGTAAAATATCAACGCCTGTAAATTCTATGTATAGGATGCGTCCTAACAGAATCTACTTTTCTGCGATCGATCGAGGACACGGAATCGTTTCTGTTTGCTTTTTACAGTTCGTGTGACCAGCAGCTGCGAAAAGAAAAACCAATACATCAAATTTCGGACATTTCTGCCTCTCTACTTATTAATTCAATCTTGGCCCTGTTAGATTTCCGTTCTCGGAGTAAGTGGCTCCTCGATCCACAGCACAGCTCCGATCTATCGCGTACCGACAGAACTTATCCTGTCTCCAAACAGTCTACAAATCAAATGTCGGTAGCTGCTCGCTGTACTCAAACGTTTAACGGAGTTTTCAACAAACATAGGAGCGTACCGCCGGTTCCTCTCCATTAACGTGCTGATTCCTCGAGTGTATACTTGCGTGCCATTATTTCAAGTTTCTAAGCCCGAGCGAAGAGAACAGCTATCTCATTAAAGCTTTGTATAATGTAAATCTATGGCGATAAATGATATAATTTTAAAGAATTCTATGTGTTCTCACCATTTTTACCATTCTCTGTTCCTCGCCAAATCATTCCCGTACTTATAAGATACATGCCACCTCTTCGCAAGGCCGCCAGCATTTTGGAAAAGTTCCGGACACTTTGTAAATCCGGATTTGGCCTTGACCCAGTTTCAAAACTGGGTCAAGGCCATCTGAAATTTAGGCTGGGGGAGGCTGGCAGTAGCCAGTAGTAATCGTTACACGTTGTCAGAAGTATCAGCAATGGTCAGCAATGGTCAGCAATGGTCAGCAATGGTCAGCAATGGTCAGCAGAGGCCTGTAGTACGGAACGAAAAATTGTTAGTTTCGTTCAACTTTTTCATACGATTTCTATATAAAAAAGTGAGCCTTTCTCCCTCGACTCCTACGAAACGGTCCGAAATTACTTGACTGTCCGAAACTCGTCCTAGCTCACGTACGCGTGATCGGGCATAGTGTGAGAAAGTGGAAAGAGGTGTCCTGGGTGCACTCGGGGACTTCGTCTAGCATCTCTGAGCTATCCTCGTATCAGATACGATCTCTCGGCGCGTCAAGTGGTCCTTTGGTTTGCTCGCGCCAAGAGGAAGCAACTCGTCGTCGGTTGTTGTACGTTTTTCGATGAACACGAGAAAGCCGGGGAACACGTCTATTGGATGGACATCGCGGACCCGTCGCAACCGGCGAGTCATTCCAATTATAACCTTAATTAGAGAGCGGATTCATTAGATTTTTATTACCGTCTTTGCTCTTATCCTGATGGTCGTGATGTATTGTTGACCCCGGGTCGAAAGTTTCCTCTAACGGTTACGTAAGCGTCTCTTAGAAAGCATTTCGAACGTTTCTGATTAGCGACGGATACACCGTTTCCTCCATTTTAATCGGTCCGCACTAAAACGGGATAGGATCGAATATAATCGGAGGGGAGAAACTAACGATGGTTCGATAACCGTGTTATAATTATCGATTTTTATCCATCTTATTCGAAGATCGATCCGAGTAATTCTAGGTTTGGTCCAACAAGAGCTACGGAGAGAACCAGAATTCGAAACAAGACTAATTATGGGTTCGGTTGGTCTGCTGGACCGAACGAACGAACGAACGAACGAACGAACGAACGAACGAACAAACGAACAAACGAACGAACGAAATCGACAGGATTGAGAAGGAAAATCGAAAAGAACTGGTGCATTCGATTATCGGTTTAATGAAATTAGGGACACAAGGCTGATGATTCTAGGATTGAGTTAGCCAAGATGATGGATGAGTGTTGATGCGAGGAGCACAGAGAGAAATGGCATTACTCGCGGTAATCACTTAGGACAGTGTTTCTCAAACTTTATCTGCCCACAGACACCCTTAATAAATATCCATTTTGTTAATATAAACTAAAACTAGTTAAAAAAATACATGTTTATATTTTATGCTGCTTGTTAGAAATTTTAGTACAAGACGAAACTATGTGGGTTCTTCCTTTCGCGTTCGCGGATCGTTTGAGAAACACTGAGTTTCGACGTATCGTGCAAAGGTTTCGTAATATTTCTTACGTTAAAACTAATGTTAAGCCATTAATCTCAGTTTCGAATATCGTGGTAACATCGTGTTATGTGTTCCATTTTATTGTATTAAAAGTTCTTTTACATAAATAATACACGGTTTCGAAAATGTGGAATTCGAATATCCGAAAGGTATGTTGGACAAATATATTACAAGTAGAAAAGGGAGCTAAACGAAGGATGTCTTTTATTAAAAGTAAAAATACAAAATCGAGGCTTACGCGCGTTCTTATTATTAAACTATCCCCTTAGAAAAAGAATAACCTAAATTACGAGCTACGGTTTAAGTACGTATGTACGCTTCATTCGTCTCAACAATAATTTCTCTCATTCCAATGCATAAATATTCCACGTGAAACTCGTAGTGACCAACGATGATTAAAGTCCGTCTTTTTCGTACGAATCGACATTAATGCCACGATGCAACGATCGATTCCAAAGGAAAGGGGATTGTAACAAAAAAATAATCAGGTCTGGCGTAACAATTTGCCAACCGAATCGATACGTATTACCGTAAAACAACAATTTCCAGGAAAAGGCAACCGTTCTTGCTGTTATGGTAGCTCGGATTACCGATCGGACATAGCCGCTTTCAAACGAATCTAATACATACTTTCTACAGTCTGATTAGATTTCCAGGGACAGAAGTTGTATCAACCATTTCCGCGCATTAATCGCTAGAACCTAACGTTAGACGTCCGCGAGTTTGTGAAACTCGTGCCATCCAGTCGTTGGACAAATTTAACAACAAACAAAGATTCTTACGGTACAGAGTATTTTACACGTAATCTACGGTCTAGCATAATCTGAAGAGTACGTACTTGAAGGATGCTCGTCGCACTAGGTGCAAGTTCCATCGTTGGTTTTCGAAATGGGCGTCAGGATGCTCAATTCCTGATCCGAATTCGGTGGCGTGAGGGCGTCCGTGGGCGTCCTCGAGATCATTCTCGTCTGAACAACTCTGGACGACTCTGTTCCAACAACAGCGGCGGCGGCGGCGGCGGCGGCGACGGCGACGGCGACGGCGACGGCATCGGTCTGCGTGTTCTTCGCCTCGACGGGATTGTTGACGGTGCACTTCTTAAAGTGTGTCCTCATGTTACTGCTCTGCGAGAATCTTAGTCCGCAGTTTGGACAGGAGTAAGGCTTGGTGCCGGTGTGATAATTCAGATGCGTCTTCAGGTGATGTTTCTTGGTGAAAGCTTTCGAGCAGAGCGTGCATTGGTACGGTTTCAATCCGGAGTGAAGTCTGGTATGCAGCGTCATGTTGGACCTATCGGCGAAAGCCTTCTGACAAACCTGACACTGGTAGGGTCGTTCGCCCGAGTGGGTCCTCAAATGCTGCTTGAGCAACATTTTCCTCGAAAATGCCTTCCCGCATTGTTCGCATTGATGAGGCTTCACGCCCGTGTGTATTCTGACGTGCATGTTGTACGCGACCCGCTGGTTGAAGCTTTTTCCGCATTCCTGGCAACCGTACTCCTTCCGGTTGCGGTGGATCTTCATGTGAGAGCTCAGATAGCCACGATCGTTGAAGTACTTGCCACATTCCGGGCAGGTGGCCGCGAACTCTCTGGTGCCCTCGTGGACGCTCCGATGGTACTTGTAATTACGCAATTGCGAGAACTGTTTGCCACAATCGGCGCACCGAAACGGCTTCTCCCCCGAATGGGTCCGTACGTGTACCTGAAACAGATTTCGGAACCTCAGACTCCGGATCGGAACGTGTACGTACATATGTATGGAAAATAAGTGTACGTTTCATTATTTTCATCCGCCAATTGCTACCTTTAAACCAGATACACGATTTAACAAACCGGTTGTTTAAATTCTACTTACGACAGGATGTTATAAAAATGGTATAACAAGTTCTTCGTAAAAGATTCAACAAATACTAATAATGGGTCGCCTTTAAGAGCAACCTACAATTTCCAATATTCATTTACGTACAAATTATTACCAAATAGAAGCTACGCGATAAAATCTCTTAAGTGGTAACATTTTGACAACTCTCCCCTAATTGACTAGTCGGTGAATATTCGAATATATTAGCATTTCGTATTCGCTAGCCACGTAAGTGCAGAATACCTGCTTTATTTGATTTCGGTATTCGGTACTTTTTTTTAATCTATGTAATAAATAACGAACAGGTCGTAGACCTGCTCCAAGACTTTAAATCTTGCGTAAATAAATAACTTTACAGCGATATAAATATTTCATTAATTTAGAAATTCCGTATCGATTTATTTAAAAAAATTTTAACAAGTTCAAGTACCGTTCCGGACCTTTGAAAATTTCATCTCTCTTTCGGAAACCACATTTTCATTTTTATTTAGTTTTACGTTTGTTCGAGAATGCTGCGGCAGCACCACCACCACCAACACTCCTCTATTTCGCCTAATTATACCACGAACTGTTGTACCGTTTCCGATTAGCAGTTCTGCTGTCTAAATACTGTTACAATGATCATCCATATATGTATGTATAGACGAAATCTTGATTAAATATTTTTAACAGCGATAATGCACGACAAAGCAATCCACGGTCTGAATTACACGGACTGAATTCTATGGTTTTACAGACCATTTTTTACGCTATAGAATGATGCTTTCGTCGAGTGAAAGTTCTTCCTTGGGTGTACAATATATCGATTAAAATTTATCTGGGAAATAATTAAAGAGCAACTTAATTACTCTTCGGTTATCTACAGGATAGATACCACTTACGGTACAGTCTCCGTTATACGAACAGAGCATGTTCTTATATCGTCCCTCTCTTTATCGAAAAATCCTTCTATAATAGAGAAAGTAAATTGTTAGGAAAATTTTAAATGTAATCGGAATGACACTATTAAAACTATCTTGGTTAGAAATCTTCCAAGAACCAGAAATATAAAATAATTAATGCAAGGGAAATAAATGTTCTTTTACCTAGAAAATTTCATTAATCAAATGGTTGGATCTCATTAATTTGGATTATGGAATTGTATATTACGCTGTATACCGAATCTATTACAAGATATAATGTTTGAAAATGATGATTTATTAACGTTCCAAGGATCGATTGGACTCTTCCTTGTTTCTTACACGACCTAATCTATCATAGTAATCGTGGCAACAAGTCCTTTCATCCTGACTAGCGTTACATTGCTCCATTTAGTAATTTTTGATCCGCTATTAATTCGATGCTTACATTCTTGATAACCGTTCGATTCTTTAACCGTGGAATTTAATAAATCATCCAGGAAATCATTAATCAGCTGGATCACCGATACTTTTAAGATTACCGGGAAATATTTTTACACTCGGCGGAGCAACAAAGTCTGGAATAGAAGGACAATTATCGATATCCGACTAATCGTGGCTGCCTGGACCGAACAGCTAAGACTATCGGGTAATCAGTGAAAGCGTATCGGTATCTGCAGAGCAATATGATCAATTTTAACCAAACGTGCAACAGATTTTACAGACTTTGGAAAGGTTATTTGTGTTGTATGGAGTTTGTACCTTGAGGGACGCCCTGGTGACGAAAATCTTCCCGCACTGGTCGCACCTATGATTCTCCTCCCCTCCGGCCGGCCTCCCACGCCGAAGAACATCATTCCCGACAATGGAATCGTTGTTATTGTTGTCGCTATTTACAACGAGCCTTTCCGCGAGCTTCTCTTCGTTTCGCTGCTCTGTTTCAGGCCTCTCGGTGCCCAGACTCGCGAAACAATCGTTTTTAACGTCGGGTTCGATCGTGTCGCACAGTCTGCTCACAGGATGAGAGATTTCCGGCTTCTGGGGCGGATGGGGAACAACTTGCCCGAAGTAACCAGCCTGTCTATTAACGTTTTCGTTATCGTTGGTCAACAGGGACCTGGTCGTGGTAGACACAGCGTTGTTCTGCGGTTGCAAAAGCGTCTCGTTGCTTCCGACGTCGTTGTTGATCGTCGGGACGGTGGTCTGCGCGGTCGTGGCGATGAAAGGGATCATCTGCGACGAGTAGAACTCTTGGTGTCGCGTATCTGGAACGACACCAGGGTCCAGCAACCTGGGACCATTGTTACTAATAGGAACTTGGAAACCGTAATAATGATCGATGGACACGGTATTTTTGGAGGGTTGCCGATCAGGGCTGCCGGAGGTCGCGACAGGCCGTGCTGCTGCTTCCGGTGGACGCTGGCTCTCCCCGATCTCCTGCAACAAAGCAATCAGAACTTCTAGCCCGTTCCCCTTAATTTTCCTCCGATCACTATTATTTCGCGTCCGCGAGACTCCGTAGCCCCGTTTGTTCTCGCTTCGATTGCACGTGTGTAGGTAATACAACAATACACCGCTCGAATATCTTCAACCGATTCGGTTTCGAACGACAATTTCATTCATCTGATTTGGGAATGTACGATTTCGCTGCAATGTTAACTAGAGGGATTCTGCTGTTAAAAATTACTTGGATAAATTGTAGAGATAGAGCCATAGAGCTTGTCATTAACAAATGTTTTATGTAGATTTCACGAGCGTGTTCGTGTCGTTAATATTTCCGCGAGCGTAATGAAACGCGATAAGCGAAGAGTCTGTTGCAATAAGGATGTACATATACTATACATACATATACTGTACGTATACTGTTCGGTAATCTATGGTCGAACCGGTAACATTTCCAATCGTCCGTAAAATGGATAAATTGCGGATACATAAACAATCTTTACGATGATCGGCAGACTGTCTTTCTTTGTAGCAATGCTGCAAATGATAGAGAAGCAACCGGAATCGCGCGATAAGGAGATCGGTAAACTAGTGCGTTCGGTGCATTCTGCAACTAGGATCTGGCACGTACAGCGACTCGGACTTTCCTAAACATTCGATCAACAATCGAAATCCGGATTCTAAAGTGGAGGTTACAGAGCCGGGCAATTGAACGAGGTTCCGTACGCAGCAACCTAATAGTTTACCACCTAATTGGGAAATTGTTGGTTGAATCGATCATCGAGTGTATCCACACTTAGGATTTCTTCGAAGCGACACTTTCGTATCGGATGGAACAGGTGTGTGCCACAGTCAAAGTAACGAGCAACGGTATCGTAAGAAAAGGGGGAGGGCCCGACGCGAGAAACACACGGGCCGGCGCGTTGCGCAAGGTCGTAAAGCAATCTGAAAAAATCTGGAGCATATCAGTGCACGTGTCGAAAGAGAAAACGTTCCTCCTTTCCAGATTGCGTGTAATCGCAGGTAAAGCCGAGATTCGCAGCTGGTGTGCGCCAGCTGGTAGCACCTCGAACGAAGAAAAAACGTACACAGAGAAGGAACAAAAAAATAAAAAAAAAAAAAGTTACATAAAGAAAGAAAGAAAGAAAGAAAGAAGAACGTAAAGACGAAAGGACCGCCATGTAACTGATAGTTTCATTAATCAGAATGACATTGGCTAACCGAAAGACCGAGCAGCTGGTCGTACAAGTCCTTTATCACCTGGCACCATCGAATTATTGCAGGCTGGTAAGTGAGCTTGCAAAACCGCATGTCGGGGCCAGCACTGATTCTCCTTGCATATTTTACGGAAGAAAGCAAAATGAACGGCTGCCGTGTACGGACGCAATCGGTTGTTCAGCGTGCTTTCATTTGTGGTGAAAGGTCGATGAAGAATAAGCGGGCCCTGGCTCGCCTGGCTTCTTCCGATCTTCTTGTTTCCTTAAGAAACAACAAGAGATCGCCTATATTTAATAGATAAGTGGCGTGCGCTGTGCTCTTTGGCTCGTATCGATGGCTCGCCGATAAGGGACCAGCGCGGCAGCGTTGGGAATACAGACGAACGATCTAACGATGATCGGGATGTTCCTATCGAGATAAACAACCGAATGAAACACTATCCTTATCGACTCGGAACTTTTTTACCGCACGATTATCCATCGAATAACAATGGTAATTGTTTCTCGCCGGTTACCAGAAGCCTAACCAGTTCGATCTCATATGTTATGCTCGCAGCTTCGCGTCTGCAAAGAAACGAGACGACCGAAAATACACCACGGAACGCGCGTAAATTTTCGAGGCGAATACTATACATATAGATACATATGTATAGCAGAAACGAGGACGATCTCGCGCACTAGGAGACGGGTAAACGTTATGCAATGGACCCGTGCTTGTTCGAAAGATGATCAAACGTGAGCAAGAGAAAGAGAAAGAGTCGGAATTATAGGCAGCGCGGAACGTTGCATGTAGCTACGTAGCGTAAAATCGAATTTTTTCCAAACAGACCCTATGGTTTCTTAGTTTCTAACCAATGACCAATGTCACGGAACAACTGCCGAGAACTCCTTATCGTCTTGATAACTATACTCGAAGAACATGCGATGTCCTGGCGATTAAACACCGTATCGGTTCGATATACATAGATACGTGTACGTTCGTTCGATTTTATGGAATATATTTGGAAATAATAGCAAGCGGAACGGATCAGTGATGTTTGCTCCGTTGTTATCCCCAGAAGAAGCATCTCTGATGCGCGTTCCATATGGTAACGAGACTCGAAGGATGAGTCGTGCAGTCTCCCCTCTGCGATCAACAGCCACAGCAAACAAGTCACTTTCTGTATGAAAGGATACCGTTTGCTACTGGTCGGATTAGTAACCCGATCCGACGAGATTCATGCATGCAACGTGTGACGTAACAATACGAAGCCATGGAACAGGAATCGGTAATTGTATCTAGCTGACAAATCCGCTCGGACAAATTCATCCAGCCTGACGAGACAAAAAGTTGGTTGGATTACAACAAGTTCATTGATCGGCGAATCACGCGTCCCTAATCGAACTCTTTAAAAAGAAATGTTTGTTGATCGATGCTACGTCTCTATCTTGCACGATCTACGCTGGTGCTCCAATTTTCATGAAAGCGGTGAAAGGAAATGCCTCGGGTAAATATGCCTTCGATCTTCTTCCAACGGGGGAAAAGAGTCGCGTTACGTTCAATTGTTGCAACAAGAGTTGCGTTGGAAGAAAGGGAATACATGTCCCGATTCTTGAAGCGTCTACCTGCGAAAACGGTAATCGTATTAATTTTATCGATCGTAACCTGTTCCTCTCAATGTTTCGTTTCGAGGAAAATAATCGAGGAAAGCTTGTTTCGTAACAAGCTGTGAATTTTTCAAACTTTCCACCATTACTCGTAAGCATGGCAAGTGCAACTTGTTAAACTCGTCTTCTTCGTTTATTCTGTCAAAACTCGAACATGATCGGAGCGATGTTTCGATCGACAATTGCACGGCCTAGATTTATTCCAGAGATATGCAAATGCGTACCGCCGCCGCACCCGTTGCAGTGCGGTATTACGACTTGGATCTTATTTTTCTGGATGCACCCGGACTCTGTGCAATCGGATATCGAGGATCGACTGGTTGATACGATAAATAATATACCGAACGGAAGATGATTGGAGAAATACAATAACGAACGCCTTGAAACAGATACATATATCCGGCTACGTGTTTCGGTTCGTATACATACCCGTTCGATTTAAAAGAAAATTCGTTTCTACAGGAATAATCCCGTGTCTATGGTATTTTCGAATTCTGTATCGAGGATCGAACGTAAGAGACGATCGATAAGGACTTACGACGTGATCCGCGTGGGGCTGAAGGACGATCGGCTGCAGCTTGGGCAAGTGATAAGGCCTGACGGTTTGTCTCCACGGCGAGGCTATCACGCGATTGGCCACGTGCCTCTTCGGCGTTTTCCAACCGTAGCAACTTTCCCCGCAAGTTAAATCCTCGCCGTAATCTGATTTATCCAACGACCTCGTGCGACCCGACGATTCCAGGGATGCCGTACCGCCGCTCTGACAGGAGCCAATCCCCGAACGGATCACAGTGAACCGATGTCCTCTGTCCTCCTGGACGGTCTCGTCGTCGGCGTTGATCCCCGTGCAGGTTTCATCGTTTCTGATCCTGAGCTCGAGAGGGTCCAGGTCCCCGTGGACTTTGTAAGGACACCTCGTGAAACAGAATTCCTGCTGGGCCTTGACCGGCGAACGTTCCGCGTTGCTGTCGCTCGGCTCGGTAATCCTATCGATTCTGGGCGCCATCGAGGCAGGACGATACCTCCTCACGTCCGTCTGATTCGTCCTTTCGTTATCCGACGTCCGATCTGCGCCTCGGACGATCTTTTCCTGGCTGGCATTTACGAAAGCGGGAACGGGCCAGGTTGTAGAGCAATATCTGCCCGGGCCGTATCTCGGCCCGGCAAAGTTCATCGATTCAGGAAGCGGTCCGATTTCTCTCGCGGCTACCAAGGACTCGATCGCCGGATAGGGGGGTTCCTCCTTGCTCGCTGGACCTCCATCGTCTTGATCGGGCCCGGTTGGCCGGTACCAACCGTCGCAGCACGGATACTGCTCGCACCGCAAATACTTTGGGTTGATCTTCACGTCTTTGATGTCCTCGTGGTTGCAGTGCGGCTGCGCGCAGGTCATCACGACCGGGACTGGCGGCAGCCTGATGTGCAGGGCCTCCGCAGCGCGCAGAAACGCGTTCAGACGCGGACGGGGCACCGTTGCGGTACCCGTGTACACGAAACCAAGGATCGCTGCGAGTTCCGGTGCCTCCACCTCCGCGAGGATCACCGTGATTGGCTCGCAATGTCCAGAGGTTTTGCTATGCGCCAGCAACACTTCCTGAAACCAGAAAACCCGAGCCCGCGATTATTCCACGATTTTTTAACCTCGAGCAGCGCGCCTCATTTTTAACACAACAGCCATTATTTTCGGAATCGTTTCCAGGCTGTTGCCCGACCAGATGCAAACCCAACATCCTCGCCCTTCAAATACATCGCCCGGCCTCTATACCTAGAAAATCTACAAGTCGGATCTCCACTCCTTTTCCTACAATCTTGCGATAACGTTTCTTCGATGTTCTCCAACGGTTTCATCCATGCCGACTAATTGCGCGGCTATACATCACACGCGACCATCCAAGGATAACAGTTAACGTTACGTTCATGACTCGATCGCACGAAAACTGACATTCGTGGAAATCGGCACGAGTTTGTAAATGGTACGCACACCGGGATTACAAACGCGACGTTCTGCATGCAACGCGAAACACGCAGCTACGTAGACATTATCTGCACTCGTAAATCTTCGGGGTAGAGGTAACGCCGAGCACTCGTACATTCCGAATTGCCAGAGGAGAAGGAGCCTTCCGACGACACAAAGACGTTCCGAGTAAACGGAACGCGTATCACGCTCCTCACCGGGAGATATAGCGCCTGCATAAATTATTTCAGGTGCGAATAACCGTGAATCTTAGATACGTGTTAATAACTCTTAATGACAGAACGTAAACGATCAAGGAAACGTTCAAGGTAGTCAAGACTAACGGTGTTCGCCTTCCGTGATAACATTAAAACAAATATGTACATACATTCAGCCGTCTTGATCAAACGTCATTTCTATTATTATTGTTATTATTATTAGGCGTTGTTGTTGCCCCAAACTATGTATAATGCCCTGTCACTTGTTTTGACATTCCTTTCTAAACAAACATCCGAAATCGTTCTTTCACTTTTTAACGGAACCTCGGACCGGACACAAGTATCGCACCTCTTTAAAATTCGACCTTCCGATTCTGTTACACGATCTAAACATTCCGTTATCTGCAGGGTAAGGATTAAAATATGTAGTTTCAACAGGACGGCTTACCAGCACATAATTCTACAGTTGCTACATCTTTCGTTAAATAGAACTAATAATATACATATGTATATTGCCAACAACCTCTGACAATAACGCTTAACGAAGGATTTCAATAGGTATTTTCGCAATCGCTTCAGAACTGAACCGTTAATCTTCGATCGATTTGAATTATTCAGCCGATTAGAATGTAAATATGTCGTCTATGGTAGATCGAATAATTAATATTGTCGAACGCTCGAAACTCTGGAAAGAAAATAAAAAAACTGTAGACATTTTAAGATGTTTAGCGTCTATTCTCCTTGTCGATATATGTACGTCTACGAGACAAATTACACCGTATCAACGGCTAACATTACACGTACCAGCAGGAAGTACGTAATTATTGTACTAATTTTCTGTCAAGGTATAACCGCAAACTGCCATACGAGATATAAGTGATGACGCTCATTACGCGGTTCCCTGCAGACCTTTTTCCACTATTATTCACAGCCCCGCCATCCACCGGCATGCGCGAGCATAAACGATCAAGGGACAATTAAGTACTGTATCTGGTCATTGGAAAAATAACGTAAATAGTTGCTATAGAATAATACTTGATACCAAGTATAACGAGAGTAATTTCGCGAGCGTTCCAGGCCTTATTTTATTTGCTTTTCGATCGTTTCTATACAAATAAGGTGTAAATTACACTCGTGTTGCCGATTTCATCGTAAAAAAGGAACAGATTTATGGATTGTTTCATCGAGGTATGTATGTGGGTATTCGAAACGTTGCCAATTACAATAAAATGCTCGTAGAATCGTTAGATAAATATGGAATAACAGTCGTATTAGGAAAATGTTTATACGTGTTAATCGTGTATAGTGGCAAATTAAGCGTTATTGGTATTTAATGGATTTTTCGAGGATCGCACCATACCCCCGATAGATGATGTCATCGAAACGATGATACGAAAGAATTCATACCTTCCCGAGTACTTTGAATTTCAAATGGAAATTATGTTGTTGCGTCAGATAGGCACTAACGTCTTCTACAATTACCGGGGATCGTGTAAAGATTCTTCGAGTTTTGCGAGTAACGGTATAAATTGTAAAACCTGCCGTGAATTCGTAATAGAAGTTCTATTAGAAAATCAAGCCTATATTCGATGTTATGCTAATCGCAGTATATCATTCGGTACAAGGTTTTTACCATAAATAGAAAATTAGCTATAAATATGAATATACATATAGTATAACGAAATTATGTAGAAAGTATATCGATGCGGACGATGGTCACGGTAAAACTTTCGACTGTCAAGCCAGTGACGAGACGAGTCATTAAATTCGTCTCTATAAGGAGCCAAGTCATTTAAAGGTTATTAAGTTGACCTTGCGGTGCCATTAACACCTATACCTCTAGCTTATTAGTTTAAAACCGTATAAAATCGAGGAAGGAATTGGAACAAACGTCCGTTATCTCCAAACAGATTAATTTAACTCGACGTATGCCTAAGGTAATCTAACTGTACCGTGGATGCGAACAATACGCGTTCGTTTACACGTTCAAGAGCCAACGACGTTTCCCCTGGAAGAAGCGAGAGGACAGCTTCTACTAAATTGCTTTTTAGAACCGGGACTCGAAGAATGTCAGCGATCCAGAGACACGTTTCTAACGTTCCCAACGATAATATTATCTGCTCCGAAATGGGGTAGTTTGCTCCAGAGGTCTAACGGGGTCCTTTCTATGCAACGTTCTTAAATATCGGTTAAATCTTGCAGAGAAGACAAGCGATTCTTTTAAAAACTTTGCACGCGGCTCAAGTCTGAAAAGAAATATAGTTTTTTTAGTAAGTCAAAATGTGTAGAAATGTTTAATAATAATAATGATCGAGGTGGTACGTACGGTCAGGTGTGCAAGTGGAACAGTGTCGCACGTAAACGATACGTCTACAACGACCGCGTAAATCCATCGAGTATTCTTATTAATCATTGTACCCGATTAGCGATCCGATAGGTCTGCGTGTAAATCAGCCGAGGGAATAGTGCGGAGAACAGAAGCAGACTGAAAGAAAAGTAGGGAAAGGAAGGAGGCTGGCTTGTGGCAAACGTGATAAGTTGCTCGGCAAATGAAATAAATGTTGGGGTTCGCGTGTAACGCTAATAAGAAACGCGGATAAAATCTGTTCCGTAAGGTCGCGGCTTCGATACCGGACATCCCATCTATCTATCGATCGAGACTTTCATCGATTTTATGCACCGGTGATATTCGGTAAAAGCCATACTCTGCCCTCGGGCGAATATGCAAACGAGTAGTCGCGCAAATAATTACCGATCAAATTTTATTTGAATAAAAATTCATCGAGGATAGAATAAAAAAGAAAATAATAGGATAAATAGAAGATTTGAGAAAAAGTAAAGAGTTAAATTAATTAGCTTCGAATCCCGATAAGCCTAGATTCGCCACTGGCGATAGGCGATAAATTATCATAGCTACATATGTGCGAACAACGGTCAGCAGTGCGGCTATCGTTTCTACATTAACAGAAATAGCAGTTGACTAAAAAGTAGAGAATTTCATTTTAATATATTATCAAGCTGTTGTCGTTGATATATCGTGATCTACATATAATCAAGTTTAATTACATGACTTTTTTCTTTAAGGTAACCAAGATTAACAACCTGTGCTGTTTGAGAATTAATTTCAGAATTTACGCTGCACCGACTACATACTGTGTCAAGGAAAATGTAAAAATAGTAATAATAGTAGGAGAAAGTTTCGATGTTGTCTGATAATGGTAATTAATTGTTCGGTAATTATTCGGTATAAAAAATTGGACGATGTAAGAATAAAGATCGGCGCGGCTTGAAAAGTTAAACGGTGACTTGAACGCGCGCATAAGGAACGATCATAGTGTACATATGTGTATAAGTAGTAGGTACCTACATAGTCGTGTAGTTGTTGCGCGCGACTTGGAACAACATCCAAACTCATAGAGCGTTGTTTATTTTGAAAAAAGATTAGAGTGTGTTGCACGAAGCAAAGGGCGAGATCATTTCGTAGCGGAAAATGCACGCGTCTACGTGGAAGTTTATGACAATGCGTACGAAGAACGTTCGCGAGAGGGGAGAGTGTGCGCTATCTTGGGAATATAGTGAATCAACTGCCATAAAATAGCTGCGTGCAAGAATTTTAATGGTCCGCGAGCTGGTGTATCTCTGGAGATCAAACGCGGCGTTTAGCATGCATCAACTTGTATACCGCATATAGCGCGTCCTACGTGCTAGAACCTCTTACTTTTTACGAGACACCGAAACGGTAAATGAAATCATTAGGGTGCGCTGACCCGCCTATCGAACCTTCTTATCAAACAGATGCATACACGTCCCATGATCATTGGCATGCTCTTCTAAGATCAAACACGCATCTTCTACGCATTGTGATCGACGAGATCGCTCCTTGGAACAAACTGATATCAAATTGCAAATTAATTGTGGGAAACTTGAGACACTCTCGAGATACGCCTGCTGAACCTGCTGAATTTCTAAGTGTGTACTATCAAGCGTTCCATACATTAGCTGGCTGCTGCATTCTGTTGTACCTTTAAGCATGGAACTTGATGACGAGAGCGTAACTATTTTACGGGCTATATCTACGTGCGGTCTTGAATAAGATTCGGAATCAGGAAACGTGACATTGAAGCGTACGTAGGGAGAGTAGAACTGGACTGTAGAAAAAGAAGCGTTCAATTATCTAAGAATTGTCGACGACGTAACAGAGAGCGTAACAGGGTATGGAATATGGCAATCGGCTCGACGACAAAGATGGTAACGGGGAAACGGGCCGTAAGTAGTTCTCATTATCGACTGGTTAAACGTGAATTCCGAATTCAGGATCCCGGTAGCGACATTTGTTTCAGAATGCTCGCGGTTCGGACAAAAAACGGGAGGAAAAAAAGTGGTGCATGCGCGCGGAACCTTTCGCAGAGAGATTTGCACCGTGTAATTTTTAAGGCGCGTTTACCAGCCGTCAAGAATAAGAGAGCAATCAAGAAGGAAATAAGAAGAGCGATCAAATTGAAAACGATCGTCGGAAAATTACACCGGGCTAAAAAAATTAACCAGATAAAATGTCACAATTACGTGGATTCGCTGACTTGTGCAACGAACGTAGAGACACGGAGAGTTGGATGGAGGAATTAAAGTTGGCTCGAATAAAACGAAGCGTTCTCGAGGTTTGCAAATACCATTGTGAAATACATAACACCGAACTATCTTAGGTTTCTTCTCGGTTGATATGCTGCTTACAAACTTCCGCGTGTAAACTCTGTCTGTGTGTGTGTCTTGGAAAAAGTTTATTTTACCATCTTCTGTTTAGTAAGAAGAAAGAAACTGAAAAGAGCTACCGATTTTTACACGATCGATTCCCATTAAGCACTCTTAATTTATCGATGTCTGATTCGTGAAATGTTTATCGCCGCATAACGATACGGTGCTATTCTCTAATTCCCTTCTTTATTTTGTTATAAATTCACGACACGAGATTGCGAATAAATGGATGTTTCCTTTGGAAACTGGAATTTTATCACTATGTATCGTGGCAATTAAATTTAATGCTCGAGCATTGGTGACCATCGTTAGCATCGCGCGACAATCGTGTAAAAATCTTGATTTACTCGCGCGTATACATGTATCTACGTAGAAATAAAATTTAAGACTGGATTCTCAAGCTATCTCCCATTCGATTGTTTAAACTCTGGTCTTACGTCGACTTTAAAATGATCATTACCGCTTAATATTTGATCAATGAACGACACGATTCACTGGTATTGCTAATAACATACGAGGCTCGGTTTATTAATTACTTTTCAACTATACGCACAGGAGCGCGAGTTACGAACGAACCGAGTCGCGGCACGTATGCAATTAACGCATTCCTTCTTGATAACACACTCTACTCCTGCATTTTCCTATTACAAACCATCCCGATTCACTGCGATTTCCCATTAATATCGCGCAATTTAACCCATACTGATTTATCTAGGTTGTAAGAGGCATGGTGTGTCTCGTGTAAGTCGTGTAAGTCGACGTTTCTTACGAATATTGGCACGATAAAACTAACCACGCGCTCAATTGTTCATATAGTTTCGATCTTGTGTTATTTAAAACAAACTATAAAAATGAATGTTGTTTAAATCGTTGTCAAGAAGAATGCATAGAATGAGTACAATTAAATGCACCGTACAGCGTGCGATGGATGCAGTTCCAGACATTGTATTGTATACGTAGATACGTATGTATGTATGTAGTAAGGAATTAGAGACATACCAATCGCAGAATGCAGTTCCCCTTATCTGCATTACGTATGTATGTATTATATATTGATTATTCGGTTCCCCTCAATTTCCGGAAAAACAATTTTTCACCAACTAAAAAATGAAATGTATCAAGACGAATGTGTACTATGCTGTACCGAGTATCGATATTGGCGCGCTGAATACCAAACAGGGCTTTGCCCAAGCGCCTTCTATTCCAAAGAATGTCACAGAAATTATAACAAGAATCAGCACACGCTACCGTAACGTAACTTTTACAACAATTTTCTATATCTGCTAAAGCGAAACATGACCATTTTCCGACTGCTACACGCTATTTACGACGAGGATCCTACTCCTACTTTGTACAATTTAAACATACTGCTACGATCTTTGTAGCGTCAGGTATAAAAACAGCTATTGTACCGTTGAAACTACCGTGAATTTAGAGATCAGAGTGACAACTTGATGGGAAACAATTAGCGAGCTGGCCTATCGGACGAGAGAAGCGTATAATTAAAAACGACTGACCGAATTCACTACTTTCACTATTTACATCTACTTGGAGAGTCGTACGTTACTAGTGGATCAATAAGCTCGGTGATTAATGACCGGCGCAACTCGTTGGCTATCTTTGAACAGAAGTTAGCTCACTTTATGGCCGGCTTACTCCATTAAGTACATTGTAAATACTTGAGTGTAAGCTGTAGAACGTACGTATTTGGAATCCAGCTTTTTGCTCCTTCTACACGCGGCAGACAACCGGAAGCTACGTTTTCTCGGGCAGTATTAACGTTCATATTACACGTATGTGTATGTGTTTTCTATCTCTCGTTCTCCTCCAAGATGAGTTACATTCATACGCGCGCGTATATGGTTAACGATCCTTGTTACGAGACGAACGAGATGATTCGTTTCCTGATTTCTGACTCACGTGACGCGGCATTAGATGTATACGGTCGGTCGTTATTTAAAAAGACGGTTACTAAACAATCACGTTTTTACCGTGTAATGGTTGGTCTGGATTAGGCCGCGTCCACGCCAGCACAAATTTAATTAAAACGTTTACGATCTTTCGATGATATTTCGACTTCCTCCTCGATAATAATAAATCAATACCAGCGAAATTATTTTCGAAATACTACACCATCAACACCACCACCAGCACCCGGCCGCCACGCCGCACCGCTACTCTATAGGCTGACGTTTATGGTTATTAAGCTCTTAGCCGAGTTTGTAATCAATTCGCTTCGCTAAAAACCACACGGAGATAATGTTACACTGTGTTCTGTAGAAATTAAGCATTCGGTAAAAATCCTACTGCACCTTCGTTCCTGCTAATTGATTTGTTCTTCCGATGATAAATGCTCGCGTTAAATTGTCGAGATTTTCGAAACCTAGATTCCTGTGCTTGGACATTCTACAATAAGAACAAATAGGAACCGGATATTAACAGTTTTACGGCCGGTGTCGCGTGTACGTGATTCTACAATGTCTAACCTTTGTTAGCGTACTGATCTATGCTGCGATCGAGTTAATTAGTAAAAAGAGTACCGACCTGCAAGTAAGGACTAGCGGCTGATAGGACCAAACGATGCGCCAAGAATTTCTGGCCGCCAGGACAGCAGAGAGCAACGTCGGCGAATCTCTGGGACAGCATCGCCTCCTTCAGGAACTCCCCGACATCCGGTGCTCTGCCAGAAACGCGGATCACTTCTCCCATCATGCTCCAGCTCGTGTACAATAACACACTGTATTCACAATGGTCCGCGGTCATCAAGAAATCGAGAGATCAAGCATGATAATCCGTTAACAGAACTAAGTTACGCTTCGCTCTGTTACTCTTTCCTTCACGTTGCACTCGAGCATACTCGATTTCCATTACGTGTCCACGTGACCAAACGATCCACGACAGTTTATCAAAGTCTCTCCGTGCGTTCTTACAAATAGGAGCTAATTATCCGAGGTACAATTCCATTATCGATGCCCGACATAAGCCACCGCTACAAGAGAAACAAACAGATCAGAATTGAAACATTTTCAGGGAGGCCCGATCCGAAGCGACCCCTAACACGTCAAGGCAACTCTCTTCTCTCCATCGATTTCACCTACATACCGTGTACATACATAAACAGTCTCCGTTACGACTAGGAAATAATTCGTTATTATTTTATGGCTCGTCGTTAAACGAGAGACGAGCACATTGCGACCTCTTGCCGCGTAGATACAGCGATAATATTAAAAAAAAAACCACGAGGTTTTATTACGGTTTACCGGACCGGTGGTTTTATCGAATCGAGCATCCCCGCCCCCCTTCTGATGCCGCTGTACTGTGAAATCACTTTGTGGCCAAGTAGTAATTGATACTTAATAACACAACGATCGAAACGAGCGCGTAGATCGTGCTGTCGTACGCATCGTTGAACAAAGTTATTCGATCGCGATTCTAATAGCCTCCGAACACCCTCGAGCTGCTCTTTTCATTTACGAACAATCGTGTGTTTTAAAGAAAAATAAATAAACCAACCGACATTTCCCTACGACTGTCTCAAACACTGATACCCCGATATCGTAACAGTTTAAGAACCAAATTACAATTTTAGTATGCAGTTTCAGCACAAAGGGTTGGTTCGTTGATCTTCCAAGCTAACGAAAGAATGATTTGTTCATTTCACTTTCTCCGTCGATTCTTTCATAATGTTTCGAATTTCTATGGATTCACGGAGCGAGAAAGATTCAATGTTTACGAAACGTGTCGTTATTCATACAGTCGCTCGCAGCTGCCACGTAATTGCTTGGAAATCGAGATCGAAATAGCTTTCGTCGAGATTTACCAACGATTCGAGGTCCCAGCATTTGTCTGCTTGTCGTTCCCGAATCATTTCGAATGCTCCGAATACTCCGGTAGTCTTGATATTCCGTTTAATTATTATCGAGATAACAGCGTTGACCTCCATCGGTACCTTTCGAAAGCGGAACTAATTCATTTGCGTTTGTTTAATCGTTGGAATTGAAACAATGTTCCGATGCGTTCTTCTCGCTAACGAGAACAAATAAAAGAACAAATTCTTACTTGGTGTATCTATTTTACGGTGTTATCGATCGAAGAAACCTTACTCGTTCGTAGGAAACAATCCGTTGGTTCAACCGACACCCCGTCGTCGTCGTCGTCGTCGTCGTCGTCGATTAGAAATTTTAACGGCAAATCGTCCAACTGTTGTCTAATTTTATTCGTGAAACTTTTTCTACGCTAAATGAACCATGCCGCTGTCGATTTAAAAATCAAAGATACATTGATGTTAATCCTCTCCCATAATATTATTCGACGATATAAAAAAAAATTACTAATGGCTTTTCTACCAGACTAACGGGTCGTGATTCGTCCGTTAGACACGGCAGAATGCTTTTGTGAGTCACGATTTTCAATAAGAAGTCCGATAATCGTTAAAATTTTTTTCGATACAAAGATAATATACTATAAATGTTTCTGGTGCTTCTTGAAACTTAATCAGACTCGATAAAACTCGAATTCGTTCTATCGCGACAAACGTTGAACGTGTTCGTTCTCACGATTAAATTCTTTCGATTATTAATAAAAAAAGGTCTTGAATAAACAGTCGATACCTCAACGTTTTTTTTTCCATGTGTTTATCAAATAATCCTTGCGCACGGATAAAACTTGGTTCATGTTTTTCCTCCCCGCTATTTCTTGCACTGTATTACCCGAAACTCTTCTCGATGAAACAATTCCTATTTTCGACTCTGCATAACTTTCGCAAAATTATAAACCATTACGTGGCAATTCGATCAACGGTGCTATCTATACACTTCACCATATTTCTAAGAGGAGGCACGTTATGTTCCATTTTATAGTACATTTTACGAGCCACTTTGTCCAACGATTTAATATATGTACACTAACGATAAAATTTAACAGAGATTTCCCATCACTTCCGACATTTGCGAGTATGTACCTTCTTGGTAAAATAACGTGCAAAGTCTACAAGGTGAACGAATCACGTTACGTATCAACAGGTTCACCACGATTATCGAATGTTTATCGCGATTCTTGATCGCACGATGCATCATCACTGTTCCTCGTAACGTTCACTTTCTATCCGCCGAATGCAAACGTCGTCATATTTCATGTTTCGTATAACCTCTTTTCGTCAAACTTCCGCCACCTTTCGTCGATCGCATTTTCTATATTCGTTCTTTCTTTACGATTCTGACAAGAAAAAAAGAAATCATTACGATGAAACTGTCGGTATTAAAGAATATTTAACGATATCCGTCGATAATTTCGCCGCTTGACGAGGGGGTCTGGTTCGGAAACTTCCAAAGAAATAATGTAAACAGCGCTCGTAAGAGGGAAACTGCATCGAAAGGGAAAAAGAGAGGGAAACAGAGAGAGAGAAGAACCATCGATGACGGATTAACTAACCGTGAAAACGCGTGTATTTCAGCCGCCTGAATATTATTGAATCCGTGTTAAAGCGACCGTAAAAATCCGGCATCGTAAGGTTACGTGTACATGAGTGTAGAGTGAAACGAGAACTCTACTGAGAACTCGCGGGATTCTCTGGATAAGACCGTGTGCTTACGAGATACCCGTCGCTGAACAACTCAGCAGGGCGACTGCCACCTGAAATCGTCAGGTGAGCAGAGACCACCTCTGCTCCTTGCAGTCTCTCAACGGAGAGAGAACTCGAAGGAACTCCTCCCATATCGGTGCTCTACTCCCTCCTCGTAGTTACGTTTCCCATCGTGGCACCGATCACCATGCGGACACTTTGTACCAATCATCAGAAGAAATGGCGCTGCTCTGTTGTTATTACCGAACGCTTCATCATCCCTTTGCGTTCAACACGCTTAACGTTTCTTTCACTCGTCTAGCTTTCTTTATCTTTCTTACGATAATTCCCCCACCCTCCTCCCTTTCCTTAATTTCCTTTGCCGTCATCTTTGAATTCGATCCTAACCTTACCACTACACGCACACGCTGCACAGTACAAACGTAACGTGCTTATTTTCCCTTAAAATCCTACCATTTTTTCCTACGGAATACTTTTTACCGAACAATTTTAGTGCCCGGCTAAAACTGTGGTACAACTAAGTTGCGTGTTATAGGGGTGCGCAGATAGCCCGATTCTCGAATACGAACTGCGCCGAATGGGCCGAATGGGCCGAATGGGCCGAATGGTCCCGAGACAATTTCGCGATGTATTTAAATTGCTGTTTAATTAGTAAAAGAAAATAAAAATAAATTCAGGTGTTCGAAATACATACCGCTCTACTTTATATAGCCGTTAATTTCGATGTAAACCGTGTGGAAGGTTTGTGGGCCACATTTGCCTCGTCCAAGGCACCGTGGTCAGTGCTAAATCCATTAGCACGATGCGAGAACGTTTTCCAGGTTGATTATCGGGTAAATATCAGTTTGTGTCGGTTCCTGTTCTAGCCACGTATCACCACTATCACCCCTTTGCGTCAACGTTCGTGTCAAATTGTCAATATTCCCAATTATCGACATTTCTTTATTCCAATCGAAGCCTGCAACTTTCTAATTGCACAGTCCTGCGACGCAAGATACATATGCAATGCCTTTGCGATGCAACGATTACACAAAGATGCACAATCCTCGCGTTCATTTGTCCAGCTAAATTTTGTCAACGGTCCGATGCATCGCATTTTTACCATTAACCTAATAGGAGCTACGACGAAGAAAAGTTTGGAAAATCTGAAAACAGAAGCTCGAAAAATTATTTAATTGAAAAGTATGAACGTGACTACAACCGATACAAAGGTGAAGGCGTGGACGCCTACGATTTCTTGCAAAATTCCGGATAACATAATTTCCTCGCAGTTCGTTACAAAAAAGGTGTTTGTCCCGTCTTATGAAAAGTGCGTTATCCTTCGTTTCGAGTTAGATTTTCAATAGTAATCGATTCGATTACTTTATAAAGCATAATAGAAATTTTTTTATACAGAGAGAAACGTCCATGCATAGAACAATTACTGACGAACGAATACCAGCGCATCTGGTGGCAGGAAAAAGAATCATGGGACAAAAGACACAGTAGAAAAGTAACCACCAAAACGCTATTGCAACGAATGGTAAGAAACACTCTCACAGATAATAAACCTTTCACATCGTAATGACTTTTGTTTCCTTTTATTTTACCTTTCTCCAGCATTGATTGGCTTTATCATATGCGGAAAGTTGCGTTTAAATGAAATCAAATGCTTCTATTAGATATCGGTTAAACTCGTTGATGATGAGCAGTGCTCATCGCGAATACCAACTAAATACATTTTATGAGTCTTCTTAACGAGAGTGACCATAATTTCGCTCAAGTGCACGAAACACAAAAACAGACAACCGTTTCAACAATTTCACGGTACATTATTCCGTATTTGCCGGCCATTCGTTCACCGCTCATCGCATCCCTGGATCTCTATTTAGAGATTGTGTCTTTGCAAGCAACAAATGTGACTTGTGCTTTAAAACAGCGAGCTATTAATTGCAAGTCTGGCCGTTTCGAAAAATTCGGTCAAAGACAAATACGACACTCTGTACGAAAAGAACTAGGTTGTTACAAGATACGTTATTGTTAAATAAATCTTTCTTTAATACAGATAATTCGAAGAAAACCGCCGACACCGACGTCCGTTGTCGATAAACCGAAGAAAATTAAAAAGCCAGAGAGGAAGAAGAAGGAATCAAAAACCGAAAAGGCGATCGAAAAGCCTTTGAAAAAAGAGAAAAAAGTGGAAATAACAGCTGCAAGGGAAACTACGAAACAAGAGACGGATAATAAATGCGACGAAACTAAATCAAATCCTTCTAATGTACCATAAATCATACTTTCAGCTCGATCAAGAAGGTTTAAAAATATCTGTAAAATTATAGTATAGCATTTTACACATGTATACAATTTAAGATTTAGGTATATCGATTTTATAAGCTTTTTGAAAGACAAAGGTAAGGTAACAGGTTACAGCTAGTAAAACGCCTAATTATTTGCTAAACATTCAACTTGGCTATAAAAACTTTTACTCTGTTTGTATAGGACATTTATTTATTTTGCACAACACTTAAAAGAGGAAGAAAATAAAAAGCTATTGGTAATTAGTTTTAATTAGATTGGCAAAGTATCGAACAAGCCGGAAGCAATAGATTCCAAGGAAAATAGTAGATGTTAAGTTTCTTTTTTTCAGCGGAATAATTTCCAATAATTATTGCCCATATGGAAGAATAAGTAGTTCGCCTTTCTATCCATGTAGAAACGTTACGGAAATTAATGCATCCGAATCCATTTGATCGTGATGTTTTATCAAATAATTGACGCTTCGAAATCATTTATACGCGCAAGTAAGTATGATCCTGAGGCATAACCGCGGCAAAAGTGGACATTAAGAATAATACTGGCTTTGCAACGGTAATTGTATAACATCTGTGTGCTATCGAATATCCTATAAAATGTTTATGTAATTTTGAAGATATTTTTCTATCAATTATGCAGACTTTCTAATGCTATTACTTACCAGTTTGTTATACTATGATAAGATTACGTGAGGTGGACACTAGACACGGTTGCACTTTGTCGAAAGACGAAAGTGGAAAATGCTGATGCAACGTGCCACGATAGTTGAGTTTGATTTCTAGCGTGCGGAATGAATTTTTCAACGGGGATAAAGAATGTTACCACGTGTTTTATACTCTATCATTTATTTTCGTAACAATTGTCGATTCGTTGTTAATATTTGTCCGATACCAACGAACGGCAACGAATCAGCCAAATCAACTTTCCAAACAATCTTTATTAAACTTAATATACCTACCCTTCGTTTTCTCCATTGTCGTTAACAACGAAAAGTACATTGGCAATTGCAGTTTATTAGAAGCAATAAACCGTCTACACGTTCGTTTTAACAGATTGCAAGATAATTTACGACTACGATAATCGGTACATCTTTATTTGTTCAGGGAATAACTGGAAATTCTGGTTCTATTGTCTTTCTTCAAATCCAAACAGTTGGCGCAATTATTTGTTTTTAAACAAATAATAGATCCACTTTTATACACGAGTTACTTCTCTTGAAAGGTTACCGCGACATTTTATGCATCGTTACTTTTTATTCTATTTTTTTCCAACAATATTTTTGAACAGTAGGCCCAGAAGTCGTTCAAGGCAAACCACACGTCTACATACATATATCTATCAATTTACTATCCGATATTTCATCTAGAAAACAAGATGAAAGAATCAACGTTATTGCATCATAATCATTATAATATAGTTGTTTTATATCGTTATTAAATAATGTTTAAAAAATTGCTATGCACGATCGTTGTATCGTGGAAACCATACGTTATAACAACAAAAACGAATCAAGAGAAACGAATAACATTATACCATATACATACATATAATGTACGGAAGAATAGGCTTTTCACAATAATTTTATTTTTCCAAGAAAATGTACACAGAATGTGACGCAATGAAATTCGATCGCAAAGCTCGTTAATCGTGGATCAAGAGATAACAGATTGCAGTTTACAACGCTGCTTAAATGTTACGAATCTATCTTTAGCAGTGTTCCGGTATGAAAAAACAGTACAACTACGTACAACTTCATTCGATATCCATTGGATATAGTATTACACTCGCGCTAGGCCATATTCCGTTTCTACCATTTCGTTGCAAAACTACCTGGGTGTTTCGTTACGTTACTCCGCCAGCGTTAAATAACACCCATCGACAATTGTTTCCTATAAATTGTTTGCGCCGATCAACGAGAGAACGAGAGAAGAACCGACGTAAATAATCGTCAACACACAGCTACCTACTTAGATTGCACGCCATACAAGCCCTTCGTTATACGCAAAATGAATCTACGTTACAAATGATAATATGAACATTTGAAAATATAATAAAATAGAAAACGTCAGAAATTGTTAAGTGTGCTTTTTCTAAAATATGTATAGGCATGTAGTTGTACAGTTTCCCTAACTATTTTGTTCCGCGATCCCATCCGCGGAAACGTCCAAAACTGCTAAACAAATCGAAAAGTCTAACACCAGGAACACAATTATAAAATGTTACCACTACGAACACTCACCGATTTCATTTAAATTCACTCTGAAATCAAGGTATAAATGAACTTTTAATAAAATCTACTCGCCTGTGCTTACACTGCATTCATTTGCTGCACTCGAACCTCGGTACCCCAACAAAACTCAAGCTCGGTACAGAACCTTGCGTTGACTGTGACCATGTTTCTTTAAATCGCTGCTAGAGGGCTATAGGTGTCAACTAACTCTCACAAGTTCCTCAACGGTATGAATTTAAATAACAGAATTTTCGAAATTTCCTATGTAAACGAATCTCGTATAATGAAATAAGACTTACGCGTAATAATATTATTCGGAATAAAAGAAAATACCAACGTACCAATGTACAAATACTTTCGACAATGTTTAAAAATGTTATATGTTATATCGAAACGTTACTTTCGGTGGCTCGAATTTACGCGACGATGCTGCCGTCTAACAGCAACGAGTTGCATCGCACGATGCATCGGCTCCATTTTAACTCGAACCTGTTCGGTCGTTACGTCTGACGCGTGTTACGGTTCGATAAAGTGCAATTTTATTCGTGAAATGTTTTAATAAAAGCCTTTTGCTTGGAGTAGATTCGTGGTAATGCAAAACGCATTTACGGCGGTGAAACATAAAGTGTAAAATAGTTTAAGTATTTCTGATTTTTTCCACGGTATGTCAGAAGGCGAGGCTACAGCGTCGCAGAAGAAACAGCAGCCATTTCAGCAACAGCCACAACTTGGAATAGGCTCGATGGCGAACATGGCATGGCAATATCCCTCGCCAAATAATATTCACAACATGTTCCCTCCATATTCGGGGTAATTTTACATTTCGATTATCTATATGATCGCCAATTTATTGCATAACGGAAACAATGAGTCACCTAGCGCTTCGATCAGAAAAATTATGAAGTCGTATCGGAAATGGCGCAGCTAGGCGTAACGTTCTACGATTTTCTTTCAACGTTTGTCCGTTTTCAACCCTTTCGATTTCATTCGATCAAATTATTTTTTTTTAAAGAAATCTAACAGAGAAATATATAAACGATGCATCCAAAAAAGAAATATTTCCGTTGACCTAATTCTGGAGTAATAAATGCGATACGAGTACAATTTGGATAATTATAGATATGCGTATCGAATAAATGAAATATCTGAAATATTAATGCACAAAATTAATATTGTATCTTTTGATACACCAAGTATTTCAGCTGTTTGTCATTGTATGTATAATTGTTTTTACCTTTTGTTTGCAGGCAATTATATGGACCCGGGTATCAAGGTGTACCTCATCAAGGGCAAATATTTAATTATTATCATGCAATGATGCCAGGGTATGGACAACATTTTACTCCACAGCAGATACTACAACAGCAACAGCAACAGCAGCAACAGCAACAGCAACAGCAGCAACAGCAACAGCAGCAGCAACAACAGCAGCAGCAGCAGCAGCAACAGCAGCAGCAGGGCAACACTCAGGGGAAACAGCTTCATCAACAGCCACCTGTACCTGGAACACCAATGTCTTTGGACGACGAATCGGATCTTCCTCCTTTGCCACCTGGACCACCGCCATCCGTGCAGATGTTGCAGCAGCACAACAGTCAAATCCAACCATTGATGCAGTCCCATCAAGGATACGTGTATAATTCGTTTCCCTATGGTAATTGGAACGGTATGCACGGTGATATGTCACGTAAGTTTTATTTTGATAAATTTATCGAGTCTTGAACCCTTTTGCTCGAAAGCACGTATACAGAACAAGAAACGTGTAGACGTGAAAACATGCAGGAGCAAAAGGGCGGAACAGAAGAAAAATTGTAAAATGAACAATGCGTGTCTTTGTTTACAGAATATAACAATCAGATTCGTTTTAATGCACAAAACAAGAAAAACGGGTTGGCGTTTACTCCGTCTGGCAATAGTGGAGCTGCAAAGAAAAAACGTAAGCGGAACAAAAACTTAGCAGCTCAATTCAACAATAGCTTTCAGGCGAACAATCCAACGACGAATTTCGTACCGGGTCCCAATTTGAAGACCGAACTACCACCCTTACCTCCCGCACAGCGTGAAGTAGCGGCTCCTCCTCCACCGATCGAAGACTCTCCCACTCCTACTACACCTGTTACTACGAACGTTAATACAACTCCTAGTGCTGGTTCTCCAGCGGTAGGTACTCCCTCTGTGATGACAACTGCCAGTCCAGTCGGAGATTGGCCCGACAGCTTGAAAAACTATGTAAACAGATGTTACGAGAAATGCAAAACAGCAGTGGACAAGGATCAAGTTGAGATTATATTAAAAGGAAAGATAACTCGTGCTGCGAACGATGGTTCGCTTTGGGTAAAGGACTGGGACCAAGAACCTTTGCCTAGTATTCACAGCGAACGTATGACCATGACGATAAAGCCACAGAAAGCAACGTTAAAGTTGAACAATTTGGCGAATCCGCTAATGAATGCACAGGGAGGCTTGCGCAAGCCAGGTCTCTCTACTTCTCTCGGGGCTCGGCTTGGCGCGCGTCTCTCTGTGAATCACAAACGGTCGAGGTCGAGGTCGAGGACTAGGTCAAGATCAAGATCAAAGTCGAGGTCGAGATCGAGATCGAGATCGAGATCCAAGTCGAGATCGCGTTCGAATACACGTAGCCCACCGTCCCGAAAGTACAGACGTAGCACGTCGTCATCGTCCAACGTTAGCGATCGGGAACACGATTATAAGTCGTTAAAATCGAAAAAATCTACTAAAAACAAACAAAATCACAGCGGCAAGAAAGCAAAGAAGACTAAACAGATGAAATCACATTTCTATTCAGAGTTTGGTTTAGCTACAGGCAACACTGAGGAACTAGGATCCAAGGAGAAATTGCAGCAACGCGCCGCAAGATTTAATGACAGCATTTCTAGGACGGTCAGCAACGGTGTTAAAGACGATCCTTCCGGTGACTTTGATTTTACCGGACTTCACATTGTTGGGATATGCAAGGATATAGAGAAACCGTATTTGCGTCTAACGTCTGTAAGATTTCGTTTCTTTCTTTATACGAGATAGAGAAGTTTAGTGGAAAACTAAAGGAAAATATTGAGCGCGCATGTGCCTGCCTGTTTTTCACCGAACCCCTCGGCTACCGAGGCAATCGATCAAATCTTATTGCAAAACCTAACGCTTGCAACTTGTTTGTTACAGGCTCCGGCTCCCTCCGCTGTACGACCGGTAAGTGTACTCCAAAATTCTTTGGCACATGTCAAGAAGCGCTGGGTGGCTGAACAAGACTATAGATATGCTTGCGATCAACTTAAATCTATTCGTCAAGACCTTACCGTACAAGGTATAAGAGATGCATTTACAGTCCACGTATACGAAACACATGCCCGCGTAGCTCTAGAAAAAGGCGATCACGAAGAGTTCAATCAGTGTCAGACACAGTTGAGGATGCTGTATCAAGATGTCGGAGGAGAAAATCGGTGTGAATTTATCGCATACCGAATATTGTATTATATTTTCACGAAAAACACACAAGGTAACGAATATAGAAATCTATTATTCGCTACCGAAAAATAAACTAAGTTACAGCTCGAGGAAACTACGAATCGTTAATATTTTTTTTACAGATTTAACAACTATTTTAGCTGCATTGTCGAAAGAGGACAAGAACGACGAATGCATAAAGCATGCATTGAAAGTACGTTCCGCATGGTGGCTGGGTAATTTCCATGCTTTTTTCAAATTGTACACTGCTGCTCCAAGGATGGCGGCTTTTCTGATGGATTGGTTCGCTGCAAGGGAACGCAAGAATGCATTAAAGTGCATGATAAAGTCGTATGTACTAGATCCTTTGCTACTCACCATTTATTTCAATTCATTAGAACGTTTCCAAATCGATGTTTCACGCCATTTTATCAACGAAAACATTACTGCATTTTTCTACTATCGTAAATATTTAAATAACGATTAGATATAACGGTAATAGCTAGTATTTGATGATGAACGTTTTACTTTGTTTGCACTTTTTCTGGTAGGTTGTACAACATTGCTAAACGCGTTCGATTTTTATTCGAGTCTATAAATATACAATATTGCTTTTTCATAGACGTTTTCGTAGACAGGAATAAGTTAAGAATATTTAGCGTTAGATGATACAACAGTACCATTAGGTTTAATTAATTTTTAAGTATGTTTTCACATACGCGTCGAAAATATATTTAAAAGCCATTTTTGTTGTAACTGTTCGTCGTTATTGGGAAGTGATCAGTTTTCCCAAAAAAATTATTATACAGGTATTACGTCGTTATGCAATGGAAGCGAAGCGAAGCGAAGGATTGTATGATAATTTTTTTTAACAATTTATAATCATACATAGATTTCTGTTACAGGATATCGTAGCTGAAAATGACTATTTTTATATTTAGTTATTATTTCTCTGTATTATAAATTACTTTGTTTTTATGCGCATGCAATTAACGCGCAATTGTCTAATGATACATTTCTTCTGCTGTTTAGCTACCGGCAAAATTTGGCGGTTGATTTCGTCGTAGCAGAATTGGCCTTTGAATCTTTGGACAAGTTTTATGAATTTGTCAGTGAATTCGGATTGGTTTATGCTGATCCCGAACAACATCTAATCGACTGCAAGACAAGCAGTGGTTCTCTAGGTGCTTGGTAAAAGCAACATGACTCTCTTCTTTTTTCGTCGAAGATGCATAACAAAAGCCATTGTGTTGTGCACACTACTCTAGGCACAAGCCTTCTACGTGTGTCTATATGCATATGTTTTCCAGTATATGCGTATGTGACTGATACATACATATGCATATACATGTGCATATATCATGATACACGTTACCCTCTCGCAATGATTCTTCTTGCTATCCAATTGCAATCATTGTTCTTCGTTGATCGACACGAATTTGTCGAGCAACAGATTTGTAAATGAAATTTCTCCCTACGTTAATTTGTACATAATGTCTTAATCTCAGCCCATTGTTTATACATAATCGCAAGCGAGGAATTTTGTTACGGGCTAGTAAAAAAAGAAAAGAAAAGAAAAGAAAAAAAAAAATTGTACAAAAAAATAGGATAATCGTTCCGATGATCCGCAACTACCTCAATAACACTCGGTATGAAACCGAAGCTCGTAAAAAGAAGGAAGCCGATCAGAAGTCATCTTCAGAAAATTCTCGTTCGGTCAAATTTCGAATTCTTCGATACCAGCCAGCCAGCCAGCCAGCCCCCCGCCCCCTCCCCCACCCTCTCTCTCTCTCCCCTGTTCGTTGATGTATCGTTACGTATTTTTTACCGCCTTTGTTTGATGATTCTAAATGTCTTTTTAAACATTGTCCACAACATGGAACCGAATCTTTTAACCAATTGCCAATTCTTTCGCTCAACAAGACAATCCGTAATCGTTACGTCGAGGAAGAATTTGAAAAATCTCATGCCATGGATTTACTACGTGATCTCGCGCGTCGAATAAAAAGCAGTGATTGTCTCTGTCCCTCGTTTAAACGCGAAGAATACTTGGAATTGATTGAGCAGGCACGTACGGAGAAACATCATCGCGCTAGATACGGATATTCAACGACTTCTTGATGGAGCATCGTGAGTTTGAACGGAACGGGACGCGACAAGAGAGAAGAAAACAAAGAAATCAACGACGGAGGCCAACGAGTTTGTGAATGTATTGTAAAAACGATATGGAACATCGACTCCGAGAAAGTATTTCAACAACGTTACACGCGCTCAAGAATCGACAATTTGGAACTTTTTACGGGACAGATTAATTGGCGCTGAACGCCATTCGCGTGTGATATGAGTGTTTTATTTTTATCTTTTTAAGTGTTTACCCGCAAGACAATGCTTCCCTCCCTCGGTAGTATATGTTATCGATTCTCGATTATTGAGAATTTTATTTCTACGCATGAAACAACGGGTACAAAGGGTCATATTTCAAAGAAGAAAAGACATTTCATTGTACGATCGCATTCGAACATGGGTGTTGTGCATAATAAATTATTTAATTTTTTCGATGTTATATTATTTTTAATGCGTTACTGGAATCTAACGAATTTACAGGGAACCTCGATTATAAAATTCAAATAAAAAAACTCGATAGTATTTGTTATATTGTTATTAAATATCGTGACCTGAATATTTGGCAAAGCAATATACCCGAATAATTCCTACATTCGTTAGAAATTGTTCATTACCTAATTTTAGAATTTATTGAAAATATTTTTAGTACGCAATAAAGGATTAAAAGATCTGTCTCGAGAAAATTATATAAACGTGGAAACGATGAATAATATCCGATTCGTATAATGATGTTAAAAATTAACAGACGCAAAGAATATAGTTGTACAGAATTTTGTCTGAAACATGTTCGTGGTTCGCAATATAGATATGTTTCGATTAAAAATTGCAATGTTCGTTAGTTACCTTGCAAGTATAAAAATCACAAAATTGTATCAAGCAACACAATGCTTTTCTTTTTATTATTATTAATATAATCATGTTTAATACTGCTTGATACAAGCTTCGAAGGAGGCTTTTTTTTTATTAATTCTTTGTGCACAGATTCTCGATTAAATTGTGCGACGTTACATCAGAGCTTTTGCTTAAATCCAATGTTATATAAATATTCAAGTTTAATATACTTTTCTTTTTATATTTTTTTCCTAAATCATACACGTATATGAATATAAATTAATTGCTACATCATGAAATGCACACGACCGTATTTATTCCATTCTTCTATAGAACGATTAAATTCGCATTGATAAAATTTAATATAATAAATAATAGAAACGAAATACTGCGGTAAGAAAAAGAATAGTGATTCAAAATTCTGAATATTTAATAACACAATAAAATTTTTCATTTATTCAATCTCGATCATCAAATGTTGCGAGATAAACATACATCTACCGATTATTTTTTTATTCTCGCATATTTATTAACACTCTCGAGAAACGTTCGTGTAAAAGAGATTACAAGATCGCGTTGTATAGCGTCGTGTTGCGAGTTACAAGGTGCGTAATAAAGTTCTGTATCGCGGCGTTTTCAGTTACTCCAATTGTTTGCGTAATCAGAATTACGTATGTCGTCGATCGCGCTGAAAATTAATTTCAATTCCAAACGAATAATAATCAAAGAAGATTTAAATATTGTTCAGCATTCAATTGATAAGAACGATTAGAAATTTCGACTAATGAGAATAATTAAAAAGATGATATTTGAAATATTGAAAAAAACGACGCGACGCGACACGTGGATTGCCATATAGAATTCTTCTATCACGCATATTTTTGGCTGACGTAATACGATAATTACTTATACGTTATTCAAATGAAAAATGTTAACACGGTATAAGGAAACGCATTTCCATAAAAAGAAATTGTGTCTGACTGATAACCGGTCGTTTGAACAGCAATTTATACGGAGAGGGACACGAAACTGTTATACTGGGTGATGTTACGTTTCAGGATATCCGCGCATGGGCCTAAAACTCGTTCAAACCTTGCTCTATCGAGCTTTACGCATTTTAAGGGACCTCGTGCCACTACGGTCGCAGCTCTTGGCCTGTCCAAGAGCAATGCAATTTCACCTGTAATCAAGCAACGATAGTGAAGGAAGGAAGGAAGTAGGAGAAGATTTTCTTCGCTACCAAGGACCCGAAGGTCTTGCGTTCTCCTTCTAAGCTGCAAAGTAAGGAAAATTTACCAAAGTAATCGGATGGTCCTAGCCGACCAACTTCCGCTGGTTCCTCGTTTTCTGAACGTTGTTGAAGAACTACGGCAGTACCCTCGACGATTATATAAAAGTCCTCGCCAGGTTCACCCTGTCTGACTATCGTCTCGCCATCGTCGAACGCCACTGGTTCCAAAGCATCTGCTACCGTAAGCCGTTCCCATTTATCCAAAGATTCTAAACGTGGAATAAAATCTAGTCGTAAGAACCATTTCGATCGAATGTTTTTTCAATGTTGGCTCGTGTTATTAAACCCACCTAAAATTGAAACTCTGGAGAGAAATTCCTCGTACATTTTTCGTTTTCGTATAGTGGAGCCCATGAGGATTCTACGGTAAGAGTCTCTGTCGATACCCCATAATTTCACGTCGGTTTTCGCTCGAACGGTCGCTGCACGCGGTGTACCATAGATCAACGCAAGCTCCCCAAAACTTCCACCCTCGCCGATCGTCGTGGCTAATTCGCCGTTCAGGAATATCTCGACTTCTCCTTGATCGATCACGTAAAAATTGTCACCCTCGTCACCTTTCGAAACACGAAATTAAATTTCATTTCGTTCGGCAAACACTGTTGACAGGAGTAATGTATGTATAAAAAAAATAGAACATTTAAATAACCCCTTTGATAATATCACCAACCATGAAACCAGTTAACCTTTACACCGAACAATAAAGTAATTGAGTGTACTCTGCCTACGCGATGCGTGCGTGCGTGCGTGCGTGCGTGCGTGCGTGCGTGCGTGTGTGCGATGTGAACCAGAGTTGGCACGTTATTGTCTAGATAACAAATCAATCTCTTTAATCGAATAAGATTTGTTTTCTCGAATCAATGTACATATTGACATTCGCGAACAAACACGCTTATTCCGTATTTGCAAACGCATAAAGGTAACGGTTCTGGATCATAGTGCACCGCCGCGATGCACTAATATCGTTCAAAAGGTATACGTATGGTTAGATGAACACGTTGACTGTCGGCTAACCCACGCGACGTTCCACAGTCAACGTGGTTTAAGACTGAAATGATCTACCATTTAAGATAAACACCTTGACGAATGATAGCTTCTCCAGGTAGAAAGGTGACCGGGAACATGGCGTCGAATATGTCGGAGCGTTCGTTCTCGTCCAGATGAGCGAAAAGGACGTTCTTAGCGATGGCCTTGCTCAGCGCAGCCATCGTCTTGTAATCCTTAGGCACAACTTTTTTAACGTAACTGGTCGCATCCTCCTCGGAGACCGGCTCCGCGGAAATGCCACCTCTGCGCCGAGGAACTTGAGGACCCTGTTGGCCGGCCGGTATGTCCTCGGTGTCCTCTGGACTGGTCGCAATTTGCTGCTTCGCATCGTGAGCCTGCTCCTGAAATTACCAATAAACTTAATTAAATTCTTTATCCGATCCGAGCGACGGTTAGCTCACATCGTTTCTTTGCGTTCTCGTGAGCAATAAAACAAAATTATACCAACAAAAACGCTCGTTAATTTATTTAATTCGCTTTATTACATGGGAATCGCATGCATCGATTATTAAATTTACACCCCAGATCCACGTATTTTGCTTTACTTGCCTGTTGCACCATGTCTCACGCTGCTGTCCTCGATTCCTTTTTTTTTCTACTTTTACTTAAATTTAGACAATAAACGAACGTGTCCGGCTGCAAGACGCGCCGATAATGCTAAGGCGTCTTTCTAAGTCAATTTTATATAGACATGCGCACCGCTATCTATGCCCTTCCATTAATCATATGCCCTTCTAAATTTTCTAAATATAAAGAGTGTCTTGACGATCACAGACCCGTAGCCGTTTTAAATAATGCTTCGACTACTAATTATCTAAGAATTTCTTTTAAGAAAAAAAAAAAGAAATTTTATATATACATATAAAAATGCTCGACGATACTATCAGGAATACGCAAAAGTTCCCATCGTTTGAACATACCTGGTTTTATCCAGTATCTTTCAATACAGTTTTATTCGTTTCTATTGATTTTTCGTAATACATACATACGTACCAATTACTCTTACGCTTACTCTTGAAAGTCGGTCGTTTATCAACTTGTTATCAATACGGTGGGAAAAGGCGATAGAAATTAATGGAAAATATTATTCGATTTCCACTTATCTTCGCCCCTAATATATCGGCAATTTTAATGCTTGTTTGTTGAAGAGAGGAAGGGGAACTAATAAGTTGATTGCTCGTTGTAAAATTATACAAGTCTTAAAATATTACACGGCTTATGAACGATCAGCATGGACGTAAAAGGTAAGTAAATAATGCTATAGGTCACTTGGCGTTTTCACGGATGAGTAGTGCCTTGTTGTAAACGTGTAGCAGCACACTATAGTAACTACATATGTATGTAGAAAAACATGAAACGTATCGCTCGTAAACAAAACTCAATCCCTTGCACCGGTCTTTTTCTTGCAATTGATTCGTGGTAATCCAATTTACTATGTAAACTTGCTCTATTCAGATTTGAAACTGTAAAAAGTAAATATCGTTGGTGAGAAAATCGTGTCGAATAATCGGGCATATAACCACGGCAGACACGCGTCGCGAAACTTGATGAGAAACAACACGATCGAACGATAAATCACGCCTGGCTACTTGGAATCCATTTTTCTATCGATCACTATTATTATACGATCAAGTACCCAACAAACCAATAACTATAACTATCATCAAACACTCGTCAATGTCGTTGCTTGTTTAGAAATACAACATTTCAACGGTATAATTAGACATTGGAAAATAATAAATTAAAAGACGTCCTTTCGTCTACTTACGCGCTATCGCACTAACATTATAAATGCTACAAGCCATTGCACGCATTACGGAAACGTTCAAATAATACTGGTTTGTAATAAATGTCACGACTACTGTGTTAACGATTACGTCCAATTAAAAGGAGAGAATAGTGTCAAGGTTGATCGGTCGATGGTCCTAACACGTAGTAAAATTCCATCTTCTTCGATGGGTTGTTTTTAAAAATCGCAACAAAATTAATAATTGTACCGCTTCTCTTTTCTTTTAACGATTATAGTATAAAAGAGAGCAGCGATTAGAATACGTATTAGTTATATTCTGTTCATGCATAGTGGTGTTTTTGAAATATCAGCAAACCAAAGCAAATCAACCGTAGCAATTATTGAAACGTGAATCTCGAATCCTTTCTATTCAAGATGTCGTTTCCAAGGACCAACAAGCCGTGGAACCATACAGGGTGTCTCAAAATACACGGTATAGATTTTTTGGCAGGGACCAAAATACCGGTATTATAAAGACCGAAATTCAGAAATTTTTACATTTCTCGTGATACAATTTTTTGTTGGAAAATAATCCATTTTTCGGACACCCTGCGGTAAAACGCACATTTCGAAAGAGTACGCGTGAACTTCGAGTAAGATCCGAATTCACGATCGTACCTCGCTCATTATTTCTCGAGATATTAGACTCTGTACTCGGTTTTCGATTGTTCGGCGATTTTTACGCGGCCGAATGTCTTTCTTGGTCCACACTGGTCGCACACCGATCCGGTTCTCACGGAATATATCCCTTTCACGATCGCGACGCACCAATCGACGGAGAAACGTCAATCCCGGGAAACGATCCTTCTCCGATCACGACGTCGAGTCCGCGACGCTACGGAATTTTCTAAGGCCTCGCCAAATTCGATTAATGCGACAACGATCTATCGTGGCGCGCGGCGTTTGCTCGCGAGGTCGACGCTGCCCGACGCTGCCTGGACGCTGCCCGACGCTGCCTGATGATGCCGGAACGCCGAACGGTAAATAAAGCTTCGCGACGAATGCACTGCGAAATTTTTCCACGATACTGTCGGATCAATGGATAACGAATTAGCAGAAGAAAAACCGAACGAAATGGCTCAACGTATGTAGGTACCTACTTCCGGCGTTGTCCGTCGAAAACGTTCCGTCGCAGCGCGCTTCGCACATTTTTCGAGGACGACGCGACGAACGCGACCAACGCGCTTACACACACGGTCTTTCGTCGCTTGTTGGCTAAGGTTGCGCGCCTCGTTATATTTCGAGCATATTCTATATTTAGAGCTGCCCCTATACAGGCTCATTCGTCTAACTGTAACAAACCATATCTTTATTTTTTGCTCCAAGCTACAATTACCACCGAGAACGAGTATCCGTCAGGGGGGCTTGAAAACATTCCGAAAATAAATTATAATCGTTGGAAAAATGTTTCTGTTACCGAGAACAAAAAGTTACACGTACAAACAGTACTTACGTATATCTGTCTTGTTACAATTGTGCAAATCACCGTCGACACATATATCGCACACACCGATCGACTGGCCTGTCGTCTCTGTATCCCTGTGTGTGTGTGTGTGTGTGTGTGTGTGTGTGTGTGTGCGCGTGTGTGTGTGTGCGTGTGTGTGTATGTGTGTGCATGTACAGCGATCGGACCTTCTGATGCTGTGGCGTGCCCACCACCCCCTTCGCCCCTGATTTCGCGAGATTTAACACTTCCATGTGTGTATGTTTTCCTTCACGCTGTTCGCTATGAAATGGCAAGTGGTATCGATCATTCGCACGATATACGCTACCCAAGTATCACAGTACTCTAATGCACGGTTGAATTTCATCAAATTCGAGACCCAGCAACGAAAATTCTACTTTCTTCTGCTACAACAAAATTTCTCATGTATAATTTCCAACGTTTATTCTAACTTTTATTCTAACGTTTATTAAACTTGAAACTTCCCATAAAACATACTTATATTATTTTCTTATAAATGTTTAAGTAAGTATTTATGATTACATACTATGTCACATACTTTTGTTCAGCACTGGAGATAGCTAAGGAAACACCGAAATGTTTCATAGCTGTTTTCGAAACTACGAAAATCTTGTCAAGGACGATGCAGTATAATTCGAAGAAAAGATAAGTTACTTGATACTTTCGTACCAAAAAGATACAGCAAACGTAAGAGAGTTACATTTCGTTCACGATTACATAATACGTTTATCGTACCTATATAGGACGTATTTACTAAAATGTGTTTAAAATTTGTTGGACATTGCACGAAACGGTTCAGATATAAATTAGGTAAATTTTACAATGAAACAGTGAATTTAGAATTATGTACATATTACACTCGATAACGTTAGGTGCCGATTCTCTGCCACTAAATATTTCTACAATTTTCTCTGAAATACACAGTTTTCGATAAATCTACGTACACGCGTCCAAAAAATAATCTATCACCGTTCAGTTAACCAGGACAGTCGTGTTTATTTATTTCATACTCGACTTTATTTTAGACCGAACACGATGCGAAGCTCTCGAAAAATTGTTTTTTCGCGTTAAAAATAGTTCGAAGCGTCGAATATTTTTGTTACAATGTTAAAAATCGTGCGCACGTTCGACGCAAAATACTTTTCCCGAATTAACTTTTACCGCGGTTTTAGAAAAATAAATCAACATCCAAAGAATAAACGCACACAGAATATTTGTTAAAGGGTGCAATATTCTTTGCTAGAAGAACGCTTGGACAGTGATTTAATAATTACAAATAAACCACGGTCTCAACATTTTTAACCCGTTTTTTAGGGAAATATTTAACCATAGTTTCCCAGCTTTTATTAAATAGAACAGAAAAATAAAAAATAAAACACATTCGACGCATACCTAACTAATACTATCAATGTATAACGTTAATAACTAAATTACCAAGTCGATAAATAAGCAATGCCACTCTTCTGTTCCTCTTTTAGAAAATGACAAAGTTACGTTACATGTTTCTCGTCCTTCCGTATGTTTCCTTTACGCTAAGATCGTGAGTTCTCCTAGGCAATGGAAAATATACCATGTTGTTTACTACTCTTGTTTATCTAAATGCATACGGTTAGTCTTTAAGACTATAGCTCTCTGGCTATACTAACAATGTTCTTTGCATACTCGAGATACTTTGGTTACTAAGGTTTCTCGCTTCCCCTTTAGAGCTCTTTTAATACAACACGTCGAATATATCTTTTGGTTTCATTTACTTCCTAAAACGAGTTAAACATTCTGTATGTATATATTTGACAAATTTTGGTACAATGTTAGAAAAACATTTCTATTTACATTAGCATTTGTACCAAATGGACAGATACATGTCGTGTCCATTTTTATTGGTTTCTGTCATGGTTATCAAAAGAACAGCATTACTTATTAAATGACCTAATAATTTCGCCGTTTGCAACCGGAGACGAAACAAAGGAAAGAAAATCTAAGGTTATTTACAGAAAATACAATTCGATACATACCCGTTCCAGTTTCTGAAAGTATTCCCTCAAGAAAGATATAGGATTTTCAGGACGACCCACGCACAGTTGCACTATACAGTCTTTCAAAACTTGTTGAATATTGTGTCTCTGCACGTATTCCTCGCACTCTCTTAAACTTTGCTCTTCCTCAAGATTCGCCGCCATATTGATACAGAAGTCAGGTTGTCACTTTATAGCGAATACTTTCTCAACGATTGCGTTCACGATACGAACAACGAAAATACGTTATCCAGTTGACAGCTCAATTTTTTCACATAAACAATATCAACATACCTTCTTCCACACTTATTGCTCATTGTTAATTAAGACGTAGCGCAGCCGAAAATCGTGCTACTCGGAACTATAATTCAATAAAATCTAATATCATCGATATCTACGCATACACGTTTAAATAAAAAACGAAATAGTTTCTTATTTTAACGTTTCACAATGATTTTTTCTAAATTAACAAGATAAAAACAAAAGTAAATAGACGCGTGTAGCTCTTGTTTCACTGGCGCACGGAATTAATGAACGAACAAACTTTCTAGGAGCTATGTATCGCTACTGCATACATATGTATGCATGTATATGGACAGTTATAAGAAACAAGTTGAACATTTTGTATACGCCAATGAATATTAATGCTTGTTATTTATGTAAACTTTCTATTATGAAAGAAGCAACGATATCGAAATTCAAAAATTTTGTAAACACGAAGATGCAAATAATTTGTAGGATTGTAAAACATAACCGTAAAGCCAGTATTTTTTAAATTTTCGATTCGTAAAGTAACTAGATGTAATTTGATTTTCCTAGTTTCATCACGAATAGCGTATTGTAATTACAGTTTATAATTATGTTCTTTGTTCGAAAAATACGTCAAATTTAGTATGAACACACAATCATTGTGGGAGTAGGAATGTAAAAAATATTATGAATTCGCTGTTGTAACTTCTAACAATAATATATTTTAAAACATATTGTCAATGGGAGGATAGACATTATAACACATAAACTATATTTTAAAATATAAAATAAGAATGTTTTGTGCTCTTTTACTTTTACCAGACAGTAATTCTTTAATCCCACGTCAATCTAACACCGTCACGAAACAAATTTCCCTGACATTCGGCGAGAATTAGGGAGAAATGGGATTTTAGAATAACAGTTGTTTCAAACTTAAAGCTTAATATTTAGGAAATGTATGGCCATTTTCTTCTTATGTACATTGATACTGTCGTGTAACATAGAATGAATTAAAGTATCCATATAATAAATATCGATACACCACAGAATCCATTAAAGCGTTATAACGTTAAAGATTTATTATACTGTAAAAAAATCTTGTACGATAGCAAACGATACAAAAAGTTATGGCAATATCGATCCGTTCACAATTTCACTTTAACGTATTAGATACATTTATAATTTGTCGTATGTATTTCTATTCGAGTATATCTCTTAATAAATTATAAACTCTTGAATGGATTCTCCAATGATTGTATTATAAAAATTAATCTCAGAAAGAAGTAGTCAATGTCAAATAAATATCTATGCGTAGCATTATATTGAACTTTTGCAGATCAGTTTCACGTTCTCTTGCTTATTTTACCTATACAATATAATTGTGCAGTTCTTTATAATAATCTAAATTTAACTATAGAATGCATGCGATGTATGCGTATAATAGAAAACAGCAATGTCATTATGGAATATCGTAACATATTCTTCGCTTAATAATAAATATAACACACAATTACAATTGCTTCCTGGATGCATTAGTTTGTTCTGGTATTATTTATACGTTATCGGATATTACACGTTTATTTATTGCAAATCTAACAAGTGGATATGCCTATAAACAGTATTTCCTCCCTGTATTTGCATTCTCAACTATTTTCGCTCTTGCTAACAGCATTAAACTTTATAAAAACTCACCGCAATGCATCTGTAATTAAATTCAGTAATGAGTTTTGCTTAACTTCTAACTGCATTATCATTCAATATCACTATATGTGTATGTGTGTGTGTGTGTGTGTGTGTGTGTGTAATAATGTTCTAAACGAAGAACATAAATAATACATCGTTTTACGCAAAATACTATAAAATATTCTAATACAATAAAGCGATGTTTGTTTTCTAGAGTGCCTCTCGGTGATAATTAAATTACAATAGTATTCAAAAATTCTGACCATGGTAACACCCTTATAGTTTAGACTAGGAGAATAAAACAGTTGAAATTAATTATATTATACATGAAAACAAATTTGTTTTCATAATTCCTATTGTATTATATATGTATATTTGTATAGGCACTTTCTACGAGTAACCGGAGACCCTTAAAATGTGCAATGAAAATTTAATCTTTAATAATCTCCTTATTTTGAAAAATTGTTTTTACATAATTCGTAAAAAAAAGTTAATCTTATTAATAATAGATCGTTAGCTGATGATCTTCGATGACCGATCGACAAACAAAAATGTACTGATGTATGCAACGGTGACCACGTGCTTCTTTTATTCCTTTCTGCGACGATTATGATAAAATTCTTATAATATCCTAATGATAGAAATTGTGTATTGTGATTAATACAAAGTGCAGTTTGCGTACTAAATGGTATTTGTTTTGTTTCTTCATTCAATGTACATTTATTGCTCTATATAGAATTATAAATTGATAGATTAATTGCACAGAGTGTGATATTAGTTCTGTATGTTACCTCGTGTAATTAGTAACGTTAGAACTTTTAAAGATGATAAAAGACATAGAGAAGAATAGATTCTCGTTACGCAATGAAACAAACTTTTGTGCATTAGAATTTTTCTGTACCGAAACATAATCAGAAAGTATAAATAAATTTTACAATTTATAGTTTAGAATTTGCGATTAACTTAACGTTACAAATATAAATCGGAATTTCTATAAAATGCACTGCTGAATTCCATTAAAAAGATTGACGCTTCAGTTATTTATAAAGCTTGTCTAATAACAAGCCTCGATGATTCATATGTTTGCTCCCTGTGATCTATCTCTCGTTATTTATATGTATATATATATATTAATAAATTAATTTTTTCATAGATGGCCACCATGGTCTAATGTTACTACTTATTGCTATTAGGTTGTTACGCCATAATTTTGTTTTATTGAATTAATACTGATTTAAAATTAATATTACACTAATATAATCTCATATTTTTGTATTTAACGCAAGATAAAATTTCTCGTAAAGTGTATATTTATTGGCATTAGATGCATAAAACTTGCCGTTCTAAAGAACTATACAACTTCGATGCTCTTTTTTAACTTATTATTAATTACACCTTGTTCATGGTTTTTAAGGCACCACGTATACTTGAAAGGTAACTCGACACATTCATGTGTGAATCATTGCTCAAGGAAGATTACCTCCTTATCATTGGAACTTAAAAATCATGAACGAGCGCATTGAGAACTTTTTAATTTTTCACGTAACGTTTCTTTCTTCTTTTTTTTACATAATATTATGCAAGTACGTTTTTCATATAAAAGAGAAATATTATATAAAATAATATGCTTTTAAAATTAAATCAATTGCTGTTAGGCTTTACCGTCAGCTTGAAATCTTTTCTAAAAACACCTAATTTGTTCGATATATAAAAATAAATAGCAGTGCTTAATCAATAGCAAGGTACATAAAAGTATATATAAATAAAATAACTTCTAGGAATTAGCATTATTAATTACATAATAAGTCCATCGATATTTTCTTTTGGAAATAAAATTGGAAGCATTCAATTAAAAAATTGATATAACCTCTCAGAACTCATAAACAACATTCCTTCTTGGAAATTGACTAGTATTTGACATGAACTTTGTTCTAATCCTTTAACCATAAGTATTTCTGTACGCCTATGTAAACATATGAATGTCGAACAGTGATTCATTTTCTGATTTATTGGCAATAGTACTTACTTTAACTTTATGGAGTTGTTGATTTTAAAAAGGTTGGGTCAACTGCAGCAACTTTTGCAGTCAAAAATGCATGCATACAGAACAGTAAATTCTGTAGTTGAGAACATTCCAATTCCTATATATGTATATATGTACAAAAGAAGAAAAAAAAAGGAAAAGAAAAAGAAAATATTAAATACAATGAATATAATTTGTTGATTTTATTCTTTGTTGTCGATTATAGATACCTACCTTTGTCTCGATAGCTATGCTATCAGGTTCTTGAAAGTGTAATTTCAGTCTGCTCTTTCCGTCATCGCTGGATCCTCTTAATTGAGAGAATTTATAACGCCATACGGAATCACCAATGTCTTCGTAAGAAAGCGTGAATCCTTGAGTCCATTCTAACGTTAATCCAGCACTTCTCCCGTTAAAAGTGACGGGAAACGTTTTACTCTGCGAGAAAAAGTGTACATAACAAAAATCACGAATATTTTAAAAGTAATGTAAAATGCATAGAAAAAACGATACCAACTTTTAAATGTGTAACGGCTGAACAAACCGCAGTGTGCCATGCTGCTTCAACTCTTAAAAGTTCTTGTCTTGTTTCGACGCTGAGATATCGCGGAGGTTTACCCGGACTTTGGGCTAGAAAACAATGCTGTCTTTCGTCTACATTTTCAGATTCTCGCATTACACGAAACATAGTTTGATACACTTTAAACGTTAATGCGCATCGCGACCAATCTCCAATGTTACACTACAGGGTAAGCACGTATAACATTTCAGATATCTTAATTGTACAATATATGCACGTACTAATCATACAACTGACTTTAAAATAAAAAAACTTACGGGTGGCGTTTCAAATAGTAACAAATCGGGCCCCTTCAGAGCTAAAAATCTTGGCCTGTAACTTTGCCATGGCTGATTACTGTTGCTTACTGCTTCATTCACCCAACCCATGTATTCGATACGTTCACCCACTCCAAAATTCCGATTATACAATTTCATCTGAAAATAAGTATAAACGAATCCTCCTGATTCTGGAATTTCTACAATTCGACTTACGCGAAAACCATTAAAACGATTTAATCGTACAAGCCAAGGACTTACAGTAATTAATAGATTAAAAAGAAACAAGTTTTTTTTACCTGCAAATGCGTCAAGCCTGTGATATTGTCAGTGATATACTTCAACCATTGACTAAGAATAGCACTGTCATCGCAGTGAATTACACCAGTGCGAGCACCATTTAATCCCCTTACTTCAAACGCATTTCTTCTTAATTTATCGGTTCCAAAGATGTACCTTGTCACGTATGCCATCATTAATGGAACTGTAACGATGAACGCACTCTTTTATCAATTTTTGTCTTCACGCGGTAAATAGAGAAAAGCAAAACATTAATAATTCTTGTAACCTGTTATAACATCCACCCATTTTTTACATTGTATCGACGCAACAGATGCATTTGAACTTTGTCGACTGTGACCGCACCTAGGACTGCCACCCTGTCTGTTAGACGAAAGCCAGTCGTCTTCCGCGCCACCGTTTGCAACGTTATCTAATTTTTCTTCTTTTTCTAAAAATAATATTCCACAAATATTACGTAAAACATTACGATAGGTAACTGTATATGTGCATAAAATCGTGTTTACCATTTTTTTGTAGAAATGGTTTGGCTGCTCGATAATGTTTAACTGTTAAAACAACTATGTCACCAGCATTCCTTAAGATGTTTACAGCATCATCATGGTTACATGCAGTTATGTATTCTCCGTTCACTACAAATACATTGCATATATTTGACAAAAAAAAAAGAAATCAATATGCCTACAAACAAAAAACTATAAATGTAACTAATTGTGTTACAAAAACGCATTTAAATTTTATACGCAAAATGTAGTTTAATATAGTTTCCTTTGTAGCTTCGATGCAGGATTCAGTTGGCGGTACAAATCGACAGATAACATAGAAACTTTGTTTCAAAAGAAGAAATCAATATCGACAGGTCTGACATAAATAGAATAAGCATTCAATGCAGGTTGCATAGAAAGTAGAAGTTGAACTATTACAAAATTGTGCATAGAGTATTAACAGAAGACACTCTGGAGCATGGTAAAATTACCAATTTCTAACAATTTTTTTTATAAACAATTCATTTACCTTTAATTATTGCATCTCCTACAAACAGTTGGCCGCATTGATCGGCAGCTTGGCCTTTATAAATTCTAGATATAAGTACAGGAAGCTTATGTTCAGCTCCCCCCTTTATACTTAATCCTAATCCTCCAACCTTTTGTCTAGTGATTTGGACCATTCGCTCTTTAGCATCCAATGGTGGTTTATTGTGATTCGCTGCCTGCTGAAAATCAGTGACATTTTGTTTACTAACTATACATATAATAAGAAAAGATGTCTTTGATATTATACAACAACATAGATCGTATAATTGATAAAATGTTACGAACTAGAATAAAAATGGTGGTTACGGTAAACTTTACCTCCAAGTCTTCTCTTTGAAGTTTCAAAACCTCCATAGATAATTGCAAACGCATCGGTATAGGTTTACTTTTTCCATCGCTAACGCTCACCATCCCGGTTCTCACCTTTTAAAAAATAAAAAAAAATTAAAATATTCTTTCATCGTGATCGAGTATTAAATAATGTTTCCATCGTAAAATTTATTTATTATATAATTTTCTTCTACTAACTAAAAATTTAAAAGGCACTTTATAAAAGGGAACAAGCACTTCTCCTAAAACGTAACAGAAAATTAGAATAAAAAGAGAGTAATATGCCGAATTAATTAACATAAAAAACTCTCTGTATATTGATTAATTAACTGTGTTGCTTGTATGTATCTGCATACATGCATCAAACTACAAAAATACACTTTTGAAATTTAATCAACGTTCAAATAGATTTTATTACGTTCGGAATCGAGTAGGATCGATTTTCTAATGTATTCTGACGCTTAAACGGCTGCATAGTTAAATTAAATCGCGTTTCCAAAATAGTACATAAAAAGATGAAACGATACTAGACTTTTATTTTACTTAGGCAAAAAGTATAATTTTCTGTGACATAACTCTTTCATAATTATTTCGTTAGGTTGATAATGTACCTTTAAAAATGTTGAACGCACGATTAACGCGAAATCATCGAGAATGTATGAAATATAATCGTGTAATAAAGTTCGTAGCAGTGTTTACTCTGCCATTCGAAATATTCGAATAATTACAAGCGTTAACAGGAAATGAAAGAAAACTTCTTAAGATCTCACCTTCAGCTTCTGATCAATCTTCTCCTCGATCGGAGTGCTCATCTTCGTTGCGTTGATTCTCATTATTCAACGTGATTACAGAGACCGCACGAGCAGCTTCCCGTACTGCCGAATGCAAATCTCCGGTTTCGATGAAATTTCGGTGATTGTTGTTGATAGGACGAGTCGCATGTTATGTTAGTTTCCCACGAATCGTCCGACTCGACTCTGGCCAGCGTTCGAGCGACGAGAGTACGAGATCATATCCACGGTCACCGAGTAGTCACGCCGTAATACAAGTGGCAACACGCGATATTTCACGACGAAGCACGCTCATCCGAAATTACGACTGGCGAGAGCATGCATCGTGACGTTTCGAGACGTTCCGACGAGGCGAAAAGCCCCGTAAACCGGGACCGGGACCGAGACCGAGACCGGGACGCAGAAAAATTGGAGTGGGCTAAAAGTAGCTAAAAGCCCGCGGCCGAGGCGCATCGATTTACACAATACAGTGCGCATCGATGAAATTTCGTTTATTTCGAATCGCGGGAAATACAAAACTCGACAGGTTCATCCATAAATACAGATTTTCCTCTTCAAATTAACCCTCTTACTTTTAAACGATAGCTCGCTAACAAACAATATACAAAATATACAATAACAAAATGATATTGTATTACTTCACTTTTTAGTCTCCCATGATGATGATGATGATGATGATTACAAAACTTGATTTCCAATAAGATACAATAAGAGCGTGTACACGAAAACTGATAACTGAAATGTTTAAACGTTACTTATCGACAAGTTTTACAATATTTATACAAGATAATATTAATTGTATGCATGAGTAATATATCGTAAGAGCATGCGCCCTGGAAATCCGTTAACGATATGATTCGTGTTATGTACCTATTTTTATGTAATAAACATATCTGACCTCGATACATTTTTTACATATCGTAATGTAAAAAATATTTGTTTTTGAAAGTTTGTAAAATAATTATAAGAATTTGCGCACATTTTTGTTACAGGAATATTTGCAAAAAGTTTAGATACGATAATAAAATTAAAAAATATAAGCTACAAACTTTTTGTAAAATTGTTAATTAACATTGATGCAAACCCTGGTTCTATTCATTTTTGTTATATACATTCTTTATTTTGCCAATTTTGCTATAGGGGACTATTACAATGTTTTAAATAATAAAATATGATATATATATTTTTGGAAATCTACTTTATACATTAATTGATTACTTCGAGTGTCATGTCCCCCCCCCCTCCCCCCTCCCCCCTCCCCCTCCTCCTCCATTTATACGAGTTAATTTTATTTACTAAAATGGGAACAATTTTCGCACTTGTTTTGTTTGTAATTATATTTAAGATAAATAATGATAAATTAATGATAAATTTCACATGATTTATATTTATTTATGTACGTTAAGAAAATAATACTTTCCAATATTTTTACAGTTGCAAAAGTCACGAATCGTATATATTTATTTGTTCATATTGCGAAACTGTTTAGTTACAAACACGAGCAAGGAAATTAATATTTTTCTATGCTATTCTAAACGTTGTATAGACTAGTAAAAGTCCTTTTTATTTGTGTGCAATCGTCATGAATCGTTGCAGAAAAAGGTGTGCGATTAGTAGCTTCAACTGCAAAGTACGTATAGTTTGTTAAGTAACACGTTATACGATAGAATGAATTGTTTTTCCTTTGTATAAATATACATATAGGTATATATTTAAAATGCTACTTACTATTAAAAAATGATTGTTTTTAAAAAATCATAAGATGCGTTTATCACACCCCAACTAATAAATGATCTTATATAATTCAAATGTACACCTTTATAGAATGACGTTATACTTCTATTTCTTGAAATATATACTTCGCGAGTAACGGTCATAAACTTTTCAAAATTACCGCCTATTTTCGATTGCATGTGTATTTTTATAACATTCATCGGATAAAATAGAGTACTTGTGAAACCACCTATTAAAGCACCATTAACAAAACTCGTCAACAATGAATCGTTCTGGCCCATTAATTGTTTCGACTGTTCTTTTAAAACAAAAAACATGAGATTAGAAGAACTATTTCTACATATAATTGGGACTAACCCACGATAACATTCCGGTATACCATAATTTTTCAGTATATATGTAAATGCATGGGAAGTATTTTTAAATTTATTATGGTAACGCCAATCTTGTAGCAGTGTTTGTACTCTTTCAAGTGGCATGAGTATAGCCTCGGTGGTACCAGCAAAATGGGCCGCTAATATTCTAATTAATATATCATTGTTTGTTAACATGTACAAACGTTCTTTACATCCTTCGTACATACTAAACATTATACTAAGCGAAAGAGTTTTTTGGCAAAGCGGTGGTAAAATGCCACGATATAACAATCGTACGCCTTCTTTGGATATTTGCCGTAATGCAATTTTGGCTGGTACACCTTCCAAAATCTACACAATAATAACAGAAAATTGATCATTTTAATACACACGTAGAAACTTATCCCGCAAAGTATTAATTCAATGTTTTGTTTTACGTACCTGTCTAAATATAATTTTATTAACAGGAAAGGTAACAGAGACATTAATAACAGCAGCCCCCCAACCACAAACAAATTCTTTAAAATCATTATTCTTAAGTGTTAATAATGACCTTAACGAAACGTTTTGCGAAGTAATGTTACTCATATTAATATTTTCTAGAATAATTTATTTATAAAATACTACAATTTACAACAGCCGATTGTATATATATTTATTTTTTTTGTTTATCATCCTTTTCAAATTGTTTGAATCGAATAAATCATTCACCTGTAAACGATTAAAGTAATAAGATGGATTATACTTTTTATGAATTACACATAAATGATATGTATTTAGAGCAAACGATAGCCACTAATATTAAGCTAATTAAAATCAAAGTTCTACAAAATAATAAAAAAAAAAACATTTGCGCTTATTATATTAATAGTAGAATATATTTATTGATATACAATTAATAGAACAATATGTTTTGGTGATCTGTTTATGGTAATCATAAATCATTGGGTATGCTTATTGATTAGAAAATAAACGAAGCTCAATATGCAAAATATATCGTCATGAAGATCGGCATTATGTAAGTTTCATACAGTAAATTCATTGCACGTGTAAATATAATAGAATGTTATAAGCATTCAACTTACATCTTACGCGATTTATGATTCAACCGATATTCTCCGTTCAGTCGTATCGAAAATTCAATATTGTCACGTTCCTCGAGCCGATACATTCTTTGCCACATATGTACATGTATCATCAACGGTTCCGATTATTCACATTTTGCTGTAACATCAACATTTCAAGGTACAACATACTTTTTTCTAAGGCCAGCTAACGAAAGTGTTCGATTAAAATGGTAAGTACGTGTAAAGTAATCAAAATTCGTGGATCTTTCCAAGATAATATATGTATATGTATACTAACATGTAGATGAACCTTGCTTGTACGCATATTTTCCTCTATCAATTTTCTCTATCTCCTCGTTTAGAAAAAGGCACGTGACTGTGCATTAGCGTATGTAAGTACATAAATGGAGAGGCAGTTTTCTTTGAGCACTGGCTGCCATCTGGTTACACCGAGTGGCACTCACTTATCTAATCGCGCCAAGTCACGCTACAATGTCAACGAATGATCTTCAAGTAAAGCAATAATTATTATTTATCCGTACATTGATACACGATATCTGTACGAATCACATAAATACATAAATACGATTATATAAAAAACACTTTCTGCGTACCATTTATAGAATTCGTTTAATTTTCGCAACGATAGAGTATATTAGAAACGATCGAACGGAGTAAGAGAACCTTGTCCCACTTTTCGAAATACGTTCGATCGGTTGTTACGTGTCGTACGTTTAAAATCTCTATACCTTGGACCGCGGAAGCGATCTTTGACGGATCAATTCGCCCCTTTAACAGCGTCTCTTGGCTCTCGTACACGTTAACGGTAACTTGAAAATGTTGCGTCTAGGAAATTTCGTCGTGCAGAGATCTGGAAATTTGAAAAAAATCAACTTAAATGCCAGGTGAGCTATTTTCATAAATAACATTGGCGTACCAACTTCTTTCAAAGTGCATAATTGATAACTGTCAAAGAACAAAAGACACGTGATATTTTACGTTCCCATAAGTGTTTAAACTTTTCTTTTTCATTGTATTATCGTCAAATTTCTTGAATGAATTATTTAAAAATTATTACGTGTAATTTTCGTTAATCCATATCTCGGATATTTCTATCGATATGATGTTGTTGGCTCGTTGGACTTTGAACGGATAACGTATGCATCTAGATAGAATATCAAATTTCAATTCTTTTATTTCAATACTCTGATCTATATTATATATGTTTATACATAAATAATTCTTTTCGAAGATATGTAAATTATGTAATTTAACAGAATTGTTGACAGCAGAATTTGAAATTCGAAACAGTTTTAAAATGGTAATTAATTGTATTGATTTTTAACTTTTTATTAATTTTTCGCTCCAACGAAAAATTGTTATTTTTCTGGTTGATTTTTATTCTTTAACAGCATGATTCAGAATGAGCGTAATATTATTAAAAATAAATGTATGAAATGATAATTGTTTCAGATGTTTGTCGACACAAGCAGCTGTCAAAAATGCTCCAGATGATAATATGGACAAACATAATGCTATAAAAAATAGTACATCCTTTACTAAGAATATTTTTCGTGGTCATGTACAAACGAGCCAAGTATTACCTTTCCCAAAACTTTTGAACGAGGAACAAACCGATACGTTAAAGTTATTAATCGATCCCATAGAGAAGTTTTACGAAGTAATAAAATTATGAAGAGAGAAATCCTCGTGACTTTGATGTTACTACGGCGTGAATTTAATTTTATTTAAATTTTTGTTTAAAGGAAGTAAATGACCCCCAAAGAAACGACGAAACTGCAACCATAGACGAGAAAACTATGGCTGCGATGTGGGAACTTGGTGTATTTGGCCTTCAAGTTCCACAAGAGTACGGAGGATTAGGATTAACTAATGTTCAATATAGCAAATTTGTTGAACTTTGCGGATATCATGATTTAGGTATTGCTATTATGCTAGGTGCGCATCAAAGTATAGGATACAAGGTATATTTATTATGTATTGTATTATTTTATTATTTATTATATGTTGTTATTTATTATTTATTATACATAGGGTATACTGTTATTTGGTACTCCGAAACAGAAAGAGAAATATCTGCCAAGAGTATGTAACAAAGAGATGGCAGCATTTTGTCTCACGGAACCAAGTTGCGGTTCGGACGCGAGTTCGGTTCGTAGTCGCGCGGTTAAATCACCAGATGAATCACATTATATTTTAAACGGTAGCAAAATTTGGATATCGAATGGCGGTCTTGCAGAAATAATGACTGTTTTTGCACAAGTTCCTACGAAAGATCCAAAAACTGGGGTGACAAAGGATAAAGTCACCGCTTTTATCGTCGAGAGAGCTTTCGGTGGTGTAACAAACGGACCACCAGAGAAGAAAATGGGTATTAAATGTAGTAACACAGCGGAAGTATATTTCGAAGATGTTAAAATACCTGCAGAGAATATTTTGAGCGAGGAAGGACAAGGTTTTAAGGTATTATTTGAGAGGACCTTATTCAAAATCGCGAAATTTTTTCCCCTCCCCGGGTTTCAGATGTTAATTACCATCTAAAATAGTCGTCGTTATTTTACATGATCTATACAAGTATTTTCAATTTTTACCATCGAAAAGAAATTTAAACAATTTTGTGTATTATCATTCGTGCAAAACATGTTGATGTTCATTGAATAACAGACTTAAATTGGATTTAGAAAAATCTATATATACATATATATATATATTTATTATATTTATATTAAATTTATCGTCGCATTAATTTTCTAGATACTATTTAAGCCTGTTATCATCTGATGATAGTCGCGTTGAAAATCCAAAACGTTTAAACATTATCATATATTATATGAATAATAAGGAAAAAAATGGCTGAATTATCGATAAGAATTATTTTTAGTTTCATATTAATCACTATGAATGAAAATATACTTTACGGATTTTGATAAAAAAAACTATCGCAATTATATCTTCTTTAATGTTCTTTCTGATAATGGAAGATAGATATCGAAAATATGCTTAAATAAGTAACTTTTTAAGAAAGTTAGAGAAATAACTTTTCCTGTTGTTTCAGGTTGCAATGACTATCTTAAATAATGGTCGGTATGGCATGGCATCTGCTCTTTCTGGTACTATGCGTTTATGTATTAAAAAAGCAGTTGAACATGCAACGCAGCGCGTACAATTTGGACGCACGATAGATAATTACGGAAGCATCCAAGAAAAATTGGGTCGTATGGCAATGTTACAATACATAACCGAATCGCTCGCGTTCACAATTTCCGGTAATATGGATGCCGGAAGTCAAGATTACCATTTAGAAGCTGCAATTTCTAAAGTATGATTCGTTTAACAAAGTAACAATTATATAACGGTATTGTTTTTATATTTAAAAGTTAACATTATATGCGATATAACGACTTTTCTTTTTAAATAGTGTTTTGCATCAGAGTCTGCGTGGTTGGTTTGCGACGAAGCTATCCAAATACTGGGTGGAATGGGATACATGAAAGGAACTGGTCTTGAACGCATTCTAAGAGATTTACGTATCTTTAAAATATTCGAAGGAACGAACGATATACTTCGTCTTTTTGTCGCGCTTACCGGAATTAAATATGCAGGAAGTCATTTGAAAGAATTACAAAAAGCATTCAAAAATCCTGCAGCTAACTTGGGATTAATTTTCGAAGAAGCCACGAAAAGAGCAACGCGAGTAATTGGTCTGGGATCAACACCTAATTTCACACATTTGGTACATCCAAGTTTGCAAGAAGGTGCTACATTATGTGCTAAGGTTTGTATTGATGTATATTTCGATATGGTAACGATCGAGACTGTTGGTTACTATCAATTAATCGTTTGTAGAGTGTGGAAGCTTTTGGCCAAAGTATAGAATCTACCCTGATTAAGTATGGGCGAGGAATTGTGGATGAACAATTTGTTCTCAACAGAATAGCACAAGTAGCATTTGACACTTATACTATGGCTGTTGTATTGAGTAGGGCGACTATGTCTGCAAATAAAAACCTTCCTACCGCAGAACATGAAATCCTTATGGCTCAAGCTTGGTGCACCGAAGTAAGAACATGTTTTTATTAACGTCTAATTTTACCGTTACTTACTTAAACCATGATATCAAATTTAATATTCCATATATGTGTTATTACAGGCATTCGGTCGTATAAATCTGAACATGAGCGTGGTTTCTTCCAGCAAACAATTAGATGTATTTAGCAAATTAAGTAAAATTTCGAGGAATATGTGTGATGTTGGTGGATGTGTTCAAAAAAATCCACTAGGTTTATAACAATGCGCAAAATGTAATTCGTGATTCAATTAGATTTTGCAAACAATTAACTTAAACCATGACAGAAGTTGAATAATCGGAAATTTTGAATTTGAAAATAAATTGTCAACTTCTTTACACTATTTTAATAAGCAACGAGCAATGCAATTCGTAAAATTATTATAGTAATAATTAATATTTTTCGTATTTTTACACAAAGAATATTGTATGTAAATCGTTATAAATAATATTATACACATAAAAGTAGATGCTGTTTGTTTTTTATTAATCCTCACGAAATAGTAAAATAAGTATTTAGGAAATAGAGTAATACACATGATATTTGTGTAATTTCTATATAATAAATTAAATTAAATCTAAGTACTGAACAAAAATGACAAGTTTGTTGTTACCGGGCCTAATTATTTATAATATAATCTGATTATAAACTCGGGAAGGTGGTGGGTCTATATGTAGAAAGAAGATTATACTACAACGAATCAGAAGCCGCCAACAAACTTTTCGCCTCTGTACAGTGGATGAATCATATTCATTTATACTGTTTTCATCTGACAGTTTAAGATGTTTTTATACCATTACACTATTCCTTTTTCACTTAAGATTTTGGTATGAAATATAAGAAAACAAGTACCATAAATATTTCAAGTTACAATTAATATTAACTCTTGATTACTTTCTTCTAATTCCGATATATAAATGCACAAGTTAACGATATCACAATGTTACGCAAAATGAGGATAAAGTTTCTGATCAGTTTACATCTGTCTATAACATGGAAGCACACAGAATATTTGTATAGCCATTGTATGGTTTGTTTAAATTTTACAGCATCCATGAGACAGTAATAATATTGCGCATAGAATAAAATACATGCAAAAACATAGAATCGTGTAATTCGTTATTATGATAGGTACGGCTTAAGTTTGAGATTCAAACTATTGGCAAACCTTTTCAATATATAAAGGATATATCGTTAATTATATTTAATTATATAAAAAATAGCAAAGAAATAACACTTAATGCTTGTTATTTTATTTTAAAGCTAAAATTTTCCAAAAGCAACTATCATTTAACAATATGTTACTTTTAAAAACTTTTCAATTATATATTGGCAGTGTTTTTCCCCAATTTGCAATACTTAACAAGAATAATTTGATTCTCAAACTTCCAGTTATCTAAAACATTTAACATGTATAATAGATATTATTTCAAGTAAATAAGGTAAAGTCATACGAAACTATTATGATCGAGTGCAATTTTATTACTGAATGCTTAAAACACGAAATTGGAAAGAATCTACTATTACCGATAGATATAACCGTGATCTATAACTTTCCAGAAAAATAGAATATTAGATTATTTTTTTTAGCTTTTGTTACTCCAGGTATGCAATCCTATTTTTGAAAACATACGAATTCATAATTTTTTTTCAACACACATGTATTTTTCCCTATATAATGTTACGTCTTATGGTCTAATAAGCCTTTGTAAGGATATTGGTACATATATATTATCGCGAATAATCAAGAAAATATAGCTAAAGTCAACTGATAATCGACACATTGATGAAAGATGGGAGAAATACAAACAACAAATAGTCGTATTGTTATTGGAACATAAGTTTTTTCACACCATCTGGTAAAAATTCCATTTTCATATTACTCTTAATTTGCATATATTGTAACCCTGATGTTCCTTTATAAGAAAATAAATCTTTATTAATCCAGCGATCAAGCTGTTGGCAATTCAATGAGTCGGTTAGAAATTTCATTGGAATGAAATTAGTTCACATATTGTTGTCTTATTAATGTACAGACAGACGACAGTGTGTGTGTGTGTGTGTGTGTGTGTGTGTGTGTGTGTGTGTTCCTGAGAATTTTTTTACTACCGCTTTAAGATCCACCTAACGTACTTACTTATGATGACAATGGTGAAAGTACAATTTCCTGTATATACATTTCTTTGTTTTTTTTTTAATATACAGAAATAATTGCATGTTATATGTATATCCTAATAGTAGCATAAGTTACAATGTCTTGCAACGTGTGACTATTGGTTGTATTTTAATTAACCCATTCTGTACATGTAACTAATTAAAACGAAACTAGCCAGAAGTTTCTTAAACGATACACTCAAATATTTACTTTCACAATATAGTATACTGTTTTCTATTTTTCAATATTTAAGTAAAATTTTATTTTCGTTGCATGTTATTATTTTACATAATCACGCTCATAGAAAACTACATGCGTAGTGGTTCAATCAATGATTTATAATATTAATTTGATCTACAACGACTTAGTAAAAATGTAATTATTTATAGGAAACGCTATAAAGATAAGTGTTTTTAAGTACAAAATAGTAAGCAGCGTAAGAAAATAAATTTACAGATGCTTAAAATTAAAACTTTAAAGTCTGTTTACATTGGACCAACGATTACCATAGAATGGTAGATTAATGTTATAGGAAGTACTATATGGAATTCATAAAAATTAATTAAACGTTGTACGAATGGAAAATATTAAAAATATATATCTTTAAAAACCAGTAAACTAGTTTTGTTCTTTCAAATATTATTTTATGTTTAGCAGTGGTTCAAAAGACAGGAAAGAACTTTATATTTTTCTTCGATATTATTTTTACATTACAGACATTATAACATTTATAGCATACAAATATAGTTAAAATGGAAATATAGAATGGTGTTTTAAAATTAATATAATAGAATTGAACATTTTTATACCAAATTATCTGTTTTATACAAGTTTACTTACAATTTGCTTCTTTCTAACACCTTAAAAATCTTGTTCGAGTAGATATACACTGTATATATTATTCACCCCATAATGAAAAATACATACAAAGTTGCTATAATGAAAGAAAATATTAACATTACCAAGTATAAAAACGAACAGATTTATCAATTCGTACCAGAATTAGAGATTTTCACTTATTAATTCCATTAATGAACAATGATTTTGCATCTTTAGTTACCACACGTGTGTACTTACAAGTTTATACCTTTTAACAATACAATATTACTACCTGGAGTAACTTAGAAGAGTTAGGAAGGCTAACCCTGTGCTATAGACAGATTCTTAAATGTTTGTCCATTCGAAGCAACAGAGATACAATAATGTTGCAATAACTGTGTCAAAAGCTCTCGTTCGTCCAACATTTCTATACGCTCGATTCGACTTCGATCAGTTTGAGGTAGCGAATCATAGACCTCTACCATTGTCCATGCATTAGAGCCTTCCCAATTATTTATTGTAAAGCTGAAATACACAATTTTCAAATCCTCTTGATAATGGTCATTAACTTTATAATATTAAACACGAATACGTACCGTCTTTGTTGGGTTTCCAAAGATTCACAGTCTTCCACTCCAGCCAACAAACACCCACGACTACGTAAATTAGACAACATAACTTGTCCAAATTTATCTTTCATATTCACTTGCTCGTAATTAACAAAAACACTATTTGGAAATTTTGCGGCAAGCCATTTCAACAATGCAGAAGCTGCGCTAGCGTCTACATACACTAAGACGCATTCTGCAAGGAACATGGTTGGCAGATTAAAATTAACTTCTGCTTGCGATAATTTATTAGTAAGTTCGGATATGTGCCGCAGATCTATTCCTACTAAGTGATAGTTGGCACCGTGTAGATCTGTCGTCGAAAATCTAATTTCCCCATCTATAAGAAACAGATAGGAAACGATGGAGAAATTCGTCTGTGAAAAATGCCGGTGTTGAAAAATTAATAGCATCTGGTCATTCTACCTTCTGTATTCATCATATCTATCAATTGTTTGTGCTTTTTAATGTGATAGCATTTTCTAGCAGTGACACTGGGAAAATCAAGTTCTACAAAGTTAATCGGGCTCTTTCCTGCATCTTTCAGCCTCCAATAAAGGGTATCAAATCCAGCACCCAAATTTATAATTTGCCCTTTCTCACCAGACAACTATTTCAATGTTATAAATTAATGTATAATCTATTGAAAAAGGCTCAACCAAGTTTTATTCTATTTTTCGGCATGAAAATATATAAACGTATAAGTACGTATTATATCTCCAATTTACTGATTAATTTCAATCATACTTTTTAAAGTATAAAAGGAAAACAATACTATCGATGTACAGAGCACAATAGTAATTATTCTAAAGATTAACAATCCGGCTGTAATTATTTATTATTTCTGTGCGAAAAGTGTGTGACAGGTGTTATATCGTAGTTCCACAGGAAAAGGTGGACCGCGAGAAATTAGGACAGGGCCTTGGTCAGGTCAAGGTTTCCCGCACTGCATAGTATACGTCCTTTGCTACTCAAATCAGCTGTATCCCGAATTGTTTCTATCATGTTTCTAGGTTATGCCAATTTCGGAATTGGGATTACGAAATTCGGAAAAATTATTTCAACGACACGTACCTTGATAAACTTGTCAACGAACACTTCGATGCCCTTTACTCTGGCATAATAACCACGATTGATTTCGGGCGCTTTTCGTCCGGTTTGTTTCACGAAAAAGTTGATAAATGGATCGGACCAGTAACCAAGTTGTACCGCGTATCTTTTACACTCACTCGCGTCATCGTTGGTGGCCTGTATGGCCTCATCATCAGCCATATCTTTGATCATTACACCAATTTTCGTTCACTTCAGTTACGATTAATCATAATTTCGTATGTATTCGTTTAGTCGAGAACCGCGGTACTCGCCACTTACAGACGAAGACCTGCACAAGCGACCATACTGCTGGCGACAACTGGCGACAACTGGCGACGCGAGACTGCTGTGTGCCTGCTGTATGCTGTATACAGTGTGGTGGCCAGATTTGGCATAATTGCGAGTAGTAGATCAGATCGACGGCGATACTAGTAACGACGAACTTCCTTAGCTTTTAACGGAATGGTGGGGAAAGCCGACGACATATCCTACCGCACGAGCCACATGTTCACGAGGTCAGCACTTGACGCAACTTTGGAAAATCGATAAAGAACCCTTCTTGCTCTTGAACACAGCTCAAGTCCTTTCTCGCGTCAATGGTATACAATTTCGAATCCCGACTGCCCAGCCATTTTTATGTTTCTTCATAAATTTATGTCTGTTCATAATTTTTTGATAAACGTTAGTAACTGTGTCGATTAAATGGATCCGATAAAGTATTAATGGAAAATAAATACATTAGGGAAGAAGTATGTAAGAAAGAAGGTATAAAGTATAAATAAATTTTATTACTGAATTATTCAAACTTTTCTTTTCACAGATTTAAATAGATTAGCTTCAATTCAAACGGGTAATAAATAAAATAATGTACGTTGTAATGTTAGCAAGTGTATTTGAATAAATTTAATACCCCTGGCATCTTTTAAACAAGAAATTCGTGTGATGGTATAATTGCATACTATATATATATATGTATAAATATATAAAGATACAAATTGATACATAAAAAATTTATAATTTTTACAGTGAATTACCACAACAAATAATGTTTCATGTGCTTTTCTCAACATTGTATATTATATCATAAAGATGATCAATCACAGCTATTTGCATATACGCTTTTAAATAAATTGATGCTAACAAATGAGTGAAAAATTAGTCGAGACACATATTGAAATAATATATCGATACAATTGTAATTACAGAGCACTATACCTACTATGGTATTAGTTTTACTCCAAAGAATATATGTAAATAGATAAGTAGGAATAAAATATAAAAGCTTTATTTAGCATTGACACTTAATTAGAAAGGGCACATAGTAAAATATATATAAATTAGAAAGCAAAACATGACATTGGAATATAATGCGGCTTAATAAATTCCAATGCGTTCAAACATCAAAACTACGGGTGATACGATTTTAGGCATATTAAAAGTATAAAAAATTAGGAGAGACTAGTAAGTATCACCTTTCATTACTTCATTGTTTTTATGGCTCCTAATTTTAAAACTTTTTCTTAGAGTATTTTTATCATTATTGTCAGTTCCTGTTATGGCAATTACTATTCTACGTCTGACTTCTTAACGACTGATTTTGTAGCTGTAGCTTTTACTTTTCTTTTTGGCGGAACTGGAGTATCGGAGGTACTAGACGATGGGGTTTCAGAAACGGTTGTATCAATATCAGGAGTTTGCAAAGTTTTTGTACCTTTTTTAACAAGTTTGACAGTCTTCTTTTGTTTACTATGAGAACTACATTCTTCTGCATCATCATCCAGTGCCTCTTCCGGTTTCGATTTTGACTTTTTTGCGACCTTTTTCACCACCTTTTTTCCAACTTTCTTCCCTGTACCATCGCCCTCAGCTGTTTCTACAGGGTCTGTTTCCGATGCTGATTTCTCCGGTGTCTTCTTTACAACTTTCTTTGTTGCTTTCTCTTGACTTTTTAAATCCTGTGGAGTTTCTGGAACACTTTTAGAAGATACAGTCAATTCTTTTGCTCTCGACGGCCTAACCGGATTTTCTCTCGACTGTGATGTTTTAGCTACTTGACACTCTGCAGAAGATTTACCTGTCCCTTTTCTGCAACTTTCACTTTTTTTAATCTGGTCCATTGCTTCTGTTGTTTTCTTTGTGCTGTCAACGGATTCTTTAACTTGTTGTACCGGCTCCATTGTCTCTTTCGTGCAACTTTCAGTTTCTTTGACTTGTACCGGTTCTGTTATTTCTTTTCTACAACTCTCAGATTCTTTCATTTCCTGTATCGATTCTGTTACTTGTAAATGTGTATCGGTATATGTTTCCGTGCTTTCGGCCATACTTAAAGGTAATGTGGCTGTTTCTTCAAGTTGAACTTGTCCTACGAGAGGTAGAATTTGTGAAATTTCTGCTGATTTTGTAAACGATTCGCTCAATTTATTAACAGTATCGATAATATCAGAACTTAATTTCTCCTTGTTCGGTACAGAATCAATTGCCGACGCCGAACCATTAACTTGTACTTTATTTTCTAAATCTGTTTTCAAGCAGAGTACATTAGACTCATGGACAGGTGTTATCGTAGAGGAAAGAACTTCTTCGGTCACCGTTTCCGAATCCGACACAGATTCTTTAGGTTCCATTTGAAGAACAGATTCTGCAACTTGTATCGGTACAGGGCTGACTGTAAGAACTTCAGAAGCAGTTGATAATTCATTTGCATGCTTTTCATCTCGAATATCTGGTTGTTTTATTTGTTGCGCATCTATAGTAATTTCAAGGTTTGTTACAGTACTTGCAAGTTCCTCTGTCGGAATAAGAAAACTGACGTTATCTTTGTTACAAGATTCAACTTTCTGTTCTCCGATTGAACAAGACTGAACCAAGTCGCATGGTACTATGGGTATAGTTATTTCTTGCGGGGCTCCTCTTAACAATAAACTTTTACTAAATTCCTCTGCAGGTTTTTCAGGAGATGTTTGCGTCGTAGATTGTGTAGAAAAAGAGTCTATAATCATACCATGAGGTTCACTTTCAAATCTTGTTGTAGATTTATCAGAAATATCTTTTATTTCTTCCGATACTGTTTGTCCATTTTTAGTTTTTTCAGCGGAAGATGATGTAGTATTGATAAATTCTCCACCCTTCTCGGATAATTTAGATACTATGTTATCATTGTCTGTTATAGGAACATTGTTAACTAGAGATTGTTCTTCGGTATGACTGATCGTTGCTTGAGCTAAATAAAAAAGATAATCACATTATATGTATATGTATAAATGTAATAATTTATGGGAATTAAAATTGATAATACGTTCCTTGCTAAATAAATTTAATATCTAAATTTTCATACAATTTTCAATAAAGATTTCAATTACTATTATCATTCGTGGCAGGGAACGTATAATAAATAATTATGGATTATGAAATAAAATTATGTGCAAATTAAAAAATATACACATAAGTGATACTCTATCTCCTTAATATTATTTTCAATTGCATACATGTATTTGAAAAGATTCTCTACTTCTAATGCGAAGAATACAATGATTTAAATTATTACTGAAAAAGTGCTCTTATTAAATGCTACATGATAACACTAAATACTAATATGAATGTACCATAAACACTGTGTTAATTTGAAGCACACAAAACATAAAGTCAAAATATTTTTAGCATATTATACAGATATTAGAAATGTTGTGTTACAATAATGATACGAAGAAACACGTCATGCACGATGATTGCAAACATATTTGATTTTTTTGCAGCACAGTTGTTATTATACCAAGCACACATGTAGAGTATTCTTGTTTTGAAATAAACATAAGCAAGCTATACAAATATATTCATTTGGTATTTGAAAAATTAGTAATATTTAATAATTTCTTTTGAGATACGTCATTAATTTGACATAGATTATTTTAGAAAATTTACAAGAATCTTTCATTTAAAAATATTAATTAAAATTTAATTGGTTACACAGTTAATATATTTTCCAGATTTTATTTTAAAATAAATTTAGTAAGAACCAAATGTTTAAAATTTACTAAATTAGATATGTGGGCATTTAATGTTAACGTACAATGAATGAAAACAGAATGGTATGATTTATTATTAATTGATGCTGCCCTAATGATATCAAGTTCAATATACTATATATTATTTACTGTTTTAGTTACGTTCAACAAACTTTTAAATTATTTAAAAATATGATTATAAAAATCGCGGTTGCGACGATGTGAGTTCTTAAAATATTTACCCCATTAAAGCAAAACGACAATACAAGACGTAGCAATGCTATGGCGCCAGGATCTGTTAGTTGCTGTCCTCTGTTCCTGTTTCAAACACTTAAACTTCATAAACTGTGTAAAAATATATATTTTTCGCGTTTTTTAGATTATATTAAAATTTTCCAATTTCGTATCGAGTACTGTTTGCGTTCGTTTTGAATTAACGTTCTATCACAAAAGTTTTATCATGAAATATCAGTTTGAATATCACATGCTGTATTAAAAAAAAAGGGGAAAAATAAAATCGCAAAGCGTGTTCAAGAAAACAGTTAATAGCTTTGCACTATTCAGCACTTTGATTTACAACTTCTTACATTTTTATTGATGCTCAAAATTTTCATTGAATTCATTTTGATATGCAGTCATAATCGTAACATACATATACATAAAAAAATGTGTGGAAAGTAATCATGTATAATTTGAAATATACAAATATTCCGAAACAAAAATAATATTTTTTATTTCCAGCTCAGAAATCACTTATATCCCAGTTATGCGATATATTTTATAAAATAGCCTATATAATCACAAAATATATGTGATACGTACACCTATGAAAATATAGTATAGTATAAGAACACATACCGGTTTCTTTATCCACCTCGTCTGTAGACTCAGCAGGTTGAACGGAACCAACGGATTCGGTACACTCAACAGATTCAACTGTCTTATCGGTCGTTGATTTCGCCACCTTTTGCGTTTCCTGTGAATTCAATTATAAACCTTGTTTATCTAAATAGCTACTTTTATCAATTTATAGAAACTATTGAATTGAATTAGTTACCTTAGGAGGAGATGGTAGTCGCGTTGGTGCAAGAGAGAGGGTTTGACAGATTTTCTTCCAGATATTGTCAAAACTATCAAGACCCATATAATCGATTTGTCCCTGCTCCCAACTTTGCTTACGCATATGTTCTTCTAATGCAATTTGTTCAGCACTTCTGGGTTCACCCAATGTTATTTGAGCCAAGGCACCGGCAAGTCCAGCCTACAAAAATAAAAAAAATACCTTTCTTTTTAATTCATTTGTAATATAATACATCTAAGAAGTAGTAGAGCGAGACTAAGATACAGTATATGTTTCTAGCAACTATTTTAACAAGTTACCTTATAAATTGTTATGATATACATACAAATGCATATACCACAAACATATAGAAAAGTGACGCACACACAAATCTAGCACAAATTAGTAAAGTAATAATAATAAAAAGGCGAATTGTTGAAGATAGACGTGGCATCCTTCCGGAGGAAGCCTTGAATTCGAGTATAAACTCGGTCCGCGTAAGCCTTAAATCTCATAATAATAACAATAATAACAATAATAATAATGTTAAAAATTCGAGAATATTATAAATTTCCTTCCTACAAGCAAATACTGTTACTCAGTTTATCGGTATAACTATAGGATAATGCCAAGGAAACTAAACAAATGTAAAGTGTAGATAAATTTTGTCAGGATTGTTAGAGACATTTCGTAAAAACACTTTTACTAAATAACTGCATTAAAACTGCAAGTAATGTCCCAAAAACTATTAGTTATACAAACAATATGTTTAATATATATTTTATGTAAGTATCTATACGATTAATTGTAACTAAATAAATATACATTGGCTATATAATATCCACTATAGATGATGACAAGAGGCATAAAGTCTAAAGTACATTTTTTAACTTTAATGCAATCTAAAGAAGTATATGGGAACAATTACTTACATTTGAACTGTCTTCCGTTACGTGTAGGTCAGATTGCGTTGCTACATTGTGGATATCTGTACAAGGTTTGGAAACAGGATGAGGGCTAGTAGATATCAGTGCATTAGTTCGTTCGTCTGTAATGTTTATATTTTCACCTTGTTCAGTATTTTGTTTGGTAAAGAGATTATTTTGATGAATTGTATTATTTTCTGTAGCTTGTTTACGTTCATTTGTATTATAAGGTTTTTGTTTTTCAGACTGGAAATCAGTATGTTCATTGGAATGAAAAGTTTGACTGTTTTGTTCATAACATTGAGTAGCTTGACGATGAGTTACATTATCATATATTTGATGTTGAGTACTATGTTGATGATTAACATAAGGTTCATGGTGTTGATGCTGTTTTGTTTCTTCCGGTAGTGATTTATTACTATTGTTTGCAGAATGCTGGTAAGCATGTTGATGTTGTGTTGTTTCTTCTGGAAATAATTCGTGATTATCATTGCAAGGATAGTGATAAGTATGTTGGTGGTTAACATGTTGATGTCTTTTTGTTTCTTCTGGTAATGATTTGCAGCTATTGCTCCAAGAATGTTGATAATCAACATGTCGTTGAAATTCATTGGTGTAATGTTGTACACTATGTACGGGTACATAATTTTCTGTATTTTGTTGATTTTGCCAGTAATCAGATTGAACGTTTAAAATGGGAGTATTATCAGAATGAAAAAACATATGTTTTTGTTTACTTTCACCAATGAACTGGTTAGATTGTTCTTGATTGCTATGGTGTTGGGCATGTGAACGAGAAGTATTATATTGGTTACATTGTTGCTCGTAAAACACTTCCTTGTCGTGTTCCGGTGGTGATTCATAATGTGTCTGATGAACAGACTCGACAGAATTAAACGTATCACTTAACATACTTATGGATGAAGATCTGTCGGTTGTGGAATAATACTGTTTTGTTTCATTATTGTCTTCTTTTCTATGAAAAACTAGATCACTTTGCACGTGATAATTTTCCCACGGGTCTTTAAATTCTGAGAAATCTGGTGTTTCTACGTAAAAGTCACTCTGTGCTTTGTCTTGTACGTCTACGTAAGTGGGACTGTTTGGAATATGGGTGCGAAAAGGCATAGGAGAAAATTCGTGCCAAATTGGTGCCAATGTGCTGGTGGTCTATGCAAGCATCATGCCAAAACAGAAAAATGCACATTCAGTTGGTTAGTAGAAAACTAATATAACAGTGTCCATTTTTCTTATGCCAGAATCACTATTTGGGAAATATGTAATATTATTATAGCAAATGATATTATGTTTTAGTCATATTTCGGATTTAACAGACAGTATTCCATGATTCTACGTCCGAACATGTCCAAGTTATATACCGTTCAATTTTTTCCCGTTCTATATTAAAATTGGATAATTTCTTGAAGGTGATGAACCGCCTAGGTGATAAGACGCTATTTTACGTACGCTCCGGTTCCCCAATCAGTACATTAAATGAAGGTTTTACTGTATAATCAGTTAAAAATGATATAGTTTGTGTCGTATTAATAATAATAATCATAACCTGATAAAGTACCAAATACCAAACTAAATTGGCAACATTCATCTTTATCAATTCGTTTCTCTATATGTTAACACGAGTCACGTATTGGAATTTACATACTTGCAAATTACAAATGTTTATATTGTAAATACAATAGCGCGAAATAAAAAAAATGGACACTGATCTACAAGAGGAAAAAAAAAAAATGGTAACAAAAAGATCAAAGAAGTTCAAAATGTTCTACTAGCTATGCTACTTTGGAAATTCCTTGAAAATTTGTAATATAATTTTTATATCGTTTGTTGTATCGCTTCAGCTATTATCAATATTGAAAATTATGCTACAACGGTAAAACGAAAAATATACCTTGAATGCCACAAAAAATAAATCATGTCAGAAAATGTCACTTGTTTGTTTTGAATATTATTTACAATGTCTGCATACACATTTAATTTTTCAAAAGAGAAATAATAGTTTGGCCGCAATACGATAATTTTCATACATATGTTATATAATAATACTTTTCAATATGTGCAATATATACAATCTTAACTACTTCATCAAGCATGTTTATATGTAACAGTGGGTGACTGTGCTTGTTATATGTAAACTAATTCTAAAGATGTTTAAAAAAACATTTTGCAAAGTGAATGGCACACTAACAAGAGCAATGGAAGCACGCTACCTTACCTTTTTCCAAATTATGTTTCAATTCAATGGCTTATTGCTTTTGCATTTTATTTGGGATATGTAAAACCTTAGTCTAATATAACGTACAATAAACAAGGAAAAAAGAAAAAAAGAAAAACAAAAAAAAATGTACAAAGTTATTTGAAAAATCATTATATTTACAGTGTTCTTTTCCATGTCTATAATTGGTTAAACACTGAAAGTAATTGATTGAACTTACCATAACAGGTGATAAGTGAGGATGCACTTTTTCACAAAATATATTCCACCATAATTGTAATAATGGTTGTAAATGTGCAGATTCCATTGGTGGTTGAACAATACCAGTCATAGTATCAAAATACTGTAACCATGGTTTTGTAATACCAATGAAATGTATTATTCTAACATCGTCTCCGAATCTGGGAAACAAGAATATCTGCAATTACTTTATTTTATGTGTTGCTATTATGATATCGCAACTTATACGCGTACGTAATAAGAAGATATTATTCCATAATTGATAAAAAAAACATAAGGCTTTCTTACTGTTTGAATGCAGGGAGGTAGGAATAGGTAGCCGTCGAACACATATTATAGATAAACGGTAAATGTTTCGAAATATCTTTGTGGGCCCAATCACTGAAGTACATGTTTAGTAAACCTTGATCACCGCCATCAAACGAGCCTTTATTTGCAGCAAATGCAGTGATAGAAGCAAAAGTTTGTTGAGATGGTTTGTATACAAATACACCAGAATTGAAACAGTCAGGCCAGCCGACGTCAGGGGCAGCAGACAGTTCTTCCCGTTCAAATAATTCATCGCAATTTCTGATTACCTAATGTATACGTATCAAGAATTAGAAAGAAGAATCTGAATAAAGTAGAATATCGTTATAGATTGGTTAAACACTTACAAGAGTATCTGCATCAAGAAAGACACATTTGTCATATAGAGTCAGTCTCCAACAATGTAATTTGGTAAATGTAATACCCAATTCTGGTCTAGCTAAAAGTGCCAAATTAGCTTCATCTTTCGAATCGAGTACATTTACTTCCGTTACTAGAGAAAATACTGCTGCCAATTTTTCCCTAAATCGATGAAAGAGAAATTTGAATTATTCGTATACGTAGCAGATTACTTAAAAATAAATTATTAACAAGTCGTGTACCCACCTCATTGTTTCTGTTACCCCAGGAGTGACCAAAACAGCTAATTCGTGCTTGGTACCTACTCGACGCAAAGAGTGTGCCAAGACTAAAGCGCCTAAGGAATAGGCATCATTGGTAGCCAGTGTAACCCAGGCATATCCTGAAATTTATGTTACAATATACATAAGCATGCCAATAAACTATTGATATTTCTATATTATAGTATACTCGTTTCATAACGATTGAAATCCAAGTAAAAAATGAAAGAATGAAAAAACATTTGATTGACCAATATTTATTCACGCACACGATTATAAATAATTGCGCGTGTACGTGAATCAAGTCCTCGTTGCTCGATAACATTGATATTGATCGTATCGCAATGTATATTAATTGGCATGCTGTGAGTGAAATTAACTTGGCAGACATTGAAACATTGATTCCTGTATTGTCTTTGATATTACATCATCAATATAGCTCAAATTGAAATGCATTTTTCAATTGATAGAAGCAGTCGAGGAAAGATAACTCCGTGAACTCTGTCGATGCCATTGACTTTAATTTACCATTTGTTTCCAACGATTACATAAAACAGAAGACAGCATTCCAACAATTATCTAACGCGAAGAATGTTCCTCGGTTAATAATAACAATAGGAATATCGGAAAGATTATTGCCGATGGAATTCAAAGTAAGTACTGTTGTACTTATAAAAACTAGCCCGGTTTTCGAAAATATCTTTTGGTAAGGAAGTTAGCTTAGAAAATACATTTTGTTTCGAAAGGTTCGAAATAGAAGTTGGATCGAAGCGCGGGAATCAAAATGCGTTTGCTTTCCGCGAGCAAAGAAATTATTTATAACGTTTTCTATTTCTAATTCGCGAATGTCATCGCGAGTGGCAGCTTACTCGCTAACCGAGGCCACCAGATCTCAAGAAATTTGGCTCTAGTCTTCCTGGATAAAACTCTATTTTTAGTCATTATCTGAACTTGCTGTGCTGTATATCCCACCAGATAGGATATAATCGGCAAGAAAGAACGCGTCGAATTAGCAAAATAAAACGATTTTGCTAATTCAACGTCGTTGGCCACTGGTTCGAGTTGCACACATAACGCAACTTTAAAGCATTCTTAACTTTTATACTTGTAGTTTAATTTCTATGTATATTTATCAGAAGGAATAGGAAAATCAGGTCTTTAACATTTTATCAAATTTCCTTCTAGACAATATCGTACAATGTAGACGTTTTACGAAATCCCGTGTAATTAGGTAACCTCGAGCCTTGAAAATGTACCGTTCATGTTTCTGGAATGGTTGCGTTCTACGTATCGACATTGAATGAGGTGTTATGTTTCCCGCGTTAGGTACGTACACTTTACGAGGTTGATCGTTATAATCATCGCATAAATGATAGTTCAATCTACGACAAATCGACAAAACGGTACATTCAACTATTCATCATAATGATTTTTCATTTTCATTTTTTACGATGGTTGAATGGGCGACAAAAAATATTAAAAATAAACATAGCATCGTTTTCGTGACATCAACTGTCACTGGTACAACTATTCCGTTTACAGTAAATAGATTATTATTAGTTCGAGACTCGATCTGTCGGAATGTGAAAATAAGTATGCTCAAGTATGCCTATCTCAACATTCGTCTAGGTCTATTTACATATAAGCCAGCAATTAGTGCTTCTCCAGTGCACACTGCGGAATATAAGACATTTAATTTTTATGTAGTTAGCATTGGTTTACATCGGTTTCTTATCAGCTCGACAATAATCGTTCATTCTACATAGTATATCGGACTTTTAAACTGTACACATACAATTTCTTTACAAAATGACGTTATTCCGATCCATATGACAACATCTCGTACATGTATGGTTTTTTTTTAATCTTTGGATACTAATATAAAATGTATATGCAATAATTTTGTTTCGTTAGATCGGTGAAATACATATCATATACGCGGTGCTCGGCGGTCGCGTCAAGCACGGTGGTAAAATTAAATGTAATGAATGCAAAGGAACAGCACTGACAAGTCACAGATGTAGAACGAGGAGAGATGAGAAGAACTCGGGAAGAGAATAGAAGAAAGCTCGGATTTCTGTTACCGATATTCACCGAAACAAAACTCGTTCGGTCGTATCGAGTCCCGGGAAATTAACTTACGATCATTTACAGTTTATTCATATGTATTTATTCAGAGTTGTATTGTTTCAGGCTTCAAGCCCAACGACGAGACAAATTCAACTTGAGGGTTATATCGAATGTTGCAACCGGAAAAGTTTCCTTTGCAACGATTTTCATTTTGGCGGAAGAACCGCATCAGCGAGAAAAAAGAAGAAGAAGAAAAACAATAAAAGATTTATCTTGGCTATGAGAAACGGCGGTACTCGGCTTCTCGTATATTGTAACACGCAGACGAAACCCGAGAGGCAGAGTGCCGGCGGGTCGCGTTGTGCCACACAGGTTTATATTTATACAAGCCGACCAGCTTATAATAGCAGCCGAGCCTAGCGTTTGTACAAAATGCATTCATATACTCTTGCCTTAGGTCAAGCACTTGTCGTCCAAGTCTGGCCAGATTTCCTTATGCGATCCCGTACACACGTATCGTCTATGAATCGACACTTTCTCTTCGTAGTAGCGACGCGAAATAACCATTCTCGTCGCTCTTATCGTCTCGGCAGAACGACGATAAACCGCCGATTACACGAGCTTCTAATTTTCAAACAGAATTCCTTGCTGTAATTGTGCTATTTATCAAATGGGAACCTCTTTCTTTGCTACCGCGTTATTTTCAACTGGTATTAAAATTATTCTCTTACTGTTCTTTCTCCATGGAAAAATTCAAACGAACAGACAAGGCATCCAAACACTTTCAGAGAATTAACTAAAGATTTATTAGGGGCAGTAAGTAATTAAACTTGTAAATAATGTATAATGATATACCGATCAAGCATCGATTCTATGCGAAACGTGTTAATTAACGAGAATTGGGCATCCCCTTTTAATGCCACCCGATGTCAAAATGAAGATCGATTCTGTCGCAGAGCGTGCTGCGATTAAATACGTTTCGTGACTATTTTAAGCCTGCTGCGCATGGAATTAAGACAATAAGGATAGAAGAAACAACAACTGCATTCCCAGTGTTTAATTAGGAATCAGTGCATCGTACGAAAGAAGACGCAACTGTGTTCCTAGCACGTCTAGAGACCGTAGATCGGAAACTAGAATTACCGAGCCCAACCCAGACGAAGGTCAAGACTGAACTTATATAAAAATAGTACTCGACTAGTTTCTGTCGATCCAAGTACAATGCACCGAACAATACGAACGAACGAACGGATTCCGATTAGCGTGACATTAAACTCTGTGCTCTTGCACGACACGTTTTTTATTCGGGGAGTATTCGGTTCTCTGGATATAAACGTATTACACGTTTCTGCTCTCGAAATTACCGACTTCTCGTCGTCTTTATACTATCATCTCCCGCGTGTTGAATTATTAAAACGCGAAACAGAATAACGAGGCATCATTACTGTGTCAACATTAAATTTTTCATTTTTTTCAGTGGAATTTCTCACGGGTTTATCGCTCCCGGTTACATCATCGTGCCGCACCGATCGATAAACATAAATTAATATAGTCGAAATATATATCATCCGATTACGAAAATCTTTAATTAGGTAATATGTACCATTTAAAAGTAATTACTCAAAATCGAGGATAAATATTTACAATAAAATGAAGGTAATTAATATGCAAAGCGCATATTTTCTTTATTTATAATACTTTGTTCACGCACGTTTGCCTCGCGCGGAACAACCCAGCGAATCTATGCAAGACATTTTTGAATAACACAAGACAATTTTACCACACGTGTAAAATAAATATAGAGAGACGGACGGGGTTTGGCAAAGAGCCGCAATTTCTCCCCCAGACGGCTAAGAATAAACGGTAGGAATACTGCCGACAGTTATCTTATTTTATGCAGCAGGAATCTTGCATCTAATAAAAAAAAAAGGCACAGAATACCTCCCTGCACTTGAGCCAATCCTCCAAGTACTTAATTAATTAAATGGTATACAGCACGAAATTAATTTTATTTCTTAAAGCACGATACATTTTTTTTTTTGTTGCAAACAACGTCAACTACTTCGTTTTGTATAAATTTCAAATATAGAGGATATGAAAAAAGTATTATGGAATAAATATTAAGTTCGTTGTATTTATACCAGCGTATCATGTTAGAACTTAAAATATGGCTGCCCAGTTACACTAACGAAAATAGACTTACTTGCATGTTTGCAATATTACTTTGTTACAAGTAAAAACAATAAAATTGCTCAAAGTCGTTTTCAAGCGTGTAATTCTATTGATTGTAAAACATAACCAAGCGTAATGTATTTGATGTATCCGTGTACAACTATCGGTATACATACATATAATATTAAATTGGCGTCGTCTCTGTCGAAAAAAAGCAAAACAAAAAGAGTTCGCGCATGCGTTCGAATAGAACAGCAGAAAACATACCGCGAATCTCACCGATCTTTGCAAAATAAATTAAAACGAGCACACATGTTCAAAAGTAAATGAGAAGAAAATGAAGTTAGAAAAGAAATCATTTTTTCGTACGTAAAAACATACTACAGGGATACGATTAAATAAAACCTAAAACCTACGTGTTTTCACGCGTTAAACGGTTATTATTCGTTGCCCATATTAGATATAAATCGTATGAAGGTCATTGGGTCAAGACCGGTTACCGGCGACTTTATCACAGACCCCAAATGAACTCTCAATGAACGTAACCTACAAGCCGAGACGCGTTTAGCAGGGGGAAAAAAGTCAAAATGCCTCTCACAGACGATTCGTGTACTTACCACCCATGGTTGGAGAGAAACTCTGTGTTTCTTCTTCGATGGATGACTCTACAGCACACTCAACACTTGCCAATTCCCACACAACTGACAAAGATTCATACGCACTTCACCAGCGCTACAACACGAGTGACGAATCGAGGCTCTCCTTCCATCGCCGTGGCGCTATCCCCACCTTCCGTTCCATGCGAACCAAAGTTCTGCATTATCGACCGAAGGTATCGACTCTACCACAGACAAGGTATACGTGTAGACATTTCACCACAGACGAGGAATCCCTCCCATAATCAACTCACATGTATTTAGGCACACATTACAGCTAATAGTATGTACTAATAAAGGGGATACTAATAAACTCACCTCCGAATTTTCAGGTCGGTATGGCAGTCAGATTGGGCCAGGAAAGTCCGTAAGGTGTAATGTCTACTTGTATACCTCGTCCGTCTGTGCCACTGCCACAAATAAATGCATTCACATTAGATTTCACATATTGGAATGTTTATGTTTCGGGCTTGTGAGCATTACATTCTCAGAAAGTTTGCATCACGTCTAACATTAATGATATCAACCCCTTGACATACGATTTAATTAGAATAATCTTTACTTTTGTTTAAATGTATTCGGTAATATATCGGTTTCGGTATAGCTTTGCCAGAATAATATCAGTATCAAAATCATATTTATGTAAAATCCCCGTTTATAACTGTTTGATAAAAACCGATATACATCGTACAACACTTTGAAGCAGTTATTCTCAGAACCTTTTCGCTTCTTGGTATACATATAGTCGATCACTTACCGTAGCACATGAATCGAATGCAAAGTTGAAATTGTAACGAACAGGCGCAGTACAATGGCAGCTGAATAATCCATGCGCGCGAATTTTACAGCCGTTCGCGACACCTGCCGCGAAAACACTGCGGTGAGCGATGCGTCGTTTCAGTTCCGGGCGTTCCTCGATGACAAACAAACATGCATCGTGTAGCAGAAGAAGGTACGACAGCGGTCGAAATTACAGCGATACATTCGCTCGCGCGCTATAATTCTTTTGACTTTGAAGTGGCCCTTTCGATGCCATAAAATGTGGCCAATTCATTGGCCAAAATTAGTGCTGCGACGGCCGTAAAAATTCATACCTATGAGATCAGCTCTCATCTCCATCTCCAGCACGTTGACGTTCACCGAGGAGTGGCGCGTAAAAAGATGGCCAGCTCACCGACCAGCATCGAAAATCAAATAGACAGTTTTCTGGAACAGTTCAAACGCAGTGCCTCCCGTGCTATGGAGGAATCTCATAGACCTAGCTACAATGCTTGCAGCAGTAGTATCAGTCACAGTCGAAGTGGGAATCTGGATCTCGAAATCTTGGAGGCTGGTGAGTTTCCGCTGTAACTTTCTCACGGTCTATTGTTCCATCGCATTTGAATTTTCGCTGCCTTCTACTCTTCCTTCTGCCCTTTCTTTTTTTCCAGCAGAAAATCAACAGTTTTTTTCACTTGCTGTCGATTGATTTTTCGGGCGTTTCTCGCACATTTCTATGTACCCATTTTCTAATAATTTACTGGTCCAAATACATCTACATCAAATTTTCCATGTACATACTCTTTCTACATCTTTGATGTCTTAAGAATGTTTATAAAATTATATCAGTTAATATTTTTTAAATATCATATTTTAAACTTTACACATTTATTGCATTGTAAAATTATAATAACACACGTATGCCGTTCGTTATAATTGTATGCAAATGTATTTACACCGACATATCACTAATGTTCGTTGTAAGATAACAAAATAATTCATGCACATGTATAATATACGTCACATTTAAAAAGCGAATATTTTTATGCGTTTTTTTCCAATTGTTCGTTAAAAATTGCATTTTTATGAAATCAATAGCAAAAACATTTGCACTGGTTGTTTTAAATTGCACCAGCCCATTTAATGAAACAATAGCAATATTTCTGGTGATCAGACACGTTTCTATGTTAACGATTAAATAATTATCAAGTAATATTGAATTTGTTTCGATTGTATCGTACGGTTTGACAATGACACGCTGCAAGTCACGTGTTGCTAAACAGCTATCCCTCTTTAGAAATCGAGTCTTTCGTGATTGGTTGTTTCATTTTGTCCATAGACTTGTATACAGATAAACGGCTCCTTCTTCAGGGCGCGTTTTGAAGCATACATCGAAGAAAAGCGACAGAGTCTCTCTCTCTCTCTCTCTTTCTGTGTGCGTGCGTGTGTGGCTTTCTCACGCGTTACAGGAAGAGAGGAAGTAAATGATTAGCGAACGAGATGATAAAGTTTACGATATACGACACTATTTCTGATATCTGTCGCCAATTTACGTCCGAGTTAAAAAGAGGCACAACAACTCCACTATTGTTCTCTCTGTTTTATATTGTCTTGGAGTTTTTGTCGCTGGTCGTCGCGCAGCGCAGTCTATCCGAATATGTCTATGGTCTTGCTTTTCACATCATCGCGAAAATTCGTGAACCGGCATTATGGTGTATTGTAACTCGATTAGATTTCGCTAGAGGTCGTCGCTTAATATCGTAGCGGCTCATGTCGAGGAGTTGTAACACTGCAGGGATGCAAGATGTATTTAGTAGCCTCGTGAAGGAAATATCGACTCGATGTATCGCCATTAATTGCATTTATACGGATCGCGTAACCAATGTGGTCATAATCTGTTTCTTGATTCACGGTATTTTTTTTGATCGTTACGTGGAGTGATAAGCGGCGCAGTTCTGTCGAGATAATCGAGGTGTATAGAGATCAATCGAAAATACCGGCTGCAATGTTCGAACGAGAAACAGGCACCGGCGTCGCTATCAGATTCCGTTAAGTCGACGTACGCGACAAATTAGCCTGACTCGCCGCGTCGGTAATAAAATAGTCCCTTAAAAACTAATAAACCGAACTGCTGCACGTCAACCTTTACTGATAATACCACGTGACCGTTTTCAAGCGCATAGAAATTTACTGTGTGATAAAGAACGATATGATTCTACGACGAAAGTCCGTGCGCAGCTGCAATTGTCCCTGTCATCAGCATTGCTCCACGAAATGTGCAGGTTTGAGTGAATTATACGTGTTTTTTCTACTACTAGATTAATTCAACACGAATGGACGTTAACAATGATGTACTAATTAGAAACGCTAACGACGTAAGCGATCATTCCAGTTCTCTTTTCATAACTATAAACGGATTATTGATTTATGGAAATATCTTATTTGTTTACGTACTGGTTATTACAGTATGTTTGTTACAAATAACCGATGACATAATTATTTATAAACTTTGTGTACAAATATTTTATAGAAAATTAATTTAGTTATGGATATTCATTAATTTCTCATGCATACAGTTTATGCGTTTGTATGTGTATACCTACGTGTTTACACTTTAATATTGATCACATTATTCACACCCGCGTCAAGATGTTTTACAATTTATTAATCGATAATTCAACACGCCCAAATAAGCGTTTACAAGTCGGTAATAAAGTGGCTTACTTTTTAAATATTTGACTATGTATTTATCTATGTTGTAACATTTGTACTGCATGTATGTATCCGTGTATGTTCAGTTTTGTCAACGTTGTCGGATTAAAAATTTATACGATCTATGCTTGACGATAATGTTTAAGATTTATCACGATGAAATTATACAGTGATACATTATCGTCCTACCTGCAGGATGTTCCTAAATGTTCAACTAAACTTGAATAGCGTATTCTATTAATACAGATCATACAAATTCCTTAATATTTAATTACTACTATCGTTCTTATCGTTATGCGGTATTCGGATACATTTGTTTACGATATACGAGCAAAATGAACGTTCGAGTTGTTTCGTGACTATATAATTCTCAGTATCTATGACTGAAAAAATACATTTGCAGATTTTTAAACGTTTAATATTTTTTCTTTGGCGCAATTAATAGAATATGTACGTTAGTAAAGTCCGGTGAAGCGTTTCAGGAACAGCCTGTATTCGCTCGAGTTGCAACGTAGAAACTGATCCTGTATGTACGGGACTGGACCTGTTATCCCCTCCATGCAATGTTACGAACTACGTTCGCCATATCATTGAGCGTGGTGCTTCACAATATCAACCGGTATATCGAGAATCACGAACAATTTCTACCGCGAAACTACACATTTGTAAATGTGGCGCCTTTTAAAACACAATATCATTGACTTTGCGAAGATAATCACAAAGTTGAGTCGAGAAAAGGTAAGTAAACTTTGACGTGCCACGTACCATAAAGATCAAAGTTGGAAAGCCGTCGTCGTAGATAGCGATTCTCAACCTTGTTGGTGTCGACTTTCTTTCTTTCTTTCTTTCTTTCTTTCTTTCTTTCTTTCTTTTTTTTTCTGTATCTTTATACAAGAAATTATAGAGACTAATACGTATTCGTTTCCTATTTATGCAACGTCCGTTAAAATAATTTTCTTTACTACTGTATTTTTCCTGTTCTCGAGGAATTTTTAATTTCACGATAAAATGTTCACATTGGCATGTACATTTAACGAGACTGTAATCAGCTGATCATTTGTTTCGAATGTTATCGTTTTTGAAATTTCTTGTCATACGGTATTTCGTAAATATATAATAACTTATTTTTTATTCGAGTTACCTTTGAAATATTGATGTTTACCAGAAAGTGTTAAAAGGCACATCATTGTATAAAGTTTGGTTGAACATGGATGCTAATTTGTGTGAAAAAAATGAGATGCAAGTGCAAGAAGGTGTTGTTACAACTCCAGACATTTTATGTGAAAAAAATAAAAAAACACAGGTATCTAATTGTCAATGTATGATCAATGATGAATTGACATATACACAAACAAAAGAAAAGGTAAGTGAATATCTGTGTTAAGTTTTATGAAAGAAAATATCTTAAATAATTTTAATGTTAAATTAAAGTTTACACGATATGAACAAGTTTGTATTATTACAGGTAGTACGCACAGATGCAACAAATATTTCTACCAAACCAAAGAAAAGTTTGACTAAAATTAAGGTGAAGAAATCCAAACCTGACGGGGAATCAAGTTACGACTCCACAAAGTTAGAGGATAGCCCGGCACAAGTATTAGAACGATTTAAGCGAGGATGCGAATGTCAAGACGATCAGTGTTTTAAAGGGTTAAATCCTGAAACTGTGTATCGGCATAGATTGAATATCGCAGAATTAACAAAGGCTGAACACGATATGTATTTAATGGGTGTTACTATGGCTTGTTTGACAAATCCGTACGAAACAGCAAGACATACGGAACGACGTAGATTACGTGCACAGTATGTGTATCAAGGTCGTAGAGTCTGTTTAGATGCTTTTTTATATTTGGAAAACTGTACGCATTATCAAATAAAAAGAATTAGGAAACACTTAATGACTCATGGCGTCACGCCAAGAGTTCATGGCAATCATGGAAAGATTCCGCACAACACATTTTCTTTAGATATTTATAAAATTGCGACAGAATTCTTAAAAAATTTTATTGAATTGCAGGAAGCAAAACAAAAGACTAAAGTTGCTAAAAATGCACAGTTACACCTTACATCGGATGTTACTCGCAAAGTAGTGTATGATTTGTACATACAGTATTGTAGGAAAATGTCACCTAATATTAAAATAATGGGGTATTCGACGTTCAGAAGATTTATGAAAGTTCAATTTCCACAAGTCAAGTTTGCAAAATTAGAATTTGTAGTTAGAAATCAAAGTGTACAAAATCAAGGGTGTAATAAGACTGACTCGGAAAAGAAGGAACCGATCGATGAAAAATTGCCTGAATCAGCAGACTTAATAACAGAGGATGGTGCCTTATTACCTTTATTAATTGCTAGTGAAACGGGACAAAGTGATACTTATTTTTTGACACCAGTCAGCAAATTACAGGATGGTATGAGTTATCAGATAACTACAAGTGGGCTTCTAGTCAATAAACCGGCATTGCCTATCACTCTAACTAAAGTAAATGCTATTTAAAAACAGAAGTCTTTATATTTAATATTTAGATATGATTAAGAAAATAATATATGTAATAATATATACATATACATGGAAAATAGATATCTAAGCGATACTTTAAACATCACACTTTATATCGAAGAAGAAGTAATTTATAGTTTATACAATAAAATGAAGGGTCCTTTGTCTAAGATATGTACAGATTTATGTCTTATAATACTTATCCATTGTTTTATATGAAACGTCGCCATTCTTTTATTCAACTGTGTTGCTTTGAAAAGCTCATGTTTTATAGCAATAATTTATAGAAATATTATAATTGATTTTTCTTTGTTTTTTACATATATTGACACAAATATATGATCATTATTCAATAGGTATTCTATTCTAAGTTACTGGTATTACTCCTTTATATTGAAAAAAAAACAGTATTAATTATGTAAGAGGTGGAAACCTGTTAGAAGTTGATAAATATTTGTTTGAAAGTCAAGTAGTCAGACCTTATAACCATTTAACGATACAATGTATTATGGAAATATAGTTGGAATAGATTACATAAAGCTCTTCTACGTGTTTCAGAAGTATTTTATGCAAATTCATGTCCTATATTTTTATATAAAAGAGTGAAAATGTATATTTAAGTATGGGACATATTATAACCGATGTATAATATCCTCATATAAAATATCTTACTCCAACAAAAAGTCAAACGTGTAAAATAAGTCTTTATAAAAGTTAAGAATTTAATGTATAATTGTTTTATGTTAATGTTTACATTTTATACAACACAGATGTGTAATAAATAATATGAGCAATAAATAATTTGTATTTTTGCAATTTATAGATTTGTTCGTTTCTTTTCATTATTATATACTAAGCTTATAATAGTTTTTTTAAATACAGATTAAATATAGAAGTTCCGGTTGAATTTTAAACATGCAAATTAAGGAACTAAAGAATTTTAATACAGTGCCTCGTAAATCACTTGTAAAATGAATTAACATTGAGGATTAAACTGCTAATGTTAACTTAAATTAAACCAGGGTTTGATTGATTTGGAAACTATGGGGGGAATGAAAGAAAAGAAAAACTTTATGAAAAGATATTACTTTTTTTTAGTATAATAATTTTTTACGTTTTTTGTTCCTTTTTTTTTTTGTAGGAATTAAATTTCACATTGATCATTCAGTGTTGAGGAGTTCAAGTTTGAGAGCCTCTTGGTTTACAGTTACAACAGAAATGTTGTAGGTACAACAGAGAACTGTTTCAGTTAGTTGGAGTCAGCAAGGTCATATGAGTGCACTCTGAGGTCTCAGTCACATACAGTAAATATTACATAAGTGATCATCACTGCAAATTGTGCAAATAACATAAGACCATATCTTGATTGAAGTAATTTCTTTAAACAGTTATATACTTGTAACAATAATGTCTTACAAGAGTGACTTATGTTTGAAAGAAGCTTACAATGTTTATACACTAAATTTACTGTTTAAATTTATCACGTGCAAAAATGTAAATAATATAAGCAGTATAAGTTTATATACGCCACATTGATATTTCAGTTATTTGGTATCATGTGTATTGTATAGTGTACATTTATATTTTCAATCCAGTAAGTCTGTTAAATCTGTGTAATGTAATTCAATTAGATTGATCTTTTACAGAGGATGTAGAAAGTATGACTGGCGAGATTGAAAATGGGGATTTGGCAATCCGAGATGTTGCAGACCTTCTCCAATCACAGTATGCTATTATAGCAGGTAATTGATGCTCATTCTTGCTAATATTAGTGAAAAGTATCATTCAATTATTAGTCTTTGATTTTAATTGTATATCTTGTACATATCCGTAGGAGGAAAAACTCGAGAGGGCTGTCCAATAATTACTTTTCCCGATAATGGTAATTTTCACAATTTAACTGACTTGGATTATCAACGTCTCATGCTGTATCTTACTTCCGTGCCAACGTAAGATTTCACTATTATTATTATTATTATTATTATTATGTGTCTACAAATCTTAGTTATATAAAAGTATTATCGATGATTTTCAGTTTACAAGAAGCTGATCTTGGGTTTCATTTAATAATTGATAGAAGAAACGATAAATGGAACACAGTGAAAACTGTCTTATTAAAAATCTCTGTAAGTATATGTATAAAAAGATATAGTTAAATAGTAAAATTAATATAAAACTAAACTTGTTAATACAATCATTTTATACTTTAGGGTTTCTTTCCTGGTTTAGTGCATGTAGCATACGTTTTACGTCCAGCTGGATTTTTACAAAAAGCTATTTCTGAAGTGTCAAATAAATTATTTCGAGAAGAGTTCAAGTTCAGAGTTATATTTTTAGCAAATATTGTTGAACTTCATGAGTTTATAGAAAAAGATCAGTTGACCGAGCAACTTGGTGGTAATCTGCCATATTGCCATCACACTTGGATACAAAACAGAATTGTAAGAATCTAGTCTCTAAAATAGAGAAAAGCAATATAGAAATACATAGTGTGGAATTTTAATTTTATTTCTATACCTTGCAGAGTTTAGAAAAGTTCTCATCAATGACACAAGACGTATCTTTCGCATTGGATTCTTTTACACGGCGCTTAGCCGAGATTGAATTTCCCAATAATACTGTTGCAACAACATCTTTACTGTCCCAACAACAGGTCGAGTACAATGAATTGAAGGAAGAAATTCTTAGTGCTGCCAGACACGGCGAAGCACTTTTGGACAGTGTGCGGCAAGTAAATGGCAAGGGAACGGCTGACAGATTAGGAAATGTTGCGGCAGTAGAAAGGTGCGAGATAGTTTAATTTAAGAACGAATTCATGCATTATATTGTTTATAATTAAAAAATAACAAGACATTATTTTCGTTTCCAGATTACTTGTTCAATTAGAAGAAACGGAACGTACCTTTGACTTATTTTGGTCACATCACAGTTCTCGTTTGAGGCACTGCCTAGCTTTGAGACAATTTGAAGCCGACTTTCGAGAATTACAAGCAACATTGGACCAACATTTAAAAACGATAGAAGATATGACAGAAGTAGGAGAAACTCAAGCAAGAGTCGAACAATTACTTTGCGACACATTGGCGTTTCAACGAATTTGTAGAGTATGTACCATTCTTTTACCGATATCTGCACCATTTTATATTGTTAAACAAAAACACCTATTTAAACTTACGATGCGAAGCAACAAATACGTAATAAATGTTCCAGTCTAAATAGATATTTTTTAATACATGAGAAAATAACGTTCGTGTGTCACACGTAAATTATTATAACATGTGTCGCTCTCAATCATGCACAGTTAATGAAATTACATAATTAAAAAAAATATCAATGATAGAATACTAATGGGTTTAAGTTTGAGAATGTTTACAATGCACTTAAAGCAACAAGGTGTAATATCCAAACCAGTATAATATTATATTATTTGATCCATTAAGTAACATTTTTATATGATATTTGTATACATACATATGTATATTCTAAGGTGGTCCATATTTCAGCCATCTATGAAATCATTTTAATGCATTTTCATTAAATACAACTAATAAACGATTCCATGTACAATGTAAATTCTGGTTTGGATACATTTATAAGCAGTCACATATCCATATAACGCACACCATGCACAAATGTTACTTTGCACCGCTTTCCTCATTTTGTCGATAGTCCTATTTGTTGCATACCATGTGGATTTGGGTCTTGGTAAGCAATCCACTCAACAAAATACATATATCTTGTAATAGATTTACATTTTTTAAATCACAGTGATAATAATTTAGTACTTCAAATATTATAATCCTGTGTTTATTATACCTTAAGATAAAATAAGAAACATATTACTTTTAGCAGTTTTTTTATGGGTTTCTGAATTAAATCTCTATCTAAGTCGTTCTCTTGGTAAATGTATTATATGTATACATAGTATGTATACGTAAATTAAAAAATTGTTAATGAATAAAAGAAATAGGGATTTAATTCGTGCCTTGTACTGGCATGATGGGTCTTTGAGAATGAATATCATTGTTATTTCTCACTTTGCACTGCACGTAAGATAGTTTAATCTTTTTTTTGGAATACTTTTTTAGACGAATAATATACATTTAATGAAAAAAAGTTCAATAACTGTTTGTAGTTTTCTTGTTAATGTGATTTAAACGTTTGTTAAACGTAAATAAAATTCCATAAATTTATAGGGAGATATAGAACGTGCGGAGGAAGTGATATCAGCTGGTCAGCAATTGTTGTCCGGAAGACACCAATGCCCGACGGACGTCGTAGAACCCAAGTGCGTGGAATTACAGAGGATTTGTACTATTTTAAGCCAAAGATTGGAAAGGCGACTACACATGTTGACTAAATGCAGAGAACTTATGGAACGAATAGATAAAGTAACTATTTACAAGTTAGAAAGTATTTAGGAGAAAGAATTTCTAGCGTTAACTCGGTTACAAAACATAAATTTATTTCTACATATACGCATAATAGGCAAATACGTGGTGTACACGTGGAATAGAATTACTTGCATCGCAAAATAATGTAACACCGCCTGACCAAGCGCTTCAAGAATTGCAAGAATTGATAGAAGCCGCGGAAGAATTTCATCATCCCAGATGTATTTTTCAAGACTTTGTAATGCCTGAAACAAAAGCTCTTATTACTCAAGTATGGGAAATTATTTTTATCTCGGCGATTCGATGACAGTGTCAATGAAATGTAAAACATTTTACTTATTCCATGAAACGTGTGCATTAGGTTTTGCAAAGAATAGAAGATGTATCTTTAATGTGCGACAAAAGAATAATGACACTGAAGCAGCAATTGATTAAACCAGCAAGACCAGTTCAAACCGTGACACCTGAACCAGTCAAGCCATTACAATCACTGCCTCAAACCGTGAAACCTGGAAGAATTCTTAAAAAAGCTAACACTATGCCAAAGGTACAAAGAGCTATTATCGTCCGTGATTTAATACAGCATTATAAATAACTACAATTCGTTACATTCTTTTAGATGGAAATGAGTCCTATAGAAGGAGAATCTTCATCGCCGGAAAGTGAATCTAAAGATGTAGAAGCTTTACGTTTAAAACGCGGTCACGTTTTGGCGGAACTCGTTGAAACTGAACGAATCTACGTTGCCGAGTTAGGATCTATAATTAAGGGGTACAAAATGGAATTAACAAACGAAACAATGGCACATTTAATACCGGCAGCGCTAGTAGGCAAAGGGGATATTTTATTTGGTAACTTGGAAGATATTTACAGTTTTCACGGGGAGACGTTTTTAAGGGATTTAGAGAACTGTATTTCAAATACCGAACTTGTTGCATTATGTTTTGTACAAAGGGTAAGAACTTGTTTACATACATACGTTTTTTAATAAATTATGTAAAGTATTCTTCGATAATATATTTTCATTTTTAGCGCGAAGTGTTCTTCAGATTATATAGTTATTACTGTCAAAATATTCAAAGATCGGAAAGATTACGAGAACAGATCCAAAATGAGCCGCAGTTTCTTGCAACTTGTCAACAGAGGCTTGGTCATAAGTTACCTCTTGCCGCGTATCTTCTTAAACCCGTACAACGTATAACCAAATACCAATTGTTATTAAAAGATCTTTTAAAATATAGCGACGAACCATCGTGTTGTACTGAATTACAAGAAGCCTTGGACTGTATGTTAGTCGTGTTAAAGTGCGTCAACGATAGTATGCATCAAACTGCAATCACTGGATTTGGCGTGAGTGGAATATTATTTGTTTCTTTGTATTGTTGTTTAATCATGTTGAATGAGGTTATGTTGTAATCTTATTTCTAGGGAGATTTAAATGCGCAAGGTGAGCTGTTATTACAGGGCTCGTTCAGTGTATGGAGTAGCAGTAAACGAGAACGACTTCTCAGGTTAAAGCCATCTCAACGTCATATTTTCTTGTACGAGAAGGCTCTTATATTTTGTAAGCATAGTAAACCTCAAGCTCATAATAAAGCTACATACCACTTTAAGAGATATTTGAAGGTGATTTACGATTTACGATTCTTAATATTTTCATTAAATTTTATTCGTGTTGTAGAATGTATGTATAATTCTATTTTTGTTTAGATGTCGCAAATTGGACTAACAGAATCGGTGAAAGGCGATGCCAGGCGTTTTGAAATTTGGCTTCAAGGTCGAGCCGAAGTACATACAATACAGGCATCCACCATTGACGTGAAACAATCTTGGGTGCGTCAAATAAAAGGTGTTTTAATGTCCCAATTAGCTGAACTTAAGGGAAAACAAAATTCTGCTCTTGGAAAGACTAACCACAAGTATGTTGTATTTAAAACTTTGCCAACGGTAATTGAACGTACATTTAACAAAATTATATTTCTAGACCTTTGCGGCAAACAATTTCGTGGGAAGCTCAAGGCAGTGTTTCCGGGTCTCTACGGACTCTTTCGGTCGATGGTAGCAGTGTTATATCGCACATTACAGACGTCTCGCAATCAACGGAAGACGATGTCGCTTGGAGTTCGGAAAACAGTAATACCGATGACGAAGACGCTTTTAGTGAAAATCCTGGCCCAGCTCCTGTAAGTATTTTCCCCTTTTAATGCTTAACCATTAGTTAGATGAAGTTAACACCGTGCCCGAAATATTGTATCCAATTAGGGTGGAAGATACGTAGCATTAGCTGATTATTGTGCAGTTGGACAGTCAGAAGTTACTATGCACGAAGGAGACAATCTAGAACTTCTTAAGGTCGGTTGTGCTGGTTGGTGGTTTGTAAAATTAATAGGTACTGGAATAGAAGGATGGGCACCTGCAGCTTACTTGGAACCAATTAATCGAAAAACATCGCGCAGTTCTCAGTCGGTGAACAGCCAAGAAACTATATGAAACAGGCGTCTAACACACTAGGTTTTTCTAGTGTGTTAGGTTTATATAATTGTCGTTAACGAGTATCGATTGTTAAAGAGTAGAGTTAAGAATTGCATATGGAGGCTTTTGTAATATAAAGATACGGACAAGACTTTGGAAATTTACCATAAAATTTAACTCGTAACATGCACACACACACACACACACACACACACACACACACAACCACACCCACACACACAAACACACAATATTAAATTTCTGATTCTGTAAACTACATAATACAACAGCAATATGCGCTTGATTAATACAATTAATCAATAAACAGTTATAATTACGCGTTACTTTTAATATTGAAATCAGAGAAAAGTGATTATCAAAGAACAATCTGATTGTGTAACCTTTTATGAAGAAGTCAGGGAATAGAGAAATGCATGAATTTTTGGTTACATAAAGTCTACTCCACAAAAATTTTTTGGTGAAAGTAAGTACTTTATGCAAGAAAATAGAATTTGCATTTACTAAATAATAAATACATATACTATTAGTTAGATTTATTCTTACAAGCAGAATAACATTTATAGAATTGTACAAAACAATGTTTCGATAGCAAATTAAAATCATGTGCAAGCATACACGCGTATTTACATTTACATAGTTTAAGAATTGCTACAAATAATACAGATTTGTATTTAATGTTGCATATTGTCATACCAATAAGAAAATTACTGCAATGAGATACAATCGTTCAGTCGTTAGGTTGTTACTTCCATGAAAATTTCCATAGGGATATTATAATCTATAAAAATTTATTTGTACTTACGAGCTGCATAATATTCGACCGAATGCAAATCATATGCTACAAGACTTGGAATAATTTTGTTAGCAATGCTTGTAATATGTTTAATATGGTTGAAACTTGTGTAAGTACAGTTACAGAAAAAAATCAAATGCATCTGTGTTATATTTACGAATTATTTTTTAGGAAACTCATGTTAATACACCACACACATGATTTAGGTATACAAAAGAAGTTTAAATGCGAACATGTATTATTTATTTTTACAATTAATAGAGTACAACTGAAAGTAGAAGTTTCACAATGTTTTTAAGTGAGTTTAGAATATTTGCAAAACTATCGCAAAATTGGTTAAAGAGTCCTTCAAGTAGAAACAGACGATCGAATATTTATTTGATGGTTCCGTAAATGAAATATAAAACGTAGAACTACTTTGTTGGCACATTAGTGTAGTTAGAATAGAAAATTATACTGTTAATAAGTCTTCGTGACCAAACAGCTTGATATTAGTACTATTTTAGTAAGTAGTATAAATAACTTATTTAAAATATTTATATAAAGAGAAAGCAAACGATTACAGAGAGATTAAATAACATATACACAAATTTTTTAGAGGATAAAGAATTAACACCAAGCATTGTGCAATATTTAACACTGATTGTAAGAAAAATGTAGTATATACATAGGTAGTAAAGTTGCAAATTTCGATTTTAGCATAGTTAATGATCTACCAATTTCTTAAGTATCGAATGATAATGAAACATGTATAATAAAGTAATTTGTACTAAAAGTTTATATGAATACAGAAGAATTAAGAAATTGTTAAGGATTAACATTTTTTTTATAGCTATGGAGTGCAATAATTATGTTTACTTTATAATCGAAAATGATAAATATTTCATCGCATAATTTATATTACTTGTACAAGTGTTATTTAAATGTAATTTATGTATTATTTATGCATAGAAAAATTCTATTGTGATTACGAGATATACATATTGAGTACAAATAATTTATTTTAATAGTACGAGTATCGTTTAAAAATATTCATGTTATAATGATTGAACTTGATGCTGTAATAAATGCGTCTGCGTAATTTAAATGTATAATTTTTAGTTATCTTGTTAATGTTTGATTAAAAGAAGTTACGGAGGTTTGACCAAAGAAAATTTTATACTTTTCTTTGGTAAGATAAAGCTAGAGAAACTATTTAATTTATAATTACGAATATTTGTAATTTCATGTGATTATTTCCATTTCTTTCGAGTAATAGAAATTTATAATTTTTATCCACTTTTACGCCGTCCTGATACCGACTATGTAGTTATAGGATTTAATCAAGCAAACTTCATTATTTTGTGTTTACTATTTAATTTATACATATATCGAGAATTCGTTTTAAAAATGTTACAAGGGTTTGTGTGTATTCAAATACAGCAATATTGAGTGATAATAAAAATCGACTATTGTTACATATTTGCAAAAGCGATTTTAAATTGTATTCGATTAATAATCCTTTTCGTACAAAGAGAAAAATAACGAGGTGTACTGTACAGTGCGTAATATTGTATTATGAAATTATACAAACATTCAATTTACAAAATATGATACATAAATTGTACTATTTGTTTGAACAATATAGTTTTCAATTTTACTTCAAAATTTAGATTATTTCTCTTTATTGTTTTTCTTTTTTGTACTAATATACATAGGCGATCGAAGAAACATTCAAACGTTTAGAATCTTCTATAGACACTATTAAATTAACATATAGACAATAAATATATGCCCATTGTGGAATATTTCCATTCGAATATATACGGATATATTAATAATTTTTGACACAAAAAAAAAAAATTATAAGATACTTCCTTTAGAAAGTTAATAAGCAGCAAACTTTTATAGAAAACGTTCATTCTGTGTTACATTGATAGAGTTACGATACAAGAGATTATTCGAAATGTTAACTTTGGTTGAGGCATTAAACCAAGCATCAATTTAAAAAGTCGATTATAGTTCAAAGATTGACTGCAAGTTTTCAATAAAGGGTTCCTTCTGTTGTTCCTTTAAAGTAAATTGAATAAAATTTATTTTTACATATAAGGTTAACGTGAATGCTAAAATCTCTTCTATTTATAACAACGTTAAACGAGAAAAGACAAATTTTTTAAACTTTTTAACAAAGAAGAAACATAGGTGGCAGATTGTTGTTCGCTCCAAATATAAAATCCTTTCTTTTTATTCAAATTACGTTAATAGTATTAGTAAACGTTAGATAATAAGATTGCGAATAATGTAATGATTGCGTTTAAGTTAGTTATAATGCAAGTCGTTAGTATTTAATTATTGTTTGAAACTCTGAAATGTGTTACAAAGTTAAATGTTGAATATAATTAATATTGTATTTTGTTCAATATTAAACAATACAATACGATAAAAATACATATGAATTATTGAAATAATATTCTATTCAAATACCCTTTCTCGTTTAAACTGTTATTATAATATAAATTTAAAGTAATTTTACCGTATTTGAAATTGAAATTGAAATCGATTCGACATTAATTTGAAAAAGTAACGCTAGATGAGGCAACAGGCAACTGTTCTGCATACTGATTAAAACCCATTTCGTAACGAAATTTTCGTTGCGTTATTTCGGTGGAGTCGGTGGGAATTAATGGCGCTAGATAATAACGCTGTTCGTAACAGTGATATGTATTCTTGATAGTGAACTTTGGCATAAGCGTGTTTCGAAAAGCTCGTCTGTTTAAATTTCTACAAGGAAAAATATTGATAAATAAAAATGGCTCCGCGAATGGAAGCAGAAGCAAAGGAACAGTGTGAATTAGAAAAAAAAGTACCGCATAGAGGTATTAATGCAGTTTTATTGGGACCACCTGGTAGTGGTAAAGGTACACAGGTAAAGGTCTTTTATTTTACCCGTAAAAAATATACTTGTTCTAGTCATTAAAATATTCCAACCTTTTTCAACTGTTTATTTGATATTCTAGGCCCCCTTATTCAAGCAACGATATTGCGTGTGCCATCTATCTACAGGCGATATGCTCAGAACAGAGATTACTTCTGGATCTGCTATGGGAGCGGAGCTTAAAAAAATAATGGACGAAGGGAAACTGGTCAGCGACGATATTGTTGTTAAAATGATCGATCAGAATTTAAACAAGCCCGAGTGCAAACAAGGTTTCTTATTGGATGGTTTTCCAAGAAGCGTTTCTCAAGCTCAAAAAGTAAGTTAACGATCAAAATTCAACGTTCAAGTATCGGTTAGTTTCTTTTATATAATTATTTTCGTAATTAGATTTTTGGCAACGTGTAAGCGATACAATGTTAGTATCATTAGTCATTGCTACTGTATATTTTGTTTTTTATTTATAAAGACTAGTTGACCTTGAAATGACATTGGGCAACATAAAATAAAACAATCATAGAATCATTGTACTTTTAATTAATTTAGTCAACTTGATCGATATAATGCATATTTTAAATTTATTTTATATTTTAAATAGCTAGATGATATGCTAAAGAAGAGGAAAACTAAATTGGATGCTGTAATAGAGTTTGGCATTGATGATAATTTGCTGATAAAAAGAATTACAGGTCGTCTAATACATCCTCCGAGTGGTAGATCATATCATGAAGAATTTGCTCCACCTAAGGTTCCTATGAAAGATGATGTAAGTTAGAACAATTATAACTTAAAATATTGACGAAAATATTGATGAATATATAATTTTCTGTTAATAGGTCACCGGAGAACCATTGGTAAAAAGATCGGATGACACTGCAGATGCATTGAAAAAACGTTTAACAACATATCAGACACAAACTCAACCGTTAGTTGATTATTATGCTTTACGAGGGATTCATTACTATGTTAATGCAGCTCAATCAAGTAAAAATGTCTTCAAAGATATAGATCGTATATTTCTAAGATCGATTAAGCAAGAAGAAAAGAAAAGTTTCTTTAGTCGATTTTTTTAAAATATCAAATGAAAATGTTCCAGATCATTTTTCTCTTATAAGTGAAAGGGCAACCTGTAGTTATTGGGAAATGTTATATGTTAGTATTATAGTAATTTTTAGAAGAATTGTAGCATTATAGATGTACAATTTTCGATTCAAGAGAAATGTTTAAGAACACATAGTTTAAGCAGTATGTATTTTTTTGATTGGGAAATGTACAGAACATCTAACAAAGAATGTAAAAAAAAAAAGAAAAAGGGAAGATAATGTTATCGCATTGATTTAGTTGCAAATTACGGTGTAAGTTTATAAAGGAAAGTATTATAAATCCATAAGACAAATGCACACATTTTATTAATATTGAGCTCTCGATGATACTATGACGTAAATTAGTCATTTAACTTTCGCGAGGGGAACAATGTATTTGTATATAATGGACAGCACAGAACATTTATTTCTTTGATTACCGTTATAACAAATATTTTTTTATCGATTTCTACTTTGTTTATTTTTTAAACATATATTTTGAAGATTATTGTAACATTCTTTGCATGTCATTCCTTGCTCTGTTTTTAATACAAGTAAAATGAGTTCGGACATTTTACGATAACTGAGACATTTACGAACTAAGAAGTATAAATGTAAATAACTAAATTTTAAAAAAAATTTCTTTTAATACTATTGTTTGTGTAAAATTGTAATAGAAGTAAAAATTTATTTACTCGAATCTGAGCGATTCGACGTAAAAAATTAAGGATTTAAATTTAACAAAATAACATTTCTAATGAACACTAATTTGAACAGTTAGAATAAAATCTCTCATTTATACATTTTACGCGCACACGTATTAATTATTTGGTCATTTTTTAATTAAATAAATTTTATTCTTATAGAAAAATGTGAATATAAACTAACAAATATTTTAAGGTATTGTACTATTAATGCACTGAATTGACGCCTATGTATTTTCAAAAACAAACACTTTTACGAACGGCTATTAAAAAAAAACAAAACAAAGAAAAAAAACGCAATGTAGATCAAAATCTATTTTCCATAAATCAAAGTAACTGAAATATATTCTGGTAAAGTATTTCCGCCTATACATATTGTATAATTCGATTGTGAATATTTTACATAGAGAAATTAATGTACACCTGGGTAAAATAAAATTTCTAACATACTGTAAAATCTACATATTGTGTTGTAAAAATCGTTTCGGTATTAATTCAAGTGCAACGTTTGGTTGGGCATGTATGATGAATTTTTAATTGGGGCTCCCATTTCCTTCCTGAACGATTAACGGAAGAATCTCTTTTAATATTTTTAAGAAACGATTTCCCGATGATGCTGGAAAATATAATTTTATTATTTCGATCAAGGGTGGGGTGGGAGGATCAGTTTAGTTTTCTGACCTTCTAGATCATTTGACCATCCCCTACAAACTTTTTCTTATAAGGCTATTTGAAAAAGAAACTTTACAATACAGAGTTATGTAGAAAAGACAAATTAATTAAAAAAATCTACAAAACATGCAAAGAGATTAGAGAAAATCAGAATCAACTGAAATGAACGATAAATCGCGATAGTACGTCGATGTAAAATTTGTCACAACGAAGGAAGGAAGGAAGGCGGGCTACACTTTTAAACGTACATATATGTATATTCTTACGTTGGTATTTAGAAAACAGCATAGATGTTTCACTTTCTACGAATAATAAAGAGTGCGTGACGCAAGAACGGGTCATAGTTTATACCAAAGTACGTGGCATTATCAGTTTTTAATTAATGAGCATGAAATTTGGATGTTAAACGCGGAGATACGTAAGGAGTAAAATAATAGTTAAAGATGCGCGGCAAGCACGCGGAGCGCGCCGGGTAAAAGGTATCGCGCATGTGCAAAGATTGCCAATTGTTCGCGAGTCTCGTCACAAGCAGGGTCCAGAGATAAATAACTTTTTTCCGCTGGTCGAGCACGCAGGGACAAAGGTAGAACGGGAGAGGGAGAATTGATTGGATTTCTCGGTGGAAAACTGTTTTACGTGTGCTGAGGGCCGGCGGCCGAGTGATGCACGCATATGTCTAGGCTCGGAGGAACTCAGGTTCTGGCCACAGTACAGGTGAAGAAGACGGCCGCTGATCACGCAGCGGTGGTAAACTTCAGTGCTGCAAAGCGCAGCAAACTGTCCGCCGTTGCGATCACGGAGATCAACGAGATCGAAAACATGACGGATACTGCCGCGGCCACGACCGATACTCAGAAGAGGGCCAATTTTTCGGCGTTGACCGTCGGAAATCCGAACGGCGTCAACAAGATTTCACCGAGCCTGGCGAGCGCGAAGCCAGGCACAACCAGAAAGCTCGTCATCAAAAACTTTAAAAGTAAGCAAGACCATAGGACTACCTAACCTCAAAGTCAGCTGGTACTGACTAGCAATGATTCGTGGTGTATGTAATTTATGGCTGGCAATATGCCTTCAAAGATTGCGACATTCTTTTCAAAATACCACTTTACGAGTTTTGTGACACTTATCCCGCGTCGCCCGTCCAAGGACAAACTGATTCTTACTACGATTAATAATACGAAACTGACATAACCTAACATGACGCCTAAGAAAAACTGAAAATGGATAAACGTCTTGAAGATGTATTATTTCTCTTTTTTATGCGGTTTCCACAAGTTCCGTATCTGCGTCAATTATGTAATTATCTAAAAACGTTGACGTTACATAGTCATATTTTAATTCCTTCCAAATGATTAATGACTAAAAAATAAAGACTAATAAACTACTTTAGTAATTTATCAAATGGAATTCTCTGAATGAATGTATAGCCCCGATATTTTCTTATTCTGTAATAATTATAAAATATGTACATGATTTTAATATTTAACTTGATACAGGAATTGTTTAAATATCGTTGTGAGAAAAATAATGATACATGGATATTAACATTGTAAATTTTATACAGATAAACCAAAATTGCCAGAAAATTATCAAGAGCAAACATGGGAGAAATTGCAAGAAGCTGTAATTGCGATACAAACCAGCAAAAGTATTCGTTATTCGTTGGAAGAGCTGTATCAAGCGGTCGAAAATATGTGTAATCATAAAATGGCATCTACATTGTACACAAAACTCACAAGGTTAACAGAAGCTCATGTTCAGGCTAACATAGAACAGTTCTTGGCAGAATCTATGGATAGGCATATATTCTTAAAAAAAATGAACGAATGTTGGCAGTCGCATTGTAGACAAATGATTATGATTAGGAGTATTTTTCTATACCTGGATAGAACATACGTATTACAAAATCCAAGTATTTTGTCTATATGGTAATTGTTTTGCGTCTATTTCTCAATTTTCTATTTATCATTATTTTAGGCTCATTCTGTGTGTAATTTCAGGGATATGGGATTACATTTGTTTAGAGTATATATCGTTCTAAACAGTTTAGTTCAAACACGGACCGTGGAAGGACTACTGATGCTCATACAAAAAGAGCGCCAGGGTGACACAGTAGACAGAACACTTCTTAAGTCATTATTACGAATGTTATCAGATTTACAAATTTACCAAGATGCCTTTGAAACTAAGTATATATTTTTTTATCAAATTTTTTATGTTCATACGCATTAAAACAATTCGTTATTCAATTTTTATTTCCATAGATTTCTGGTAGCTACGGAAAGACTGTATGCTGCCGAGGGTCAGCGATTGATGAACGAACACGATGTTCCTGAGTACTTAGCACACGTGGACAAACGACTACAGGAAGAAAATGAACGTTTGTTACACTATCTCGATGCGTCTACCAAGTAAATGCTGTATTAATAATCACTACATAGAATATTAAGCTATATTTCTTTCATTTATTAGTAATTTAATGTTATAGGTGGTCACTTATACATACAGTGGAAAAACAATTGCTTTCTGAACATATTACTAGCATTTTGCAAAAAGGATTAAGTGGTTTGTTGGATGAAAATAGAATTAGCGATTTATCTTTACTTTATAATTTATATAGTCGAGTGAAAAATGGCCTTGTAGAACTTTGTTTGAACTTCAATTCTTATATAAAGGTATGTTTTACACATGTACTTGATAGATTTACTAATGAATATTATATAATTCAAATTATAGTTACATTTGTCTATTTTTTTTCTCTTTTTTTCTTTCTTTTTTTTATATATAGAAGAAAGGTAAAACCATAGTCATAGATCCAGAGAAAGATAAGACTATGGTTCAAGAGCTTTTAGATTTCAAAGATAAAATGGACAATATAGTTAATACATGTTTTCATAGAAACGAGAAATTTGCAAATAGTTTAAAAGAAGCTTTTGAAGCTTTCATTAATCAACGAGCAAACAAACCAGCCGAATTAATAGGTAATATTAATATTTTCATATTAGTATAATGATATGTATTTATTATGTACAGTGATAACGAATTAATACATTCTTTTGTAATTGCAGCAAAATTTGTTGACTGCAAGTTGAGAGCGGGTAACAAAGAAGCGACTGAAGAAGAGTTAGAAAGATTATTAGATAAAATTATGGTACTATTTAGATTTATACACGGAAAAGATGTATTTGAAGCTTTTTACAAAAAGGATTTAGCCAAACGTTTATTAGTGGGTAAATCAGCTTCTGTAGATGCTGAGAAGTCCATGTTGTCAAAATTGAAACAAGAATGTGGGGGTGGCTTTACTAGTAAATTGGAAGGAATGTTTAAAGATATGGAACTCAGCAAAGATATTAATATTGCTTTTAAACAAGTAAGTATATATATATATATATATATATATATATGTATATAATAAACAATTGTAGTTTCCTTCGATAATAATCGTGTTCAGCTTCTCTGATACATAAATATAATTTTAATGTACATTTTCTTTATTTTGTCAACTATGTATTTCTTTGTGAATTAGTACTCAGGAAATCTGCAAAATGAATTGTCTGCTAGTAATTTGGATTTAACTGTATCGATACTTACAATGGGTTACTGGCCAACATATCCTGTAATGGAAGTAACGTTACCACCAGAAATGGTTCAGTATCAAGATGTATTTAATAAATTTTATTTGGGAAAGCATAGTGGTAGGAAGTTGCAGTGGCAACCTACTCTGGGACATTGTGTATTGAAAGCTTGGTTCAATCAGGTATTCTTAATGCTTCCGTAATAAATAGTTAAGCTGCTTCGATACGTATTGTATGAAAAGTAACATATACCATTTTATGTCGATTTAAAAATAGGGTAACAAAGAGCTTCAAGTATCACTGTTTCAAGCATTGGTATTAATTATGTTCAACGATTCTGACAATTTATCTCTGGAAGATATAAAGGCAGCTACGAATATAGAAGACGGTGAACTTAGGAGAACTTTACAATCGTTAGCCTGTGGAAAAGCTAGAGTACTGCAAAAGAATCCACGGGGGAGAGATGTCGCGGACAATGATAGATTTGTATTTAATGCAGATTTTACAAACAAATTGTTCAGAATTAAGATAAACCAAATTCAAATGAAAGAAACGGTAAAAAAATATTTTCTCAAGTATTAATGTTCTATACTATACTATAAAGAATCACTATAGAATGTATGATTTTTATTTCAGAACGAAGAACAGAAAGCTACAGAAGAAAGAGTCTACCAGGACAGGCAGTATCAAATAGATGCGGCTATTGTCAGAATTATGAAAATGAGAAAAACGCTTACGCACAATTTGTTGATTAGTGAACTATATAATCAATTGAAGTTCCCTGTAAAAGTATGTTATTAATTTAATGCGTGTTAACTGTTACAAGTATAATTATGTAAACAAAATTTTATTCCAGCCTGCTGATTTAAAAAAGCGAATCGAGTCCCTTATCGATAGGGATTACATGGAGCGGGATAAAGATAATGCAAACGAGTACAACTATGTTGCGTAACCTGAACCAAACGTCAAAGTCATTTCAGACTGGGTCGATGCTATGTTTTATAGCAAAAGGAACCAATTCGTTTTGGTGTTTGCCTATTGAATGTGAATGTGACATATTGAAGAGAAGAAACAAGGAACGTTTAATCGAATGACTATCAACATAATGTTGCAGTATGTGTTTAAAAAAAAAAAAAAAATTAGAGTGGAACTCGTTGTTTTGGTTTTTGTAGTGCATAACGGACACTGGACAATTAAGATTCTTTTTAAACAGTGCTTTACTGTTGTTCTGTTATTCTTGTGTTGTTTCTGGATTTCGCTAAAAAGGACAATGTGCAAAATATCTTGAATGGTACAGCATTTAAAATACACCAACAATTTTTTATGCAAAACAGTTTTTCACGGCATATTAAAGATTTAAGAAGATAATGTAGTAAGGATATTTTAAGAATAAAAATACAATGTATCGTTTGACTGAAAGTGAACAAAAATCCATTATTTGTGGCTAATAGAAAATAGTATATTGTGAACATGAAACAGTGATTACTGAAATCATTTTGAACAAATGGAAAACACATGAAATAAAAGGTTTGTCTATTTAACTAATATTTTAACAACACACGGAAAATATTTAATTCAACGTAAAAAGAAAGAAAACATAATACGTGTATTCTAAAGAGATAAAAGCCACAATGTTTAAAGAAACATTAATGGATACATAATATGTATTTCTGTAATAAATTTTTGTACATTACCTTATAATACAGAGTTTATAAATAAGAAAAGAAATATTGTACAAATGAAATCCATTTTTGTCAAAACAATAGTAAAGCAATACATGTAAGTTTATGATGACTTTAAAAATAATATGGAGCACTTTTTAAATATTGTGTATTGTTTGTAAACTGTTTATTTATATTGAAAGTAGTATTGTTAGAAATAGAGTTTTATGTATAAATAAATCATTCTTACGCTTCCTTTTAGATTATACACGATTAGTTTTGTCATAAGTTTAACAAAAGTATATATCAATTTTCTTGCGATATTATATAATAAAATTATCCATTACAAAATACAGTCGAAGTGTTTCATATTATTGTATGATAAAAATACTCTGTCATTAGCTTTACGATTTTAATTAAAAAATTACAATACTAAGATTAAACATGAATATAAATAATATCATACTTATTTAATTACTTTTTGTATATCGTTTGAGTAAAATTGTAGCTTGTTGGGAGTACAAGTTTATAAAAATGTATGTATCTTCTTATGTGTCGTTATATACAAATTAAAAAGTACGTGATATAAACTGATTTTGGCTACTTGTCATTTTGCTTTGTATATATTATAAAGTGTTGAAATTAATTACCATTGTACTGCTTTTAAAAATCATATTTAAAATTATTAAATAAAGTTTTTAATTTATATATTAAATTATAGACATTCTATGAAAACATAACATACATAGTATGTAATGAAATTATATTTTATGGGCATGTCTAAAAGTATAACAAATACAACATATTATTCACAATTTGTTTATAACTTTCAATTGTATATGTTACCATTATAGAAATTAATTATAATTTTTTTGAGTGACTCTGTATTACAAGGTTATTTTACAAATGATCGTTCCAATAAATAATTTCAAAGCTCATGTAAATGCTGTGCGTAATGAAATTCTAGGAAGATAATAGTACAGTACTGAAGCGAAAATAAATAAACCATAAATTGCTGTAATTATACATTAAATAAAGTACACAATTTCTTACAATCACTTTTAGTGTAATCTAAAAACGAAAACAAGAGACTTGTAAAAAAAATGTCCAGTGCTTTTTTGTGAATACAAACGTCTAGTTCTATGCCATGAAATATAAAAGAACAACAAAAACTTTGAAAAAGAAAATAAGCAAAGATTCGCGTAATGTAGAAACAGATTGTTATTAAAAAAAATTATATATGTATGCTACTGATAAGATTTGGAAATGGATCATCCAATGGTTTGTTGTTCAATCGTCTTATGTCAGTGTAATTATTAAATAGCTTATTAATGGAATTTTGTATAAACTCAAGGAAAAATGTTGTTGATGAATCATTAGCCAATTTTAATGGAAGCCCCGATGGAGAGTTTTAATACAAATTGAAACAATCCTAAACGCAGTACATGGTAAATTCATGCTAGAAGTTACATTTAAAAAGAAATATATAAAATATACAAAAAATGATACAACAGTCATATTACACATTTTCGAGCAATATTTCGTTTTTGTAAAAATAATTAAAAAGTTTATTTTGCCACTTGAAATAAAATAATTACTCTTCTCATAACTTGCCTTATACTGCGTTTTGTTTGTATTACACTAAAAAAAAACTTATTTTTGTGTAATCATTCGTAGATTAATCAAGATTGTAAATAGGGTAAGGTTTCCGTACTTGTAATAAAATAAAACAAAAAACTCGAATTATTTTTCGTTCATGGTGCATTAATTCAAATTATTTACATTTTATTTACAAAGTACATATTTAATTATAAAATTATCTATGTTTTTTATAGTTTTAATTCAAATATCAATATTTCTACAATATCTAGCCCAAATGGGTTCCTTGTTTTATATTAGCTTTTTCTTAAAAAATGTTCTGCCCATTGTAAAAACGTTTTCGTTTTATGTTTTTTACTTAAAAAGTAGTCATCATTAAGCGCGGATTTTATGCATTTATGGTGTATATGAATATGAAAAATAAATGCACCAATATAAATTTAAATACTATTGTTTTATAAAACATATTCTGCATATGTTTTCCATATTGGCATACCGCATTAATGCATAAAATTTCCAATCTAGTTGTTATTTTACACGTTCCTTTTATGCTATGGTTTACTTTATCTTTTTACTTTTTGCACTTCATCGGTTCTCATGTCGATTTCGTTCAGCAAAGATTTTGCAAAATTGTTAGCACTAGCTTCCTTGTCCAAAAAATCAGATACTAACTTGGACGATGGCTTGCCACCTCCATGTGATAAACATTCTTTTCGATATCGATCCCCGGCGGTTCGATTGAAAGGATCTGCTTGGAAATAAGTCTGCCATATCCAAGAAGCAATTGCTCGAGAAATTAAATAAGAGTAATATTTTGCACCATATCCAACTAAGTGAGAAAATCTTAAATGCCATGCCTGCAAACAACATTTATAGATTCATAATCATTTCTTATTAAACATTTCCTAATAAAAAATCAATTTTTAATTGTTTCCTTACGTTAGTAATTATTTCATTTATAAGTTGTGAATATGCGCAAAACAAGTATTTTTATTATTGAGATAATAAAAAAAAAACATACTGTATTTTCAACGTAAGGTAGTCCATAGTATTTTCCTTGTATCTCTTTCAAAACATCAGTTGATGATTTCTCCAACTTTCCACTGTGATAAACTTGATCTAACATGCTATAACATACTTGATTTTGTAACTCGGAAGCACAGAATATGTTTTTGGAGGCATGTAATTTTTCTAATAGAACCGTTGGTATTTGCTCCAATGTTTGGAAGTGTTTCGCGAACGTGGACACAACCTGATATATAGTACATATTGAATCATTAAAAGATTGTGTAATTTATAATTTAATTATTAATACTATAATTACAGTCATAACTCACTCTTGGATCAGTTGCAAAATATTCCATTAATACACTCGGTACCTCTGCAAAATCTGTACTGCATCTGGTACCAGTTACGTGTTGATATTTTGTTCTGCCTAACATAGAATGTAACGCATGACCCATTTCATGGAACAAGTTCTCTACAGAAGCAGGACTTAACAAACACGGGTTGGACCATCTTGGCGGTGGCAAAGATAACATTAATACTGCTATTGGATTCTACGTATTTATAAAAAGATTAAATTTCCATTACGTTAATGTTCTATGTATTACAAGTATTTTATACTTGATAAGATCCGTCAGACAATTGTCTTCCACCTCTAATAGTAAAATGACAGTCTTGATTAGGTTTGCCTTTTCTCTCAAAGAAATCACAGTATATATGTCCCAAAACTACTTCGTTTTCATCTATAACAGCAATTTTATGTATATTATTTGCCCAAACTTCGCCTGATATAACTGGCATAGACTCTAGTCGAATGCCATATAGAGCTTGCGTTAAAATATTTATTCCGTCCATACAGGCACCGAGCGAAAAATATGGAGTAAATTCGGTGCTAGATATATTCAACCAGGTTCTTTTTGCTTTTCCCATAAAATACGCGGTATCCCATGGCATTAGGTTCTACGCAAAGAGAAAGTAAGTTTACAAAAGGAGCTCTAGAAATTTTACAATAAGTAAAAGTTCGATAAGTTTGATAACAACCTGTTCTGTAATCGATTCTGCATCTTTCATTTTTTGCATCTCTTTGAAATCCTGCGCTGCTTTGAGCTTCAAATTATCATTTAAAATATTAAGAAAATCATATATCACTTCCGGCGTTTCTACCGTACTTCCTCTCACGGCTCTAAAACATGTATTTTCTTTGTACACAAGGATACGGATAATATTTATTCTTAGTTTATAGTCAATTAACAATTAAAATTTACCGATGAGCATACGATGGAAATCCACACAATTTGGCCAAGTAGTGTCTCGAGTTTAAAAGTTCGTGCAAGAGATACTCTTGATTGTTGTCTGGATATAAAAATATACGATAAGCCGCTTCTCGAACTAGATTATTAGAAGAATCTACGTAAAGTCCTTGCACTATTATCTGATTATCCTTCATTGTGAAACTGTGAAACGTATTTAACAAAGTTCAATGAGCTACATTATATAAATCAGTGTCTTTCAACGATTGCTCAACCGCAATACTTACTGTTCCTTTACACCCGGTGGAAGAATGTTAGCGTCCACTGTTCGCGCATTACCCGCACCCGCCATGAACTTCTGACCTATCTGTGTTACAAAAATGTTGTATATTTAAATACGATCGAGCTTATACAGGATGTCCATACATAAATGAGACATTTATGAGATATTTGCTTGTATATTTATGGATAAACATCTTGTATACGTATACACGTGTAAAAAAAACTACATACTTGTAATATGTAATCATTTAACTGTACGACATTCTCCCGTTTAGATTCCGGTAAATGTATACCGCACTGTTCAAAATCAAACAAGAACAATTTCGCAACATGGTCATCCACGACAGACGTTTCTTGGATATCTCCATTATTTACTGCGTACCGTAGCGCATTATACAGTTCACAATGAGTATTTAATCTGAAGAGATTTACAAACGATTTTTTCTACTTTTCAAATCGATAAAGGAACAGAATTTAATACATCTAATAACGACAAATTATAAATGGATATGACCATTGTGATTTTTTACTCACACTGTAAGGAAAAATATTTACTTTTCTACTATACCACTGATGAATATACAAGCATTTTCTGCAGCTTTAATAAACTGTTTATCTGGATGCGCGATTCTAATAAATTCTGCCAAGTCTGCAACTTTGCATAGAGCATCGGACAAATCATCAAAAATTTCTACAATCTTGCGTTTTCTATTTTTACTAGTGGCCTCTGCTATGAGTACATCCGTTTGGATCATTGCTTGATCCTTCAAAATGCTGAATCCCTCTGGAGTTCTTAACTCTGGTATACCAAATAATCCCTGTAGAATATTTAAAAACTTAAAAATGCAAACCATCGAGTAATTCGAATAATCAAATTGACTTACAGTTTTATTTTTCGACAGGTTGAATTCATGCTTTTCCGTGGTAATGGAATTGAACGCTGTTGCGAGCGGCGACCATGTATTAACGCTCCTATGATTTTTAAAGTGCTTCAACGTCTGTTTCTTTAATATTTGCATCATTTTTCACGTAACATTAAATTGATCTTTTTAATAGAAACAATATCATTCATTCAATAGTTTGAAAAAAATCTAGATTATTCGAAGAAACTTTACATAGCCTGTACTCCAATGTTGTAACAACGAATCATGTTTCGTTAAATATCTTCAGATTAAAAAACAGACCCAACGTTATAATATTTATATTTCATTTCTTGAATATTCAACTAAAACAATTTTATGTTCACTTTGATGATATATAAAATAACGTTTAAAATATTTCTAATTGAAACAGTGCCTTGGTGCATCATGTGTTTCATACATGTAAAGCGGTACGGCTATTTTTACAACGATACGAATGAAATATTATTTTCGAAATTCGACACAGACAATATTCTATTGTAATTATAATGAATTAAACTTGGAAGCAATATAAATTATATACTATTTAAAAGGCATATTTTACACACAGCTCGGTGTATATTGTGTACGAAAGGTTATACATAAGAAATACCGGATCAGTGTCTCGTTCGGAATTATTCGGAACTCGGAACGATACTCTGTTCTCTGTTGAACTTTGCAGTCTCGGGCCTCGGGAAATCGGGATCGGGAATCGGGAATAGTGATTCTATTTTTGACTTCTGCAGTTACATGTTAGATTACGGACACTGTCAGCTCTTCGTTGAAATGGAGCGAGAACAAAATTGAAACCGCAAAATGACCCAGACCGCTATGATAGCTGCGTTTTTCTAGCGACAGAATTTTCATGCACAACAGTTGTCTTATTCGGCCGACAAAGTTCAGTCTCCCAAAGGATCATGATACGTTTGTAAAAGTCATATTGCGGGGTTTGGTGAAATCGCAAATTTCAAGGTTATTCGTTAAACGCAAATGGTAAGAATGATGTTTATTAATCACTCGCGTTCATATCGTCTCTCAGTGTTCGAATATGACGATTTCTATACACGACAATACATTTTTAAGTGGAAGGGGTACTGATATCTATACAAGGATATGTCTCGTCTCGTACTATATCTACATATTACTTGTCAACAGTTCATTTTTTTCCCAATAAGTTTCGCTGTTTAACAGAAAAGTAAGAAAACTTCTCTAATTATATTATAGTTTCTTTGTATTTAGAAGTAGTTGTCTAATTAATTTTATCGGAGATACTAATTCTATTTGGAGAAACAACAGTTTCAAATAAAACAATTTGAAAACATGATCAGGATTCTTATCTATAAAATTAATTTTGTTTTTTTTGCCTTGTAGTCTGATTCTGTGATAAGTGGAAATCTGTTCGCTGCTGCTAAACAATTAGCAGATAGCGAAGTCCAGCTCATAAAAGCTATAGAAAATTCAAAAGGAAAAGACAACAACAGTATTATTGGAAACATGTCTATGTCGGTGAAAAAAAGTGCCAAAAAATCTGCGAAAAATTCTAGCGTAAGTATACATTTAAAAAAAAAATCGTTATTAATTTTAATAATTAGTTTGGCTAAGAAATTTATGTGGGTTTTGGTAATAATAATATATTTGCAACATAATGAATTTATTCGTCGTTCTTTTAATCAGATTCGGCCATCCGCTGCTTTAATAGCTGCTAAACGAGAGGCAACGCAACAACATATATCGCAAAGGATAAAGTGTAGCTCTATCTTTGTACATGATATATATCAAAAAGCCATAGATGCCAACAATTTAAAGAGGAAGAAAACTGGTCTTGTATACGATCTGTCCATGTCGGAACACGAATGTCTTTGGGATCCAAATTATCCAGAATGTCCTGCCAGATTGACGAATGTTCTACGAAGATGCGAAGAATTAGGTTTAATAAGTAGGTGCAAATTCATTGCACCTAGGCATGCTACGGAGAATGAAATACTCACGATGCACAGCCAAAAACAAATCGATATTTTAAAGGCCACAGATGGCTGTACAGATGCAGATAAATTACGGTCTCTCTCGTCTAAATACGATGCAATTTATGTACACCCTGTATGTAAATATTTATAAAATGCAAAGTAAATTTTAAAATAATATAAGAATTTTAATACTAAATTATTAAACATTTCTTTAGTCTACCTACAAATTGTCCCTGTTAGCCGTGGGCTCGACGATCAACTTGGTGAAAAGTATTTGTAAAGGTGAGGTACAAAACGGAATGGCTATTATAAGGTATAATAATTTTATAATTTATCTATAGATAGTATAACAGTTACTATGTTGTAAACATTGAGCAGTAATACGTTTTATTTTTATTCTATTTTAGACCACCTGGACATCACGCAATGAAAGTAGAATATTGTGGATATTGTTTTTTCAATAATGTTGCGATCGCTGCTGAAAATGTTTTGAGTAATAATTTGGCTAATAAAATTTTGATCGTCGACTGGGATGTACATCACGGACAAGCAACCCAACAAATGTTTTATAATGATCCACGGTACATCGTTGTTTTCGTAATTTTCTCGTAATATTTCTCGTAACGAATGTTCCTTTTATATAAACATTTTCCGTAGGGTAATCTACTTTTCTATTCATCGTTACGAGAATGGTGAATTTTGGCCAAATCTTCGAGAATCTAATTTTCATTTTGTCGGAGATGATTTAGGACAAGGATATAACTTCAATGTGCCTCTTAACAAAATTGGTATGACAAATGCTGATTATTTAGCCATATTTCAGCAAGTTTTATTACCAATGGCTTACGAGGTAAGTATAGCGTATTGCAATAATTCAATTTATAAGTTAAATATAAAATAGAAAAATTTTAATTATTACAGTTTCAACCAGATCTGGTAATAGTGTCAGCTGGTTATGATGCAGCCTTGGGCTGTCCAGAGGTAAAATGATAAATATATTATTATTTATATATTATTTTTAGACTATATACATCTAATTAAATTTTAATTGTTCATGATATTAAGGGCGAGATGTTGGTGAGCCCTGCATGTTATGCTCATCTATTATCATCTTTACTGAGTTTGGCATCTGGAAAAGTTGCTGTTGTACTAGAGGTATGACAAATATCTTAACACGTCAATGTGTTAAACATGACGGATTTATAATTCTTTAAATATTTTATTTTCAATGTATCTTTACTTATAGGGTGGCTATTGTTTGAAATCATTAGCTGAAGGTGCAGCATTGACGCTACGCACATTGTTAGGCGATCCGTGTCCCATGTTACAAAATCTTGAATTACCTTCGTTAAGGTACCATCGAGAATCTAATATAAGGAATTTAATACAAGGAATAATATTAATTGATATACAATTATTACCATTTCAGTATACGCGACTCAATTTTAAATACGATTTACAGTCATAAATTATATTGGAAATGTTACCAATATCAGGATACGTACAGTATTAATACTACCACGCATAATAAGGAGCAAAGTATTAATGAACATTTACCTACAGTTGTATTTAAGTAAGAAATCAAATGATTCCTAGTGAAAATTTAGTTACTAATTTTAATTACGTAAACGTATAACTGTTTTATTGTAGAGGAAACGATATTAGGCCAGAAGTGTACGAAACTGGTAATTGCTATCCAGTTCAAAGTAAAGAAGTTATCGAGTTGATAGAAAAGCAGTTAAATATGTTAATCCAATGTAAGTTGCTATTTAAATATGATTCATCGTATGAAATAAACGGCTACATACATAACAATTATTATTTTGTTTTAGTTACCAATTTGTCCATGTCATCGAACAAAGTGTGCGTAGTTTATGATGATAGAATGTTAAGTCATTGTGATTTAGTTGACGATAGTCATCCGGAGAAACCAAATCGTATTAGTGGTATTTACAAAAAGTACGAAGAATATAATTTACTTGATCGATGTTGTGTACAACAGGTATTCTAATATGCTATAAAAAATGTTAACTTTTACACCTTTGTCTGAAATATAATCATTCTTTTTTTCTTTTTTTTTTATAAAGGGACGAAGTGCAACGATGGAAGAATTATTACTGGCTCATTCGAAAGATTACATAGATAAGATAAAGACCACCGATGGTTTAAAATACAAGGAGTTGCAGAAGCTGGCCACAACTTTTAACTCTGTTTATTTACATCCTGAAACTTGGACAAGTGCCTGTGTATCTACCGGATCTTTATTACAAATAGTCGATAGCGTATTAAATGGAGAAAGCCAATCTGGTGTAGCTATTGTCAGACCTCCAGGGCATCATGCAGAAGAAGATGCACCGTGCGGTTTCTGTATTTTTAATAATATTGCTGTAGCAGCTAGATATGCCATAGAATTTCATCAGTTGAAAAGGTAATTATGGTTTCATCGATCTGTTGTTAATTATGCGCGCTTGCATAAAGATAATATGTTGTATATGTTCAGGGTTTTAATAGTGGACTGGGACGTGCACCACGGCAATGGAACGCAATCGATCTTCGAAGAAGATCAAAAAATTCTATATATGTCTGTTCATCGTTTTGATAATGGGAATTTCTTCCCAAATTCTAAACGTGCTAATTATACCTTTGTCGGTTCCGGCCCGGGAGAAGGTTTTAATGTCAATATACCATGGAACAAAGTCAGTCTTTGTAAATACGATATGGAAAGAGCTAATGCGAATAAAATGTAATTATTAATATATTTTACTTCTATGTGCGGCACGTAGAAAGGAATGGGCGACGCAGAGTACATAGCAGCATTTCAACAAGCAATAATGCCAATTGCATATATGTTTAATCCAGAACTAATTTTAGTCTCGGCGGGTTTCGACGCATGCATTGGCGATCCACTTGGTGGTGTGTGAATCGATTTTATAAATATTCTTTCTAAAAGATTTGCTCGAATATTTAATTTTTAATTATTTAGGTTGCCGCGTAACACCAGAGATGTATGGACATTTAACACACTGGTTATCTTCTTTGGCTAATGGTCGTATTATCCTCAGTCTCGAAGGGGGTTACAATATTAATTCGATTTCACATGCAATGACCATTTGTACAAAAACGTTACTTGGTGATCCTTTGCCGATGTTGGAAAGCAATCAGACTCCGTGCGCGAGCGCCGTTAACTCTATAAACAATGTTTTAAAAACGCAGAAGCAATATTGGCCGAATTTAACATTTAATGTGTCTCTGCCGAAAGAGAATGTACTCCCCAAGGCTAAAGTGTTACACGTAAAAACAAATGAAGAAACGAGAAACGTTGAAGAACATTCCAAGCAGTCCGAGTCTAAGATAGCGTTGGAAGAAATTGAAAGTGAGAAGTTGGAGTTGAAAATTTCGATTAATAAAACATGTCTAAATTCTGTGACGGACGAAGAAATTTCAAAGTTACAAAACGAGGTGGAGAATATAAAAATAAAGAACTCATCGTACGACGACACTTCAAAGGCGATCGAAGAAGCTCGTAATAAATTATTAAACATGCAAGGTATGATATATCTAGGAAATGTATGTATGTATCGGACATGTAAATGATTTATTGGTACATTTTTCAGTTTCCGAATATGGAAAGAAAAACGTAAATCAGCCGGGAAAGGAAGCGTCTTCTGAGAAAAATGTTAATAACTCAAACCCTGGTGGCAGCAGTGGTCGGAATGAAAGATCGGCTGCTGAAGGAAGTGTTGCTACAAACTTGTACGATTACCTGTCTCAAAATTTGCAGGTAATCAATGCCTGAACTCTTGTTAGGGGTGACCAACCAAGGTGGCTTGCAAGGGGTTAATTAGACAATCAAACTAGACATTTAATATTACTGTTATAGGCGTTGGTAGTTGGAGAAATGTTTGCAATAGTACCTTTACGAGAATGTCCACACCTGGATAGTGTCAGCGATGTACCGGGATCGGGAATCAATGTACATTTGCCATGTCTGGAATGCGAAAGCAATGTTGAAAATTGGATCTGTTTACAATGTTACACTGTACACTGTGCGCGCAGCATTAATCAACACGGCGTGTTGCACGTAGAAAGAACGGAACATCCTTTGGCTCTGAGTTTTACCGATTTATCGGTTTGGTGCTACAGTTGTGAGGCGTACATAGATAATCCGGTGAGTTATAGTTGTAATACCTATAAATAATTATAGATTGGAATATTCAGCGTGTTCTGGTAAATATATCCGTTTTGACATAAGTCCACACGAATTATTTTTGGAATACTGAACCGGAATTTAATAAAATTTTAGCGACTATACGCTGCTCGTAATGCCGCACATCAAAGTAAATTTAACGAAGAATTACCATGGACATATAACGAGAATTGAAGTGCAAATATTTAATAATACATTTGTTATTAATACCATATGTATTTCCGAATATTTATAAATGACTTATATAATAGAAATATGATCAGTTTTAATATTTGTTATTTACTTATTTTACATTTAGTTAAATTTCAGACTTGTCGATTTTTACATTTTATATCATTTCATTTATTCAGAATTTACGAGATGAACAAGATCGATTATACGAAAATGTTTTTACTTTCACGAGTAAATAACAAATAATAAATATATATACATATATATTTGTTTTAATCAATTTCAAATAATCAAACTACTTGTAAATTAATTTTGAATGTATACAATATTTACATTTACAAAGATAGTGACTTTAAATAACTTCACATTCTATTTTTCTATGTAGGATAATGGTTATTAGGTCAATATTAAGTTACAAATAGAACTAAACAAATTATGTTAGAAATGAAAGCTTAGATTAAAGTACAGTGCCCATAAGTAAATTTAATTTTTTATAGTCGCTTTAATGCAAATATCAATAATTTTAAACAAATGTTTGTACATATACATATGTGTAGAGGGTGTTCGGCCACCTCTGGGAAAAAATCGGAGATTCTAGAGGCCGAAAAAGAGAAATTTTCTTTTAAAAATGCGTATACATACATACATTTATGAGCATTAATTTGATCTCAAGTTTTATATTTACATAAGGATAATACGGTTGCATTATTAACGGTCATAAATATTAACGCATTTTATTTAAGACGGTATCTTACTTTGAATTTAATTCATTAATAAATGTAATAATTATAGCAAGAAATTAATAATAATTACGTATAAATGAATTTTATTCTATACAAATAAATAATCAAATAAATTTATATATGTATCTTTCACGATGTATGCGTACCTTCCCATTTATTCTGTATCAAATATTCTATTCGTATCAACAACAACTCAAATTGCTGAAAAGCGTCGAATACATCGTTTATAACTTCTAGAAATGTTTGCACCGACAAATTATTCATACTTGTCAGACGTAGGGCACTAATCATTTTCGTGAACGGTAATTTCTCGATAGTAACGTGCGGATAAAATCTATTTACAGTATGATAATTAAATAAATTTGTATTATTTTGAATGGACATAAACTCTTTCACGTCTGTGGCGGGAAAAGCATAATATAATCTGTATGGTACCTTTCTGGTAACATATTTTTGTTCGCATTCTCCAAGTTTTAAGGCAATGATGTTATATACATCTTTCATAGGTTTTGAACCTTGTTCGTAGAGATGGAAATCTTTAACTAACTTATATTTGTAATTTCCGCTACTTACGTATGTTCGTTTAGTGTTTCTTAAATGTAAAAGTGCTGTTGGTATAGAATAAGTATGCGATGTAAATAAATGTACATGTGTAAGGTCTGGTTTTGCTTTTAGTTCGGTTGCTACATGAGATGTTAAAGGTAAAATACCACCTTGATGAGCAAATCCATAAAAAAATACTAACGCAGCATTACACACGAACCAAAAAACTTGCTGTTTACTGAATTTGGTCTTTGTTGTGAAAGATTTCGGATACGCGTTATTTTCGGCAATACGTGAAACGGTATCGACTCCCGATATTTGATTCATGTTCGGTGCATACAAGAAGACTAGAGGTAGCAACGTCGGGATTATAAATCGAGGTTCTTGATGAGGAAAAATTGATAGCAGTGTGATAGGTACGATAAAAGATGTCGTCATTAGACCGACAACGCTTTGTATACGGGGCAAATCCAACCACCGAGCTTTCAAACCGCTGCAAATAATAACTTTCCATTAACAATTTTATATTCTTAACTTATTAAAATAGTAGAATATTAATAAATTAATCACCTGTGTAACATTTTTCCAAATGTTAAGAGGCCGATAACTCCGAGAACGTTATACAATAGAGGTACATTTACTATGAAATGTACATAATGGGGATGTAAACCATGATTCTGTAGGTTTTTAGTGTTCGTATTGTATTTGAAAAAATTTAGCGGCGTTACGACGAAGTTGTTCATGGTGATGTCAAGGTTACCTATCTCTGCCATTGTTAAATAACCAAAATAAAAGCTGTCGACCAAAATAAAAACTATAGCCGTAGGTATTCCGCATACAATGAAAGTAAATATTCGAACGTGAAAATCACTAAAACCTATGCTCTTTGAACCTAAACCTCTTTGCAACCAAAAGAAGATAGGTGAAAGGGCAAATGCAATGAATGTCGGTCTGTTAAATACACCAATCACAGTAATGGTTGCAATTTTAACACAATGATTTAAAGAATGCGGGGGCAGCGAAGCTTTAAGCTTGTAATATTTTACTCTTTCCACGCCACTTTTTGCTTTATTATATTTATCCGAAAGATAGTCACTTTGGACAACTACCTGAAACAATAAATATATTTTGCATTATTTAATAATCTGATAAATATTTACAGAGGGACGTTCATACCTTTTCTGAATATGCCATACAATGTGATGTGTAGTACAATAGCAGGGCCATTAGTATCAACTCGATAGCATTAGATAACGTACGAGTTGCATAAACAAGCATTACATAGGAACTGGCATAAGTGATCAGTCTTATTTTATAATTTTGACCGTACATGTAACATATTTTGTACAGGCAATAATCCGATACAAAGGATAAGCCGCATACAAGTAGACGTGGAAACATCACCAGAAAGTATGGAGATTTTAATGATATACCAAAGTAAAAACGTGTATACTGTGAAAGTCTTGTTAAGATCGAATATGGTAGACCGACAATAATCTGTGGTATTAGAGCAGTTCTTACAGGAAACGTAGAATTGAATTCCCATGGTTTGTTAATGTCAATATCAAAGTAATCCCCTGTGAAATTAAAAATGTTTGTAACATACGGTTTCTTTTGTGTAACGATAAGCCTCGACTTACCAGATATTACTTCGATCGACTGGAAATATTCGTCAGGATGAATATATCCAGTTTGTGGAAGTAATGTTAAAATAATTCTCAAACTAGCCAGGAACCAATAAAGGCCTATTTTTCTTCTTATTGGTATAGCAGGTCTGTATTCGTCGATCGACCTTCTATATTCATTTTTGGAGTGCATTCTAACATGCGAGTAGAGCGATTAAACAGGGCCGGTGACTTATCAGATCAGTTTAGTAAGGTTAAGACAACGAATAGAAGAATTTTTTTCTATCAAATTGATCATATTTCCGAATTCTTGTAAGACGATGCGACATTAGTTTTAACCACACAATATAATTCACCATATTCTAGCTACCTAATCATAATATTCAATTCCAAATAGAATATAATACAGACAAAAATTAAAACATTCGCATCTCGTTGGACGCGATAGTTCCTGATTCTGGTTACCAGTAACCGTCATAGATAAATAATAAAGCCAACAAAATATACCTTCTCGTTCTCGAATCATAATGAAAAAAACATTATGAAAAATTTTCTTTATGGAAATACACGTTTTAAGTAACACCACCTGATCATTAACTTGACTGTTGAGAAAAAAGAAATTTTTTTATTATTTCTATGTACGAACGCACATATGATGTATACACCTTACATTCATTTTACAATTACCGTAAAAACATATTACTTGTCTGTTTAATTTATTTATAAAACGTGCTATTAAAATTTCGAGGCATACTTTTATTTAATAGAGTTTGAAATGTGCAAAACATTTCTTACGTTTATATGCATTAATAAAAAATCAAAGAAATGTTTTCGTATTTCTTTTCATTGGTACTTTAGTCCTTGTATAAACATTTAACATTTTACCGACCGGTAACCTATTAATCGACTCTTTACCGACCGGTAGTTTATTAATCGGTTGTCATGAAAATAAAAAATATCACTAGATTTAATTACTCTATAATAACAGAAAGAGAACAATATAGTAACCACTGTCGCAAAGTTTCATTTAACATTCCTATAAGTACAAGAAAAAGTAGATATATAATCTAGGGTAAATCGGTACCGGTCGGTAAAGTGTTAAGATGAAGTAATAACTCTATCTAGGGATATTTCTGGTATCTGAAATTAGTTGACTTGTCGCCGCTAGCCGCCATTTCGATCAGTTTCGACGTTCTTGTGCCAATTTTCGTTAGTAATCGTTTAAGAAAGCGTGATTCTCGGGAACTCAACGTGAACAGTTTCGCTGCTTTCTGGATATCCAGTCGTGAGTACTATTTTTCAATTTCATGTATTTATAATTATATCTTTTCCTTGTACAGTTTTGTAAGAATTCGATAGATCATGAATGAGTTATTCGCGGTAACGCGGCTCATTATATACATATTTGAACAATATAAATGTGTTTATATCGATATAAGAAACTGATGAAGGGTTTATTGCGTTTATTATATTATTGCTAACCCAGAATTCAAAGTTATATATTTACATTGAATTGAATTTTATTTCTCGCTAAGAATCATGGCGATTGCGTAGATTGCTTGTCACAGCATATTCTTGAAATTCCATCGATGAATTTACATATTCAATCAACGAGCATATTTCATGGTTCTTTTCTCTTGATTGTTTCACTTTTTAGTATTTTATATTGAATAATTCAATGCACTTTACACAACCCAATTTGGCTCTTGATGCATTGAACATTCATTTTAAATAAATGACAAATATATGCTTAATAGCACAACAGTTTTCTGCATCGTTTCTACATTACAATGGGATAAAGAAAATATGAAAGGTGTATTACAAACTTTCTTTGTTTATGTAATTTGAATCATAATAGGAAGTAGTTTACGTTCATTGCGATAGTATCAGTTTTGATCCATACATTAAAAAGTATATCTGATTTTAACAAGATGTGTTTTATTCTAATTGCGCAGCAAATAACATTCTCTTAATGTTTTGAAAAGTATGAAGAGAATCGTTGTATGTTGTTAAGGCGCTGCAACTTGTTACATATGTATCTGTCTATAAAGTAATTAAACTATGTCACAACCTTTCATAAATATGTTGCATAGTTATACGTGTTTTACATTTTTCTATCGATATATATTTTAATAATTATAAGCATACATTAATTATACATATTGGGATGTATTTTATATACTTTGTAATAAGTAGTTATTAAAGTTGGTTTTGTTTTAATGTTATTCTATACATCTTTGTACAGACCTTCGACAATTACACATATTATATTTTTCCAGAGGAACTATTTGGTTCTCAAATAAATTTATTTAGCAGCTAAATCTGTTAAAAGAACATTATTATACTATAGATTCATTGAATCTAATGTAGAATTAACTAAATAAATTTATTTGATAATAAGATAATTATTTGCAATTTAATTATCCGCAATAACTATTAAAGTTTAACTTTATTCTAATTTCTAGAAATCTTTATTTATTTTTAACTAAGAAGTAAATACATTATAATTCGTTGAATGCAAAGATTTTACGATTTTGAAAAGAAGATTTATTTACATTTATCTTTGGTGTAAATTTAAATCTTTTGATCGATATATATTGACAATCAATATTGATTTTCTTCCCTTTGCGTGGAAGTAAACGAAACGCAATTGCATAAATTGCTTCTTTTTAATTAAATTTACTACAAGTATATTACGGCAAAATATTCTGTGTTGTGCAGATTACCTGATCATACATTTTCTGGGGTATCCTACTAGGAATAGGCGATATTAATATTTTTGTTATTTTAAATAAGAAGAAGACAGTGTTACGTGCAAAAATTGTATGGCTTCAATGGGGAAATAATATACTGACAATAGCTTTTTTTGTGGGTGGAAGCATAAAGACGATTTGAACATCAACTTTGCATTCTTAAATCAAAAGTCCAATTTTTTATGGAAGAATCTAATAGAGCAATGAATTTTAAGTATAAAGATATTTAGACATAAATATCTATCTTAAAAGTGTAGTTTTTGAGATATTCAGCTACTAAAGTATTGAAATTGTAATTTTTTTATTGTTATGTTGCATGCGTGTTTCATCTCCTTAGATGTAAACAGTGCTTTAATGCTGCTTCAGAAGCCGAATATCCTAGAACCTATTAGTTTTAGAGTAGATATTCCTTAATAAATTTATTTTTAAAATCCATTTCCCTGTAGAAGATTCGATTTGAAAAGACAAAATTGACCTTCAAATCACCTCTTCCACTCGTGCAGAAACTATTGATACATGTAGGTATGTCGTTCTTGAAATCATATTATATAAATGATATTGTTCCTCGCATTATAACATATTTTTCCAACTTTTGTACGTAATGCTTCTTTTTATTATTTTTAATAGCAAAAATATTAAGGTGCTTGTTTCTGGCAAGACACTCTGCATATACGTATATTACTTATAAACCAAGATCTATTATACGAAGAATTATTTTTCAACATATACCGCATACGTGTACATTAAAATACTTGTACTATTTGTCTGTATTGTCTGCAAATATATTTATAATATTTAGTTCTTTTGTAAGATACAAGAGAAAAATATTTATGCGAACAAATACACATATTTTTGTTGATTTTTTAACACATGTATCGTTATCTATCAAACAAAATGTAACGTGTGTGTAAACATACCTTACAAATTAATACAACAAACTGATTTGTAAAACTTATATTTTTATATTTTACAATTTGAAAGCTTTCAATGCTATGTTCAACATGGCGATGATACATTTGTCTATGGAAGCTTTATAATATAAATGGTTTATAGAATAGAATACTTTTAATCAATTGTTGGTTCACTGTGGTGAATTATAGAATCCAAAGGATTTCTTGATAAAAAACTTGATCGAACATGTTTTGTATGTGTACTAATGTTAACAACTGGACATTTATTTATTGCATCAAATATATTCTGCACTGTTTAATTTAATTATGAGTTGCTTAATAATAATGTATTTCATTTTGCGATGATTTTACAAAAAATTTTATTCCTCGTGTTATGTATCCTAGCTATTATATGTATAATAAGAAACTGTTTATACATTATATATGTATATTCTACTAGTTTAGTAAATTATCACCTACGCAATTTAATATGATCTTCGCATTATAATATATTTTTATCAACAATATAAAATATTCCAGGTATATCATTTTAACGTATCTATTTTAAAATGGTCTCGGTATTTATGATACTAGCACATATTTGTATATAAATGCATATAATTTTGACAAATGCATTTGATTAATTGTTTTTAGAGTTTATTAAAATGTATGTATGATTGGTGGCCATGCTACGAAAGTAAAATAAATAAACAAATAGGGATATTTACTATAAATTATAAACATGTGTGGCAGTAACTCTATAACAATTTTCTTTGAATACAAAATAGCGTCCGAACGGACTGCGGCCCTTAAAACAGTTTGGAATGCGCTAGCAAACCATTTGCTAGAGAGAGGGTTTAAAAATGCAAAATTGGAACCAATGGCAATTGTCAGCTGGTGCTGTTGCCACTCCAATGCCGCAACCACCAGTTGGTTATGCTGCACCTGGAGCAGATCCTATGGCTACGATGCAAGCATATATGCAGTATTACAGTCAACCAGTAAGTATTACATTAAAAATCAATTCTTATACCGTATTGCTTTACCGTCTTGAGCAATCAAGCATCTAATTGAAATTATCGAATGTTAATATCGATTAAAATGTACAAGACATTGTTTCTGTAAAATTATTATGAGGTTTATAGCAGAGAGCTATTTGTTAATATGATCTTAATTACTGATACAACAGTGAATGTGTTAATTTATTTAATGTTGAAAGGAGAGTAATTATGCCGTACTATATATAATAATATATATATAATAAAACTATCGTTACTTTTTATTAGGCACCTAGCGGATATACTGCGGAACAATGGGCTACAGCCCAACAACAGAATTGGGCTCAGTGGCAGCAATGGCAACAACAGTATCAGCAGTGGCAAGCTCAATACGGAGAGAAGGTATATAGAAGATTACTGTGTCGTTAAATGGCTTCGATCAAAGCATGTTAATATATTATTATTGCAAGAAATGTGTCTTGGACGATTAGGATTCTAATATATTTCTGGTAAAAGTTCAAAGTATGATCTATTTTTGAATTAAAAATTAATAAAACGCGTCAAGTAAATTCATTTTTCGATCATAATATTAGATTCTATTGATTCGTGTTATCTCATTCATTTGTTCATCGATTTAATTTTGTTTCAGTATCAGGAAACGATGAAGCATATGTCGGCGCAGAATATGAACATAACTAATCAGGTGTCACAGTTACCAATTGTACAACCCCCACCGCCTCTTCCAAAGGAAGATACAAAACCACCATTACCTCCAAACACATATCAATTTACAAGCATGCCACCACCGCATCAGAACAATCTTCCATTATTTCCAGCCAAACAAAGTGCGAATACCACGGTGCAAACTAGTGCACAAAACTGTCCCCAAAATCCCCCTTTACCTCCAAATCAGCCGCCATTACCTCCTGAAAGCAGTAATTGTAGTAAAGAAAATACTTTGACCGGTAAACGCGGTAGTAGTAACATTAGTGAATCTAATAGTGCTAAAAAGTTAAAAGTTGAAGATGAAGAGTTAACAGAGGCTGAAAAAACATTTGATGCCCAGTTTAAACAATGGGAGGAACAATTTAATAAGTGGAAAGAGCAAAATGCTAACCACCCAGACAAGGTAAGTAATATTATGATTATTATGTGCGAATAAAAGAAAAGAGATTAACATATTAATTAAAATGTTATACGCGAAGTAGTCTCAGTCGAAATTTTGTTAAAAAATATATATATTATTTTATTGTAGACCCAATACAAACAGTACGAAGCAAAATGGACATCTTGGCGAGAGAAACTTATCGAGCGACGGGAACAGATGCGTAGGAAACGCGAACAGCAAAAACAAGCTGCTACCAAGACAGAAGTTGATAAAAATAAACACTTACCCGGTGATGATAAAATAATGAATATTCTGTCAAGCACGGAAAACCAAGGATTGATCAACAATTTGTTAGGCATTGGAAAAACTCTTGGTTTAACTGGGAAACAAAACACTAATGTACCTCCACCGCCACCGCCACCGCCACCACCAGCTACAGAAACTACAGCATCCAATGTTCAAACGACAACTATGGCATCCTCCTCTCCGGTAATATCACAATCAACAACATCTCAGTTACCTGTTACGAACATGATATCTTCCAATATAATGTCTTCATCTCCTTGGAATTCTCAACAGTGGACGTCCCAGTCCCATTACAACGCAGGAGCAAATCTATCGAATTTTCCAAACTTTCAGTCTATGACTGGTGTGCCTCCACCACCTTTTGGCGCGCCATCAACGCAAATGCCTCCACCAAATTTTACACAACCACCACCAAATTTTCCAAATGTACCAAATTTCTCACAGCCACCGCCAGGTTTTGCTAATAACGATACACGGCAAAGCAATAATTTGCGGTCGCAGGTTTCATTAAATGTTCGAGGAAGATCTCCGTTTGGTTCAAATAATGGAGCCGGTCCCGATGGAAATCTTGCGCACAGTGATCGTTTAAGTCAAGCTGGTCCAATGGGTCATCCAAATAATCTTACCATTAATGAATCTAATCGACAAAAAGATAGTGTACCATTGGATCAATTTCGATCCAATGATTTATTTGGTCAACGAAATGATAATTATAAATTAAACGATGACCGAGCATCAGAAAATGACCAGTTTATAAGAGAAGATAGAAATTATCCAGAACAAGGAAATAATCAGTTTAGTCAACAGAAGATGAACTTTAATAACGATAGATTTGCTCTTGGAGGTGATCGTTTTGGACAAGGGAACAATCGATTTGGTTCGGTGAATGATAGATTTGGACCTGGAAACGATCGATTCGGTTTAGGAAACGATCGATCTGAACTTGGTAATGATCGATTCGGATCCGGAGACAATAGATTTGGAAATGATCGATTTGGACCAGGTGTGGATAGAATTGGATCAGGAACTGAGTCTGTCACTGATCGCTTTGGACCAAATGATAGATTTAGCACAAATATCGAGCAGTTTGGCCTGGGAGGCGATAGATTCAATAGGAATAATCTAGATCGTTTCGATCAAAAAGATGTGGGAGATAATAGACGCGATGGGTTTCCAAATATTACTCGAAGTTTCGGTAGAAGCAATCAGTTTGAACCACCGGATAAACTTGCGCCAGAATTGAAGAAGCTTATGGAAAAACGAAGAGCTGCGTTGGATGTCTTTAAACCAAGTTTTCTTGATTCTGATAAAAGTATTGGCGTTGGTTCGTTGAGTGAAAGCTTTAAAAAAATTACCGGTGATTCGCCATTTATGAAAAGTTCCATTGGTAATAATAATTTTGGGCCGCGCGTATCTTCTAACTTCGGACCAGGTGGTCTTGGTAATTTTAGAATGGCTGGAGACTTTAAACCTCCAGGAAATTCGGAATTTGGATCGCGCTGTTCCGCAGGAATTGGACGTAATAATTTATTTGATTCCCGAGATGGGGGAACAGTTTCGTTTAGAGGAGCCGCTTCTAGCCCGCAGCAACAAGTACAGGATTCTGTGAACACTGATCCAAGATCAGAGATGATGATAAATCTTCGTACCGATACAGATACACATATTGAGAATAAAGGTGAATCTGTTATTGTGCCAGAACAAGCAGAAGTAACGAATTTAAATTCAAACGAACAAAATATTGACAGTACGCTGAAAGATTGTCCTGAAAATTATCCAGTACAAAATGAGATACCATTATTGGAAACATCAACTTGGATGGAAGCTCAATTTCCCGAAGACAATTCGATGCGAAAGGATACTAACGATACTAAAGAGAATGAAAATCCGTCTGGAAATTGTAACACTCTGTTGGAACAGGGCACTCGCAGTGTGATCGGTGAAGCAACAGAACGAAAATCAGATCCATCTAATAGTTATACCGATATTAACAAGAAAACTGACGTGCTACCTTTCATGGGAGAAAATGATCCAAAACCTGAAGATTTAAATATGGAGCCACCACCAGAATTTCCAAATTTGGGTCTTGTTCCCACAAACGCTAACGAGCCTATTATTGATCCTTTGCGAAGAACAGGTGATTCATATGATGCAAAAGAGCCATCCGCGAAACCTTTTCCCAACAATCCAGAGTGCTCTGACCCTAGAGAAAATTTTGATAGTTCATTTAATTCAAGAGGAATGCAATGTAGACCAAATGCACCGTTTTCTGGTCCCAGAGGTGCTAATGATGGCAGGTTTCCCGTGTTTGAACCTAGAGATTTCATTTCATTTAATTCCTCCGATCCAAATTCGTACCTGTTAGGACCTCCTTGCACTCTTACCGATGGACAATTTGGGTCAAGGGGACCTAATGATGGACAATTTCGTTTGAGAGGACCTAACGATGGACAATTCGGTCCAAGACGTGTCAATGATTCTCAGTTTGGTTCGAGAGGAATCAACGATGGACAGTTTTGTCTGAGAAGTGCCAATGACGGATCGTTTGGCCCAAGAGGTCCTGTCGATAGTCAGTTTGGAATAAAAGGCCCTAATAGCGGGCAGTTTGGCCCCAGAGGTTCCAACGTTGGTCAGTTTGGTCCCAGATACGATGGACAGTTTGCGCTAAGAAGACTGAACGACGGACAATTTGGATCTCAAGGACCTAACAATAGACAATTTGGTCCTGGTAGGCCACCCGATGTACCTTTCGATAATCGAGGTTCTGGTGAGATGCAATTTACTCCTAGAGGGCTTAACGAAGGGCAACTGAAATTTTCAGGACCTAATGATAGATTCTCCGGTTTACGACGCAATGAGGTTTCTTATCAGCGTAATTCAATTGGTTTGAAAGGAACAAACGATGGACAGTTCACCGGTAGATTCAACGAGAAACAATGTGGTATTACCGTTGAAGGAAGATTTGGGTCTCAAGGTTCAAGCGACATGAGCTTTGGATCACGAGGTCCAATAAGCGGTGGTCCAAACGATGCTTCGTTTGGATCTCGAGGTCCTACCGACAGACAATTTGATGTTAGAGGAATTGGGGAGTATCGACCAAGGGGACAAATTGATAATAGTTTGTGCCCCAAGGCCAGAGAGGCTTCAGGAATCGGTGATCCTGAGGTCCATGGCGATGGAGGAGCATTCGAAGCTAATGATCAAAACCAGTTAGAACAGAATGCGCAGCAAGGACAGTTTAATTCCAGTGAAAATTCAGGGTGGAAGCAACCATATTCTAAAAATAGTTTTGGCGATATTGATCAAAGATCTGGACAAGATTTCTGTTATGGCGAGAATCCGTTGCCCCCACAAAATGAAATATTGAGTCAAGGTGTGGCGAGTAATATAGAACGACGGTCTCCTATAAATACAAATAAATCTAACGTACCTGATAAAAGATCAGAAAAAGGTATAACTGATTTAACACCTGGAGATTGTAAAATTGGATATGGAGAATCGTCGTCGGGGTGCGATTATGGAAAGTTTGCTAGCCCTAATATGCACAAAAAACGATCATTGGATAATCGACAGCCTCAAATTATGTGTCCAGTTGTTAAAGAATTTTGCATAGAAAAACAATTTAATTATAATCATGGCGGGGCTACCGCTGACAAGAAATTCGTTGAACATATACCTGCCAAAGTAATCGACTATGCCCATACTTCTCGTACATCGATTCAAGATCACTTAACTCCTGTGCAGTGCTTTGATTATGGGCATGGTAATTTAAAGCCATTGGTACCGGATCATGTGGTCTATCCAAAGAAAGATTTCAGAAATTGGGAGGAGAATGAACTAAATTTGAAAGACTATACAGAGAAAATGAGGAGATACGAACATTATTCAAGAAAAACAGATTCTACGCGATCCAGAGATTATAGCCAAAGAAGGGACAGCGAGGAATTGATTAATAATAAAAAGTCTGAACGGGAACGCAGAGAGAGAGAAGACTATAAAGGTAAAGAACGTGAAGGTAGAATATTTGGTCTTTGATTATGATAAAGCGACTATATTACACAGCATCGAAATTGGGACAGTTGAAGACGGGGACCGGGTCGAAAAACTGAGGGTGTGTGTGTGTACTAAATGATTAGAAAATTCAAGATTTTTCCCCTTGTCTTCCATTAAATTTTTTCCCAGGGATGGTCAAACATCCTGTATATGTATAACGGGGATTTTTTTCCCCTTTCCTTTTTTTCTTTTAAAAAAAATTGAAAATGCGTTACTGACAAAATCTCAATCTTAATTAAATATAATACAATTTTCTAATTTCAATGTTATAGTCCATTTATTATAAATAAAAATTGATCGAATACAATAAGGACACGTGTGAAACTATATTTAGGAATCTGTACACATAGTCCAATTATGTACTTATTTTATTATTAAATTTTACGACTGGTTTCACGTTTGTTAACGTCTTTTAAAAAATGTAGAACGAACGCGAGAAAGGTGTGAAACTTCGCAAAAGGAAACGATCGAAGAGAATGACAAAAATGAGGAGAGGTACAGTAATATCGAATAATTAATTTATAAATTTATATATGTACATTTGTAAATGAACTATATTGATATTTATACCAAACACGTTTGAAAATATATCTTTCTTTAGATCGAAAGGAAATATAAAGTGGCAGGAGAACTCAAACAAGAACGTCGTAGAGACGAAGCCGTCAGATATCAGGTATGTTGTTATATTAATTATTAAATGCGTCTTAGATGTTTAGTGTTCGAAGAACTGTAAAATAAACGCATTTACAACTTTTGTGTTCTTAAACAGACTCACATTATGCTATGTCATACCAGTGGGTATCTATTTATAGATTATTTGAAATGGATATATTGCATTTTGCATAAGGTACGAAGACTTGTTTATGGAAACTTATGCTATGTCTTGAACCGTTAAAATGTACAAATATATTGTGCGAATCTTGTTGGCGCGTACAAAATATTTTTGAAAACCATTGGTTTTCTCTAGTTGCACTATCGAATTTACACACGTACGTAGAGGATGGTCTATTTTAATCTATCCGCGCTGTCATCTTTGAATCTAGTAGTTTTTTTCTTTCAGATATATCAAATGAGACTCCGTTTCTGTCGAAGGCAACATGTTTTGGTCATAGAAGAAGTCGTTTTCAAGATTTGAAGGGGACCTTTACTTTTTTCAATGGAACGATACATTTCTCGTTATCTAGATTTTTAGCTTTTGAACAAATATATCAAGACAATGAAAAATGCATTATTTTATTCAAAAAAATAAAGATCACTTTCATAGCTTGAAAATGACTCTGCCTGGAACGATGTTACGTTGACCAAAACGTGACTCTCTCAAAATAAACTATGTTTGATATGGTATATTTGAAAAGAAAACATGAGAAATACTAAACTCGAAAATAACAGCGTGGAAAGAATTGAATAAGACCCTTTGTACATGTGTTAGCATTATTAATGTCACTGTATTGACTCTAGTATATGCACATATATTATATAATATGCCACGTATGTACGAATAGTACAACTTGCGATTGTTTTTAGAAATTGACGACTTTTTGAGCATCTCTAGATGATCTGGATGTTGATACTTAATAAACAGAACTTAATATATGTTTTTTCTCACGCTAAATATATTAACAGTGATCGGGAATTAACTTAAACCAAGTTAAACGAATGAAATGTACAGCGGCATAATGCAAACATATTTTATTTTTATATGTTTGTATTACGTACGAACGTGTTTTCTACAATTTAATTTTTTTCACCTTTGTACAGGTGATAGGAGAATGTACACCATACTTACAGGTTTTTATACTGCCGTTGCTATCTTTTACAATTACCGAAAAAATCATTTCTATTTATTTTCATACTGTATACGATACACTTTAAAATTGTTGACAAATAGTTTATATTATATATCTGAATATTTCGTGAAAAAACTCTGCTTATGACCCAACCGACAGTGATATTTTAAATACCCCAAAACATGTTCAAAGATATATCAATCGTTATGTATTTGTGATCATTTATGTTTCATCGTTAATTTTCTTAATTTTATGTTGTAAAAAACAAATTGCTTCATTTCGACGATTAACGTATTTAAAACTTCTAAATGGATTATAAAGATCTCATAGTAAGTAAAAATGATATGTTACAGTGTTACAGATACACAGCATAATGTGGTGGGACCAGCACCAAAAACTTTGGAACTGCCAAAAACACCAAACTGTACAATGGTGGATGATTTATTGTGTCCTCCGGGTCGTCAGAACAGACCACCAAAAATAGCCATCATTTTGAGAGGTCCACCAGGCAGTGGAAAATCATTTGTCGCTAAACTAATTAAAGTAAATTTATATGTTCTTTGAAGTTTCTTCGGTGAAATGTATTTTTCTTTAATATAATTCTATACGTATATTATATTATAGGATAAAGAAATTGAACAAGGAGGTTCGGCGCCAAGAATATTAAGTCTCGATGATTATTTTTTGATCGAAAAGGAAATGGAGTCCACGGATGATAATGGAAAAAAGGTTACAGTCAAGGTATAGTGGTAACTATTAGTTTTCAATAAATCTAAGGTCATCGACTCTTCACTTTGTTTCTATTTTGACACAATTTATTTTACTTTGACGAATGTTGTAGGAAATGATCTATGAATACGAAGAAGCAATGGAACAGAGTTATGTAACATCGCTCGTGAAAGCCTTTAAAAAAAATATCACTGATGGTTTCTTTAACTTTATAATACTCGATTGCATTAATGAAAAAATATCTGATTATGAAGAAATGTGGAGTTTTGCTAAAACCAAAGGTTTTAAAGTAAGTTTTATTAGAATGAAAACTGTTAAATCGTTCTTTTATATAATTATTCGTTCATAGGTATACGTATGCGAAATGGAAATGGATTTACAAATCTGTTTAAAAAGAAATATCCATAATCGTACGGAAGATGAAATAAACAGAATTATAGATTATTTTGAACCTACCCCAAGTTATCACCAAAAATTGGACGTTAATTCAATGTTGCAAGATCAGGCGATCGAGGAGGTACGTTTTTCCCCCATATATCATTATTTACAATTCAGATTACAGCTAAATTCGCTTTCGTGCAATACTGTAACGTAGCATAGTACGCGTGTAATGCCCTTAATTTCAGTATTTTATAATAGGTTCATATGGAAGATAGCGAGGAAACGCTAGAGAAGTCCTCCCAACAAAATGAAGACAGCCTAGACAGTCAGGAGGATGTCCAAGATAGTGTTGTAAGTTTAAATTTTCAATCATGTATCGTCATTATTATCATCATTATTATTATTACTACTATTACTACTGTTTTTCTTCCCCCATTTTTTCTTTTAGGGAGTAAGCAAGTGGGAACGCATGGAAGCAGAAGATAAATTAGGTTAGCTATCATGTACTGTATAAAATATCGTCGACATTTCTTTCTGGTTATGCCTTTTTCTTAAGTATTTGCTTATTTTATATAAATATGTAATATAGACCGTTTGGATGGGCTTGCAAAGAAGAAGAGCGAAGGAAAAGTACAAACTATGAAAGATTTTCTTCAAGTTCCAGACTACTATAATATGGAAGATACTTCCGGTAAAAAACGTGTAAGTACACTTTTAACTTGCCAATGATAATGAGATAATGTAATTTGAGATTATTAATGGAATGCTCATGAAATTTTCTATAAATCTCTATGTTATCGTATCTGAATTTATACAGGTACGATGGGCAGATTTAGAAGAACGTAAGGAACAAGAAAAAATGCGTGCTGTAGGTTTTGTGGTTGGTCACACCAATTGGGATCGTATGATGGATCCGACAAAAGGAGGAAGCGCCTTAACACGCACAAAGTATATATGACTTGACTCTACTTCTGGAATATCTAGGAAAAATTATAAGTAAAATTAATATTGTTTGCCCTGTAAATTCTAGTCGAAAAATTTATATAATCAGTTGAAGAGTAAATCTAACGATATTATTACTGGTCCTGCAAACAGGAAATGTAATGATACGTTAATTTTTCTTGTTTTGTATTTTTTCAAAGAAAAGACTAACTTTTGTATTATGAAATGTAATGTTTGTACAACGTATGTAAAAATAACGTTATCACGTTTATGCAAGTAAAACATGATACCAGATGTAAGAATCTGGTGAATGATAGTAAGAAAAGTATTCTTATAGTATTATCTGTAACGCGCAAAGACTGTCCTTTTGGTATAACGGTTACAGTTTTATCAAATTTCCTAAGAATATATTAACATCGGAATATTTTAGCGAGGAAGATGTTGTTATTTTAAAACAAGAGGGAGAATATAATACGAAGCGTTACGTTTCTCTTATTATCGTATACATATATTTGTCTGTGGACTATTCTTTAAAAAGACACATTTAAGCTAGAATTCAAGTGGAAACGGTTAAGGCGTAGTGTGAATGTTATATTAAATTTTCCATAAATTGTAACCTGCATTTTTATGATTTATATATGTGCATTTTTATTTTTATCCTTATTTAATTCGATAATGTCGCTTTTTATTTTTTCAAATACGTTTTGTGAAATTCAAGTATTAAATTGTTATTGTATTATAAATATCTTTACATGTAGTTTAATTAGCGAATTCCGGTGTCTTATACGATCATTGTTATTGCAGGTTTTTCTCGCTATCATAATGACAATTCTGTTTTCATTCGGCTACGATCGAACAAAGAAGCGATAAAGCAAGGTACCTACAACCTTCAGATTCTTCGAATGGCGATTCTAATACAGTCTTATAGGAAAGATTATTATTTAGTAGAATCGGCATAAAGTCCTTTTAGCTTATGTAAATTATTGCACGCTGTAATTACTGTATATAAATAACATACCTTTAATGAAAATGTTTTCATTATACATTTTTATATATAATTCCTGTATTATGTATAATAAGGTAGATCTATAGTTTAAATGTACACAATAGTCCTACGCTGCCTATTGACCATTCTATTATCGAGAAACTAAACGATATGTGTTAAAAAATTTGAAGAAATTACCATTGTATGGATGAACTAAAAAATAAAGTTGAAAAAATTTTACGATATTTCATACCAATGACCATTAATTACTTGCAGTAGATTCGTGTCTTAGAATTCTTACGATGTATAAATTGCTTATGGCGTTCTACATTTAGTAGATCAAAAACGTTGTCAATTAGAATTTTAATGACCGAGAATAAATCTATTCTTGGACTATACATTAATTTATTGCTGCTAAAACATCATTACCAAAGTAAGTATTCTTATTTGCATCGTAATAATAATTTATTTAAGAAATGTGTTGGGGGATTATTCATGAATATTATTATCCGAAACTAATTACTATATAATTAAATTTTTAAATCATTTCGCTATACATATTTCCATATAATTAATTAGTTATAAACGATTCTTATTTAAATAATGCGCAAAAAAGTGCCTAAAACAGTGTCGCCATCTAATATCAGTGTTTCGAAGTCAAAAAATCGTCCCAGGATCACAGAATGTGTGTGGAGGTATCCGGAGTACAGCTTCCCCCACTCCTCCTACTCATGATACCACACTACCATTGATTATTCATTAATAACTCCTTTCCTGGGCTTAAACTATCAACTTTTAGTATCGAAGAATATAGTATAGACCCTTGGCTACAATCAAGGATACTTTTTAGAACCATTCCGCCCGTAATTAAGGCGTTATTAACGAATATCGGAAGTCGGCACATTGTACGACTGTACCATCGTCCGCTTTAATCGATGAATTATCAATTTTTCGCCAATAACACGCATATTTCCGCTATTGTAAACCCAAGTAGACATCCCTGGCAACATGTAAGGACCGATTTTACAACGCTCCAAGCTCTAATTAATTAATTATTAGCGATTGTTCCCGAAGGTGACCCGCAAAACAGTGACCCGACTTCCGATATTCGTTAATAACTTGTTAATGAGGGGCGGAATGGTGTTAAAAAGTACCCTGAAATCTAGCCAAGGGTCTATACTATTATCTTCGATCCCACAAGTTGATAGTTTGTACCCAGGAAAGACGTAATTAGTAAATTAACGAGCAATAGGTCCAATAGTTCATCGAAACATTGATTTCTACAGTGGCGCCACTAGTGGCGACAATAGCGTACTATGAGTTGCTCGGCTTTTAATCAACTATTGCTCGTTAATTTACTAATTACGTCTTTTCTGGGTACAAACTATCAACTTATAGAATCGAAGATAATAGTATAGACCCTTGGCTTGGTTTTCATTGTACTTTTTATAACCATTCCGCCCCTCGTTAACAAGTTATTAACGAATATCGGAAGTCGGGTCACTGTTTTGCGGGTCACCTTCGGGAACAATCGCTAATAATTAATTAATTAGAGCTTGGAGCGTTGTAAAATCGGTCCTTACATGTTGCCAGGGTTGTCTACTTGGGTTTACAATAGCGGAAATATGCGTGTTATTGGCGAAAAATTGATAATTCATCGATTAAAGCGGACGATGGTACAGTCGTACAATGTGCCGACTTCCGATATTCGTTAATAACGCCTTAATTACGGGCGGAATGGTTCTAAAAAGTATCCTTGATTGTAGCCAAGGGTCTATACTATATTCTTCGATACTAAAAGTTGATAGTTTAAGCCCAGGAAAGGAGTTATTAATGAATAATCAATGGTAGTGTGGTATCATGAGTAGGAGGAGTGGGGGAAGCTGTACTCCGGATACCTCCACACACATTCTGTGATCCTGGGACGATTTTTTGACTTCGAAACACTGATATTAGATGGCGACACTGTTTTAGGCACTTTTTTGCGCATTATTTAAATAAGAATCGTTTATAACTAATTAATTATATGGAAATATTAGATAGCAATTTGAATCGAATAATATTTGGTGCAGTTGTAATCGTTTATAACTAATTAATTATATGAAAAAATTTAAGGAAAGGTACGAGATAATGTATTAATAGAAACCATGGAAAGTATGTATTGAAATTTTTACTTTTTATTAATATAAACATACAGAATATTTTACACTTTACTAATTCTATTATAGAAAAACATACCTTAGAATCTTGAAAGCACGTTTTATAAATAAATTAAATTGTTGATTTCTACCTGATAGTAAACAATTGGCTAGACACGTGGAAGCAAAACGACACAAGTCTTTGCATAGACTTTATGAAGGGGTGGAAAATCGTTTGCGTGATTACAGGAATGTTCAAAGACAAATGTATCGGTTGATCGACACTTAATGACTCCCCCCCCCTTATGTACATCTTACTGCAATACGCTAAAGAAATTCCTCACAAAGAAGGCGGTGGTGGAACCAGTACAGTAGTTGGCAGGGATTGGAAAAAGGTGATACCGTTAGAGTTGAAACCGGAACCAAGTAATTCGATCAACCATTGGCCCCTATATCCATAACGTTTTTGATAGGCGTAAGAGGCGCGCGGTCCATCCTCGGGTCTAAATTCAAAGGCCATCTTCTTTCTTGTATCTGGGGAAGTTAACAATTTCAACAGACCCAGGACGCTGTTTCGTGGCCATTCCCAAAACCGCTCTCCCGACCAAACAGTCCGAAACATGCCGGACCACCTTGACGGAGATAAATCGAACGGAATCGATCTCGACGTTCGCATCAACGCTGCACCACTGGATTCAGCAATTATGCACATCTGTACACGACAATAAAATAAACGTTTTAAAGGCATACCACTTTTGTATCGGTGAAAGAAGTTAGGCAAGTACCTATTTCATTTTTGTTTTATCAGAAAGGGGATACACATTGTAAATTAGGCTACTTAAACTTATCTGCTATACGTACATATGTACCTGCAAGAAATATATGTATATCTCTACAACTCGGCCACGAAAAAACGATTGTTTTTGAACCTCGGAAGTATACATACATATGTATCCCCTTAGTTCTATAAAAATGACCACCACTTACCACCACCGAATATATAAACGGTTTTACAAGCCGCATCTTTTCTTTTTCGTTCCAGCATTTGAACCTTCGGGTAGAAACAGACACAAAGAACTGACCCATAGTTCATCGTGTCGATTCACTTTTATGCCTTCTTTTTGAGCGAAGGTGTCGTGTGCATAGAATACATCGGCCGTCGATCGATTCCGGGACGGCCGATGAATTGTCATTCAACGAGCGAAACATAGACATAGTTTATCAAACTGCCTGCGCATCGTTCCTCGAGACCGTCCGTTTTTACTTTCACTGGCAACGTTACGCCAGACTGGACTGCTTGGCTGATTTCTTATATAGCATACATGGTCTTTGGAACCGTGGCGGGACGAGTTAGTTGATATTCCAGACTCGTTAAAATATTGTCACTGAACGGCAGACAGTGTGCTTCTACGTGATCGCTTCGCAAAGGAACAACATGAATTTCTTTCGTGTCTCGGTAGTTACGATTTCGCTTCTGGCTGTTAGTTAGTTATCACGCTTTCCTGCGACCCATTTAACAAAATTCATTTTAATATCTTGCAACATTTAAGTATTGCGTATATTAGATTTGGAACAAAAATCAACTGGCTGCTCGAAATAATTAAAAAGCTATCTGATCGCTACAGAGTAAACGTTGACATGGAAATATGGTAGTAAGGAGATCGATTAAAGATCAGGGAAATGGACTCGAATAGCCAATTTGTTTCATTCCAACTCTACATATATGTAGTTGAGAATTCTTCTTGTAATTTTAGTTATTACATCATTTACTTATTACATCATTGATTTTAGGTGTTGCTAACTTTTATCGTGATGGTATTTCACGCCGACAGACACATATCAGCCGCTAGCCCTGTTGGTGCTTTTTCGTTTATTCACGATCTAGTTCAGTCTAACATAGCAGGAGTGCCGCTCATCCACGAGGCAAGTAGTACCTATAATTGAATTTGTCAAACAGAAAGATAATATTAACGAAAATCAATAAGAAGAAAAAAAGTGTAAATAAGTTGTACATATTAACTTCCCTTTATAATTGTTCTGCAGCAAACGCAATGGGATTTCGATCCAGAAATCGGTAAACGGAGAAAAATCAGATACGAAGAAGAAAATGGTCGTCATGGCGAACTCGCAATAGCGAAGATTGGCATGGGTATCGGATACGGAGGACTTTGGGGAACGTCTGCGTAAAGACAAATCCTATTAATCGATCGACAATTAATAATCTGTAAAAAGATACATTAAATATCATTCGTTTCGAAAACTGTACATATTATTATAATTATTAAGGTACCTGTTACACTCTAATAAAATCATGACCAGGCAAAATTTACTTTTCCTATTGTGAATCACGATTCTCTCTCCATTTCAACAACGTATAACGATTACTATGTGCTACTGTTTGCTCCTGTTGGTCTCTACATCCCTCTACATCCCTCTGCTGGACTTTGTCGGCCCCTGCTGACCGCTGTTGACCACTCCTCCTGATACTCCCGACAACGTATAACGATTACTATGTGCTACTGCTTGCTCCTGCTGGTCTCTACATGCCTCTACTGAATTTACATTTTCAATCTCAACGTATGTTTTGACCAAATCGACTAACCCAATTGAGTTGTGAAATAAAATTTTAGAAAAAAAACAGCGCGAAATGACGTTTACTCTTTCTTCGACCTTGACCAATTTCGACGTTAGTTCTATTCCAATTGACTTTTAACGAACGTAACGAAAGACAGAATAGTGCGTCCATAGGTTTCTCTCTTCGAAGTGACCGAGTGCCTATACGTAGCAACGTAAGTAAGCAAGTACCTACAAAGTACAACTAGTAGAACGTGCTCTGTTCGACTTTCACTCGATGGTGTGGAATAAAGAAGAAAGTGGGGATGCACGTAGAGAAGAACGGTAAGAGATTCCGAGCGAAGGTAGAGAAAAGGTGGGGGGCTCGGAGAAATCAAAACTAACCGACCGTATGGATGTTAGTAATGCTATTCGTCTCTACGCGTGATCAAACAGTTTCAACTTTACCAAAGTGAAACAACGCTCGCGTGTTACGCAGAAACAAACTTTAGAAACTTTCATTTGGCAAACGTCTTAACGCGCCGCTGGCCATCATCGTCATGACAAGACACGCTTCTGTAAGTAAATTAATACTCATGAATAAACAGGTTGCAAAAACAAGTCATATTTTACGAATCGAGTAATTTAAAAATGAAATTTAATGATCATGCAAGCGACAATTTACACGAAAACGTTCAAAACCACTGCTTGATGACCCACTTATAACGGTACGCATGTTACAACATGTGTCTGTCACAAGTATTTCTCGTATTTTTTTTATATGTATACTATAGTATACTTACATGGAGCGTATTAAAATCTGTCACGGCGTAGTAGTAGTCTTTCGATCGGTGGAATGGCATTATCACTTCCAATAGCTAGAACCTGGCGTTTTAATTGTCATTTTACCAATCGCGACAGATTCACCGCCACTCAATCTATATTAGTAGAAAACATTAATACGATAAATGCAATTGAACGCAAGTTCAAAACATTTCAACATCGATTGACCTACTTTTAGTGGACGGTCGTGATCTTCGTGACACTAATCATCGCCTTTTTCCTCGGGTTAATTACTGAAAGTGCAGCAACGATAGCACAACCAAAGGCACCTAATTTTCAATACTTCGAGAGGTAAGAAACTAAAAAGCACTAACGAATCGAGTCAACTTTGAATTTATAATACATAAACAAAACGTGAACAATTATCAAAATAACTACGCAATGTTCTTATGCCGATTGACATTATGTATTAGATTAGAATGATCGTTTTGTCATTGAAAAGTTTCAGCCCTTCGCAGTAAATTTCGAATTTAAAAGCCGAACAGTCGTTTCTCTAATCTGAAAATTACAAGTACATAGATTCTTATTTAACAAATTTCCAAGTTGAAGATCGTCTTGGGAAAAATTTGAAAAAATAGCTCCGAATACTCGAGGCTTTTTCTATAAAATATCTATAAATCTAATTAAAAAATTATACCACTGACCTTTACTGTAAATATATTTATAGGCCCAAATACCGTTATCCATACTATGATGAAAACGGCAGAGGAAAATTACTCTATGGCTATGGAGGACCAGATCTTTACCAGTATAAAACTTATAGTGCCCTTGAAGGAATCCATTAGTATTGGAAACAACTAATTATGTTACAAACTAAATTACTCGACGATCATTTTAGTGAATTGTAACTCATTATGTAGAATGAGTGTAAAATAATATAGTACATACACGATTTTGCTTCCGATTACAAGAAATTGTATATCACTCGCGCGTGAAATACTTGTATCGTCCACTATACATATGTATAGTCACATATTGTACAGCTCTGTTCTTATTATAGTATTATTCCTTGTTATCGAAAACACGTCGGGTATTGTCGTAAAAATAAGGAACATTACAAGATCGTTTATTCTCTCAACTATAATTAATGGTACTTTTAAATGCAATTGGTTTTTTATACTTGTTTCTGTTATAAACACATGTATCTTCGTCTTAAATTTTGTTTTTATTACTTGAGAATACGATAACATTGTGACTCGCAAGGATATATCGAGAGTAAACGAGCAGATCTGTCTTAAGAGATAAATTGCTTCTTTGATCGATGAAGTTTAAGAATGTGTTGGAACGAGAGCATCTTTTTCACGTTTGATTCCTACAAATAAAAAATGGGCAAAATTCTTATTCGGATGAGATTTACAGCTATTTGCCTGTTATTCGTTGAATAAACATTTAAATTATAGAATTAAACATTTCGCATAGTACAGATAAAAAGTTTAACCGTTCGATCGAATATTACGAATAAATTACTATGCGATGCCCTTATTAATTTTTTATTATTCAAATAAAATTTTGCCCATCTCCGCTACATATAGAAATTACAAACAGTTATCGTTATAAAATTCACTTTCTATGTAAAGTGTATGGAATGTGCATTAGCGCCCCTAAAGTCTATGGCGTGTCCAATAATCATCGTGTCGAGTAGAAGTGAAAACGACTACTAATCCTAAAATCCGACCATCATACGTCAGAGTCAGAAAATTTGTAAATGTTAAAAAAACGCAGTCGTTTGTAAATAGTTTACGCGCCGACAACGCGTGACGATGTTCGTTTCGTGGCAGGTGCACATACAAGTTACGAATGTGCAAGCATAATCCAGTGTATATAACGAGATAATGCTGATAAACGAACGAATTACTACTACCCGTAGAATGTTTTGGATGTTTATTCCAAATGATCCTTGTCCGCCTTGTCTTCGGCAGACTGTAACTGTCATACAAAATCCATTTCGGAGAAGTTGTAATATTCTGTATCTACTTGTCGTTTGTAAAGCTGTCTCTCTATAAATTTTTTTATCTCGCTGACCGCGAAAACGCTCGAAGTTAACGCAACCAAGAATAAAATATCTGCGAAAGAATAAAAAGTAATTTATTCGATGGAAGTTGATCACCAAACAACAGATTATTAATTCTATTATACGATCTCGATCGAATATGTACCCTTTGCCGTGAGAGCTTCAGTTTGGAAAACTCGTTGCAATGGTGGGAAGTAGATCACTAACATTTGTCCTATTACCGATAATGTAACAGCTACCAGGAACATCTTGTTACTCCATAAACCAATAGTGAATATCGACTTTGTCTGAATCGAATGTGTATTATATTAAATGTAACAAAAATAGAATTTAATACTCGGAAATAATCTCGTTGTTTCTTACCTGTGATCTACAACTTAGAGCGTTAAACATATCGAAGAAAACGAAACACGTAAATGTCATGGTTGTATCCCTTGCAGTAGTACCATTCGTCATCTAATTTAAAAAGAAATTAAGACGATCGTGTACAAATAGATATTTTGTTTTTAGTAAAATATCTTGGTACCTCTTTGTTATAAACCCATAAAGTACCAACAATGATAATAATGGCAGATAATAATACATTGACAATAAGATGTCGCGTAATCATTAATTCTTTCGTGTTACGTGGTTTCTGTTTCAAGACATCCTTATCAACTGGTTCGACACCAAGGCTATAATAAATGATTAGATATAATCATGTGACATTTTAATTCCATTAGTTTTATTTTCAGTTACCTTTGAGCGGGTGGACCATCCATAATAATATTAATCCAAAGGATTTGCATGGCATTTAAAGGATTTGGTATACCCATCAGAGTAGCGAGAGCAATCAAAGAAAGAGCAGCTATACTAGTACTTAATTGAAATCTTACAAAATTTCGTATATTATGAAATATTCCTTTCCCCTCTTCGATTGCATCGCTAAAAAAGAAAAGAAAGAGATGTAGTTAAAATGAAGAAACATTATTAATGAAATCCATAGTACTATGAGTATGTACATAATAGTTCCAAAATCGTCATCCAGCAGAATCATGTCTGCAGCTTCTTTGCAAACATCGGTACCATTTTTACCCATAGCGATACCTATATCCGCTTTTTTCAAAGCAACTCCATCGTTTACACCATCACCTGTCATGCCCACTATATTTCCTTCCCTTTGCAAAGCTTTAACGATGCATAATTTGTGCTTGGGTGTAACACGATAGAACACACTAACATTATTGATACACTGTTCTAATTGATGTTCGGACATCGAGTCAATTTCATCTCCAGACATTAGACGCGAGTGAAGTATATCCAGTCCGATCATACTTGCTAAAATAAACAATTAGATGCAATTCACTGGTATGATAATACCATTGAAAGACATAGAAGAAAGATCACGTATGCCACAAGGTACCTATTGCTGCTGCAGTTTCTTTGGCATCACCTGTAACCATCTTGACTTTAACGCCGCTGTTAACGAGAGTTGCTATAGATTCGCGAACATGTGGTCGAGGAGGATCGCATATACCCACGAGACCAACATACACAAGATCTTGTAATGATGTACCACGTGCTAATCCAATTACTGTAATCATTTACTCAAGTATGTGGGTTAGGTCTGGGTTAGGATAGAAACCAGTGAAATTAACGTGTTGTAAACGACATTAAAAAGCATTTACCTCTTAATCCTTGTTGTCCAATATCGTAAGCTTCCGTTAGAAATTCTTCATCCTTCTTTTGATTAAGAGAATATACTTGACCATTAGCAGAGTACTTGGTACACTGAGGTAAGATTTTTTCCAGAGCACCTTTTACAAAATATATTTCTTGCCTATTCTGTAACATATCAAATATACTGGATAATAACATAAAAAAACTTATTAAAAAGTTCAAGTTGCGTGCATTAAAATGTTATTCTACCTCCCCATATTTTGGTGCACATTTCACAGCCATCATTTTTTGTTCCGAGGAGAATGGATATTCTTGTAGCCGTAAATATTTATCAGCGACTCCATACATTCCGTATTTTACGGCTAATGCTATCAGTGCACCTTCCGTTGGTTGACCAAGCAGAGTATCATTCTGTATTATAGCATTATTGCAGACACATCCTACTTCCAGCATGTTGCTGATAGCAGTGCGTGCAAGGTCATAATTGTCGCACTTTCGGATTCGTACTTCTCCCTTATCGTTATAACCAGTGCCGGTAATGTCAGCTATATATCCTTCGGAAGTTATCAGTATCGTAGCAGTCATCTCGTTCTTCGTAATAGTTCCAGTTTTATCAGAGCATATCACGTTCACGCAACCTACACATCGATAATATAATATTTATATGGCTGTGTCTAAATAATAAAAATTTAATGTAAATATAATGGTCATATACGTACCAAGTGTTTCAACCGTTGGTAATTTTTTGACAATGGCTTTTCTTTTAGCCATCCTCATAACGCCTAATGCCAAAGTTACGGTTACAACAATGGGTAAACCTTCTGGTATAGCTGCCACTGCCAAACTTACACTGATTGTAAACATTTCAAGTATAGCTTTGCCCTGGATCCAGCCAAGAAGCATAATAATACCAATGATACAAAATGAGTAAAAGGACAATTGAGTGCCCAAAATATCCATACTTTTTTGAAGCGGTGTCTTCGGAGCTTCTTCGGCTTGCATCATTGAAAAAACTTGTCCGAATTCGCTTTTTTTCCCTGTGTTGACTACTATCCCCTATAAAGTATTTTTTAAATATTCGTAAATTACCGATACATAACATATTTACGAACATATAATTGCCATGGTACAACTTACTTTTCCATTTCCACAGCGCACCAACGTACCCATAAACACTATATTTTTCTTTGTTGTCAACCCGTTAGCTTTAAGTAACGGAGCTGTTGATTTTTGTGCTGGTTCGGTTTCTCCAGTAAAACTGCTTTCGTCGATTGTTAAATCTATTGCTTCGAATATCCTGATATCCGCAGGTACTCTATCTCCGATATTTAAATAAACTATATCACCGGGAACTAAGTTGCGAGCAAGAAATGTTTCCAAACGACCTTCTCGTAAACTGAAAAAAAAAGGTAATAAAATATTCGTTATATTACAGCTATTATTATCAGAATACTGTCACGTGTTTTAGGGTGAAACGGATCAGTTCGTTTATAAAATACCTAATTAATAAAAAGTATATGTATCTATTTACCAGTGACAAGTCGGTGGCACCAGTTTATTTAATTCTTCTAAGGATTTTTCAGAGCGGTATTCTTGTACAAATGCAACTGTTACTACTATTATGATAGCCTAGAGGAAAATATTTTTCATAACTTAAATATTTATAAAGATGCGATTACTAAGCAATTATAAGATTTATGATACAGTTTCTATAAATATAATACTCACTACTGTAATACTGACGGCATCGTCAAATTGTTTCATACATACACTAACGAAAGCAGAACCAAGTAATAATAGAATCAAAGGATTTTTAAACTGGAAAAAAAGATTCTGTTACTATTACCGTTCTTACATGATAAATTTTTATTTTTATATCTATTTTATACCTGTTCAACATATTTCTTCCATGTTGGTTCTTCTTCTTTAACGCTAAATTCATTGTATCCAACCATCTGACTCCGGAGATCAGCCTCTTGCCACCATAGTCCTCTTCTTATATCGACATGCAATCTAGCTGCTACTTCTTCCGCACCAAGACTGGCTGCCTCATTAGTCGTTAACCACATTTCTGGGTTTTGATCTTTAGCAACCTTAAATGATAAAAATTTATTTATTTTCCTCTTAATATTCTACAATTAACTCGTTAACATTTTTTGTCCCGTCTATAGAAAAGGTTCTCTACCTTTATTACAGCTTTCCATCGTTATAAAACAACACCTGGCAAATTTGCAATGTTTAATAGATTATTTTCTACAAAAAAAAATTGAAAAATTCTAATTTTTTAAATTATCAATACATTTTGAGCAATCGATACTAGGAAACCTGTGATAACAACATTGCTAATGTCGCACTGTAAAGTATCATGCTCGCATTCCGCTTAAGCAATGTATGTATGCACAGTCTGAAGAAAATTTCTTTTATGTCATATTGTAATATGAAACATCATAAATTCTAACCTTTAAGATTTCATGGAAACACAAACGAATCGAGATACGTACACAATTCCCTAAATCAATGAGATACTTAATTTTTAAACATAAATTATAAATACATGTTGATATAAATTAGACGGAAAGAAAGAGTGGATAACCCTAAGTATTTAGAAATTCGCCGCTTCGAACTAACGAGTGTTTATACATGTCAGTCATATGTACATACATACATATATGCATTGCTTTTATTCAAGGTTTATCCAACGCATACACGTATATGGATATATATAAACATATGTGCTTGACAATACTTCCGAGTGAAAAGTTGTAACTATTGAGTTTTATTCGTAAATCTGAAAAGAAGAAATTACACGTTTCGCAAACTAAACACTTGTACAAAAAAAAAGCTTGATACCTCTACAAATAGTCATAATGCCTGGAATTCGCTGGAGAGTTTTGCTTTCAAAAATTCAGAATTTTTACATACAGACATACGTTTTTTGACGTTACAACAGTTAGAAACGACGAAACAAGTTTCAGCCCGAAGGCTATTCCGTGTATCCGTACGAGTACAAGAAAACCGTTAACTCTAAAGAAGAAAATTCTTGAATGAATCTCGGGCAAAAGGCAAACGATAAATAAATAAAAAATTATCCCATTTTTATGTGTATGTAATGTTACCAAAGCGAATTATGTTATTTGTAATAACATAAGGTATTTATACATGTAATATCAAACGAATAAAATGTATAAGTAAATTGTTACTTTATACAAGATTTCAAATATTTTGTATATTGCAATTATTCACAAGAATATATTGTTATAGTTGTTACTTTATGTAAACTTATTCGTAAGGTTTACAGCTGGTTACTGTCTGAAAAGGTATCGCATGTCACGTGTTTCATCGTTAGAAAACTATCACCTATCGGACACTAATAACACGTATGCGAAACTCGCGATTGACGATAGAAATGTTGATAGGTGTACCTAGTTAGGAAGATAAGCGTGTGTGATCGATACCGCAACATTTCAAAACACTACAGTTACACAAAATTTAGAAATTGTTTATTTTGCAAGAATGAAATTATTTACGATTTACGCTATTTATATATTTATAGAATGTTTGCGTTGTCAGTATCGAATATTTTTCTTGTAATCAACCGGTGTAATATAATTCTGATTATAATTATTTGTATCACGGTAGCCAGTGTCTACGAAACGTTGTTAACGCTCAATACGTTGTTTGTTACCTTTAATATCATTAGACTTAAATAATATTAATCTAAAATTGTTCTTACTTCCTTCAATACTGCATTCTCGTCGTCATGTTCCTTGTCCGCAGCAACGTCGAGTTCATTGTCGTCTAAAAGCTGTTCATATTTCTTACTCGTTGTATCTTTCATTTCTACCAACGTGTTCTCTCTTCTCTCCTTTCCCTTTATAAATTATCCCTGTTAACCGACAATTATTTAATTCTACAATAGAGATTTATTTGTCCGGTTTACTTAAAGTAAAATTCGTACTCTAGCAGATTTTCTGTGTTGTCTGTTTTAAATAGACACACGGACTATTGTCCCTCGATCCAGTTTAATAATTTCAAAAAATGGAAACACATAGTCATGGTCCGAATGAGTACCTGTCGAAACACGCAAGTGATTAAATGCACATGGTTCTGTGTATATGTATGTACAGTAGAATTCCGATTATCCGGGACACACAGGGACTGGTGCAATGCCGGATAATTGGACTATATGTATCTATACCTACACTACGAAGTGATCAAAACGAGGAATAGAATTTAAAACACAACCATGGGTAATATAGTAATGCCATTTATTAATAACAAAAAAAAATATATAAAATTCCTTCGCTTTATTCGTGAACAGTTCAGTATCGACGTCACTGCTGGGGATGCATGCTGCTATGACTTGTTTCTTTCCGTGAAATAGTACGATCCGTAACACGTTTACGGAATAATAGTCGAGGTAAATATGCCGGTTATTCGGAAATTCCAGATAACCGGTTAATAGCCGGATAATCGGAACTCTACTGTTGTACCGTCTTCCGGCGATTTCCAAGTCACGCCAAGGTCAAACGAAGGAACGAGTGCCTAATGTTCTCTCAGAATCGAATATTTTCCAATATACTACAAAGGAAATAAATAATATTCCCGATAAAACTCTTCATAATAACGCACGCATTTACCATTAACCTACTTTCGAGTTAAACAAAAGATGGTTTTATCGATTTTCCAAAGAAACGAGGTTGACAGTACCCATGCATCTATCTTAATGCTCATCCTATATGTAATTTACTAACGCAATGTGAATTGCAAATGTATAAACATTGATCAGTCCACTGAAGAACCGTGTATCTATTTGGAAATAAACTTAACGAAAATTAATCATACAAAAATCCACCTATCGTAATGCAATCAAAAAGGTTCACAGGTAAGTACGCGTTCTCGTTAGTTTGAATCAAAAAATGTTTCTTCGGTAATTAAATACAAGTGCACATAGATCTTTATATTTTCTATAATACGGATAAACGTCTAAATAAATGGAGAATTTTCGAGAAGAATATCCTACCCTTAAAAATGGTGTAACCTTACTAATATCCGAGGCACGTAAAGAGACCGAGCCCTGACATGCTGCCACATGAAATGCGCACGACAAACTGTTCGCGAGTCGTGTATTTTCTGCGATTATAGTCGTCTCGAAAGTACGTTTCGGAACAATTAAGTAGCTTAGTGTTTGTCGAGGATTACGTATCCACTCGTATAAAAAAAACAAACAAAAAAATAAGACTACAAACGCGATGGTCGCTGGAGTTGTAACTCTATCGAGTGACAAGAAACGACAGTGTAGCAAGCAGCGCTGTTCGTACCGTACTAGTAGCTATGTAGGTACATACATATGTAAGTACTTGCTAGTACTGATCTGGGAAAGCAACTATGGAGTGTACTGCTTTCGTGACACGCTTGTGTATATATGCGTATGCACATATACCACGTTATTCTTCGACTGTGCATTACAAGTGGAGCAGCTGTGTCCGTCCATCCAGCGTACGACGACCTTAAGCTGCTACACTTGCAAATTCACACATCGTAACGTGTCGAGATTCGAAAAAAATTGATTCAATAATACGTTGATTCATAGAAAAATTAAAATATTTATGATCTAACATAATCCGTGAACAAATTGAAAAATCGATATGTCTACATGCACACTGAACAAAGTCGATCTGTAGCAAGAACATCGAACAAAAGTGTTTTTAGCATATATTTTTTAAATTAACAAACAAAGATGCATGCAAGCGAGAAAATAGAATCATCACCAATTATTCAATTTTTCGATTCGACAAACATACTGATGATGCAGCCCTGTTCAATTGAACGACATTTACAGTTCATTGACATTACTTTATTCTATAGTTTTGTGAAACAAAGAGGCAACAATGCACAAATTAAATTTACTTTATTATACAGGGTGTTCGGCCACCCATGGAAAAAATTTTAATGGAAGATCCTAGAGGCCAAAATAAAACGAAAATCTAAATCTAGATCTAAATTACCGAGTACTCTATTGTTGCATTAAACTTGTCTAGAAACATTGTCCCATTCCTGCCAGAATACACCGCCATCATCCCCTCTTGACACTGCAACACATATTCCTAGTTTCTACATTTCTTTGAGCAAATACATGGCTTCACATCACGTAAAACGTAATACACATTAACTGGAGACTGTATGTACGTCAGTCTAATTAATAAACAGTGTCTAAAGCTTATTATTATTATTATTATAACAACTACGTAGTTCACTGGATATCTATATACATATGTAAAGACGACATCTACCACAACACGCCCAAGTTTGTCGAGAAATAATTCACCCCTTTGCCCACCAGACGGCGTCCCAATTATTTACGATCGAAAACTAATTTTCATTTATTTATTCATGAAACAATAGAGTGCTCTGTAATTTAGATCACATATAAATGCTTCACAATTAACGCCAAAGGCCCAAACTTGTCTAGAAACAGTCCTATTCCTGTCAAAACATACCGCCATCATCCCCTCTTGCAATGATGCCAGAAAAGCACCGTCGGGTGCACACTCCCGCATGCCAGATACGCGTACGTGAGCTCGTGGAGTTTCGGAAAGACGACAAAGGCAAACAGACGCATGCCCACTTTCTCGATTCTCCGAAGCTGCCCGAAGTAGTTTCGGACCGCTTCGTGGAAGTCGAGAGAGAAAGGCTCACATTTGCCTTCTCGCTCCCACACAACTGAAATCCGATCTCCCGTCAACGGCATACGATATGGATTCTCGACTGCCCAGGCATTTTTACTTTCCGACCTATGTAGGCGCACATAAGCAAAGTACCCATAATGAAAAAAAAATTTTGTAAAATTTATTTTACGGAAATATACGTTTTAAGACCTCCTGATCATATTTTAATTATTGAAAAAAAAGAAATTTTTTTTTATTCCCATGTATGAGCACACGTATGTATATTATTAATACGATTTTTGAAAATAAATAAAGTAAAACTTATCTCATTGAAATTTTTCTCTAGAAGTTGAGCTGATGAATACCTAGAAAAAAGTATTAGACAACATTTAATTTTGATTTAGATTAAAAATCAAATTTATATTGTTTTAAATTCGCAGCCATTAGCTCGGTGTTACCCATAATGAAGAAGTTGTTCTTCAAAGGTAACACCGATTACCAGGTCTCACCACGAGGAGGTTGCTGCGAGTGGAGACCCAAAGTGAGACCGATGGAACAAAATTCGATCAATCTTCCTTTTTACAGACTTAGAAACTAGATTACGCAAAAAAAAAGATGCCAAGTAATTACTGTTCTAAAACAAAGGAGGAAGGTAAATTGTGGGAGACGCGACACGACGAAACGCGACACAATACTGCACAGTGCAGTAGGAACATGAGGTGCGACACGTACCGAATAGCGGGTCAAAAGGGGCAGCTCGTTACCTCTTAGCAAGTCCAATTGAAGGGGAGGAGAATCGACGCACCAGACACGGGTTCCCCATTTCTCCAACGCGTCCTGCTGGGAGCCCGTAGGACCCAACCCGGGACGTCTGACAAAGGAGAGAGATCCTGAATCGGGGCTACCGCAGACAGGAACAGGTCCCCTCTACGGCCGATGACTCTTTCCCTAGAATTGTCTCACCAGAGGACGGCAACCGACCCTTCGAACCATCTAAACGGCCGATCACTTGCTTTCTACATTAAAGCAGCGGTGACCGGAGAAACGAGACTGGAAAAGAAGCTATTAATTCATTCATTACTTGGCAATCTACGCATTAAATAAAATAATATACAATGTAAACTGAAAATTAACGTCGTAGGTGGAATTGAGAATTAATGTGAATTAATGAAACATAGGAAATCTGGGAAAAAGAAACAAGGAAAAAGAAAAATTCGACGTTAATTTTTACATTCGCGCCGCGCCTTAAAATTAATCGCTTACGTTTAACGATGAATCCGACGTCATCTGTTGGCGACCTAGAAATTGACCTGCATAAAAACTAACGTAAAAATTAATAGTTACATATTAATAATACATGTAAAAAAATATAACCTAAATAAGAAATGAAAATCAAAACCAAAACCTAATTGATTGAAGGAATGAATTGACCAACCCAACGCAGTAAGATAAACAAACGAATTAATAGGAAAAAAACAAACCAACGATGTGCAATAATAGATTAATTTGGAAAGGAACAACCCAACGAAGCGCAAGACGAATAACAAAATAATTGGAAAAATATCAAACCAACGATGTATAGATAAAACCTGAAAGGAAAATAATTGAATAAATTAGTGGAACGAACAACCCAAATATTACATCACCTATATATATATAAATGAAAAAGACAATATTGGGATTAGTTATATTAATATTGGTTATGCGTATACCAAACGGTGATCCTTCCTGGTCAGCATCGCAGAATCAGAGAATCTGAAACAGAAAGAAAAACGCGTGACAGTACCCCCGGCGGTTCCAGGAGTACTGAAAAGAGTTGCCCAGCTGTGTCCACTTTTATGCAGTCAAGCCAAAGAATCAACGAGCCAATCAGCAGCCAGTCAGCAGCCTTCCGGCTTCAAGAAATTCTATAAAAACCGTGCCCCCTGGCGCACCCGCGGCAGATATCCCTCAACCACCAAGCAAGACGGACCGTATCGAGATGAAGAATTTAATTGAAGATTTCCATTCAATCAAAATCGAAGATGGCGGCCAAGGGACAAACCGGTCTTTTTAAAGACCAAGAAAACCTCATATTTGGGAACAACACCAAAACTGAACACCAAAACTGAACAAGTTTTATATTTAACAACTCAGAGACACTTTACATCTCTGTTTTGTAACAAGTTTTATATTTAACAATTCAGAGACACTTTACATCACTGTTTTGTAACAACTTTTATATTTAACAACTCAGAGACACTTTACATCTCTGTTTTGTAACCACTTTTATATTTAACAATTCACAGACACTTTACATCTCTGTTTTGTAACAACTTTTATATTTAACAACTCAGAGACACTTTACATCTCTGTTATGGAACAAGTTATGCAATAAACCTGAACATGGTATATTTGCCTATACGTATAGGAAGGAAATTCGTCGTTAGTATTGTCGCCCGTCAATGCACTTAATTATGCAAGATCAGTATACTATCTAATTTTATTTTTTATTATACCGGTTTGTAATATCGTAAAGATCAATGCAAAAACATTATGCACAGCTCTTGTATTTCTTTGATTTATCCAAGTAGTCAAAGTATAATATTTAACAAACTTTTGATTCAAATAAAATAACGAATAACACACAATTTGACTACCTGTTACATGCAACCTATGTATAAATGCATAATAACTAATATTGATATACGCATAACGAACTTAGTTTGTGATATGAAACATTAAGAAAAGTGTAAATTAATAAATAGGTTTCAAAATGGGTATTCCAGGTTTAACAACTTTCATAAACAATCGTTCAGATCGTTATTTGGAATATTTCGAGCTACGTGATATGTATTTAGTTATTTAGCTGTCAAATATATAATTCGTACAAGTGCAATTGTGTTTTTGGCGGTGATTACGATAAATACGCTCAACGAGTATCGGATTTTTTTGACGATTTGTTAAAGTTATTCGAAGCTGATAATGCTATAGCTACTGTAGCAAGGATATTGAATTGTCCTCTATGGAGTTATGATTCAGACTTTTATGTGTTTGGGGCATTGCACATATCATTTGATACATTGGACAATTACACGGTGAAAAGTTCAACTGGAAATGGTTACACGAAACGTTGTAAAATTTATAAAGTTGAACACTTATTAAATTCTTATAGAGGTTTAAGTCAATCTACACTGCCATTAGCTGCAATATTACTAGGCAATGATTATGTAAAACGTGGTACATTTAGAAACCTCTTTCGTTATTTAAAGATACGACGAATAACAAGAAAAAGGTATAGTAATCGTCAGTATTGTATAGAAGCAACTTTACAATGGTTGAGCGGATTCTACACCTTGGACAAAGCACTCATTGGAATACTATGTAGATCACCTAAAACCGTAAGACAAAAAATGGCTAAACAAATGCATCTACAGAAATACTTGCTTACTTCCATTGGGGTTTTCACAGGAATATGCAGCTCGTGCCACAACACATTCTAATGTACATAGAAGAAACTGATAAAAATGGAGACTTTGAATCAGCAGAAGAAGAAGAAGAAGAGGAAGAGAACGAAGTTGAAATGTTAGACATGCTTAAAGGGGTCAGAATCTGCTACCACTAATGCACTAGCTAATGTACCTAATTTGTTTGTAGATGAATTTCTTACGGGCAATTATCCTGCATATTTTATGGACTTGTTGGTTCGACGTTTATATATTTGTCCTGTACAAATAGAGGATTATTCCTATCCATTGAGCAATGTAATAAGTTTAAAAATTATTAGAGTTATATATGCATTTCTGCAATCAGGAATTAATAGAAGGAGAGGTTTCATGAAATACATGATGAGAGACTGTAATAAAAAGCTTAAATGTTACGAACAAGAAGGCACTGACACTAAATTTTCTTCCCCATTACTGTCCCTATCTAATCTTAGAGAAGTACCATTAACGAGTCCAGGATTAAAAAATAATGTACAAACATGCGTCATTGATTTTTCATTACCATTTGAATTTAAATTCAAGTTATATAGACACAAATATATAAGCAAAGCCCATATTGAATGAAAAATTGACACGTAAATACACGTTTCAAGACCCCCTGATCATGTTTGACATAAAACAATACTTTGGAAATAAATCGTTTGAATATAGTTTATCAAGTAAGACTTTCGAAATTATTTTCAAACGATTTATTTTCTAATTGTTCTACTATTTCAAATAATAATTTTTTGATCTTATAGCAAAGAACGTTTACTTAATATCAATTCAATAAATTCAATTTGTATTTGTATATTTTTCGCCTCTATAGGCAAAAATATACCATGTTCAATTTTATTACATAAGTTGTTCCAAAACAGAGATGTAAAAAGTCTCCGAGTTGTTAAATATAAAAGTTGTTCCAAAACAGAGATGTAAAGTCTCTGAGTTGTTAAATAGAAAACTTGTTCCAAAACAGAGATGTAAAAAGTCTCTGAGTTGTTAAATATAAAAGTTGTTCAGTTTAGTGGTTCCCACAAATGAGATTTTCTTGGTCTTTAAAAAGACCGGTTTTGTCCTTTGGCCGCTGCTCGTGAACCATCATCTTTGGCCATCTTCGATTTTGATTGAATGGAAATCTTCAATTAAATTCTTCATCTCGATACGGTCCGTCTTGCTTGGTGGTTGGGAGATAACTCGCCGATGAACGCCTCAGGGGGCTCTTATATACTAGGAGCCCGGACGCTCACGAGAGACCGAGCGACATCTGTGCAATTTTGATACACGAATTATTCACGAATTGTCCCCATACAAAAAGTTAAAGAATCATTATTTAAATAATGGAATACTTATACGTATATATAAAGCATTTCTACATATTCTCCATCGAAATACGCGTTGTTTGCAACTTGAAACATTAAGATCCTTCAATCCGTTCAAAAGTTCTAAATTTTTAAACATACGCATGAAATTTCAAACGAATATTTCTGCATCTTTAAAATATTATAACTTCTGAACGGATTGAAGGATCTTAATGTTTCAAGTTGCAAACAACGCGTATTTTGATGGAGAATATGTAGAAATTGAATATTGAACATCTCTGTTATGGAACAACTTTTATATTTAACAATTCACAGACACTTTACATCTCTGTTTTGTAACCACTTTTATATTTAACAACTCAGAGACACTTTACATCTCTGTTTTGTAACCACTTTTATATTTAACAATTCACAGACACTTTACATCTCGGTTATGGCACAAGTTATGCAGTAAAACTGAACGTGGTATACATATTTGCCTATATGTATAGGAAGGAAATTCGTCGTTAGTATTGTCGCCCGTCACTGCTCTTAATTATGCAAGATCAGTATATTATCTAATTTTATTTTTTATTATACCGGTTTGCAATATCGTAAAGATCAATGCAAAAACATTATGCACGGCACTTGTATTTCTTTGATTTATCCAAGTAGTCAAAGTATAATATTTAACAAACTTTTGATTCAAATAAAACAACGAAAGACACAAAATTTGTGTAAGTACCTGTTACATGCTACCTATGTATAAATGCATAATAACTAATATTGATATGCGCATAACGAATTTAGTTTGTGATATGAAACATTAAGAAAAGTGTAAATTAATAAATAGGTTTCAAAATGGGTATTCCAGGTTTAACAACTTTCATAAACAATCGTTCAGATCGTTATTTGGAATATTTCGAGCTACGTGATACGTATTTAGTTATTTAGCTGTCAAATATATATTTCGTACAAGTGCAATTGTGTTTTTGGCGGTGATTACGATAAATATGCTCAACGAGTATCGGATTTTTTTGACGATTCGATAAAGTGCAATGTAGTACCATTAGTTTTGATTAAATAAAATTAGATAGTATACTGATCTTGCATAATTAAGTGCATTGTCGGGCGACAATACTAACGACGAATTTCCTTCCTATACATATAGGCAAATATGTATACCATGTTCAGTTTTATTGCATAACTTGTGCCATAACAGAGATGTAAAGTGTCTGTGAATTGTTAAATATAAAAGTGGTTACAAAACAGAGATGTAAAGTGTCTGTGAATTGTTAAATATAAAAGTGGTTACAAAACAGAGATGTAAAGTGTCTGTGAATTGTTAAATATAAAAGTTGTTCCATAACAGAGATGTTCAATATTCAATTTCTACATATTCTCCATCAAAATACGCGTTGTTTGCAACTTGAAACATTAAGATCCTTCAATCCGTTCAGAAGTTATAATATTTTAAAGATGCAGAAATATTCGTTTGAAATTTCATGCGTATGTTTAAAAATTTAGAACTTTTGAACGGATTGAAGGATCTTAATGTTTCAAGTTGCAAACAACGCGTATTTCGATGGAGAATATGTAGAAATGCTTTATATATACGTATAAGTATTCCATTATTTAAATAATGATTCTTTAACTTTTTGTATGGGGACAATTCGTGAATAATTCGTGTATCAAAATTGCACAGATGTCGCTCGGTCTCTCGTGAGCGTCCGGGCTCCTAGTATATAAGAGCCCCCTGAGGCGTTCATCGGCGAGTTATCTCCCAACCACCAAGCAAGACGGACCGTATCGAGATGAAGAATTTAATTGAAGATTTCCATTCAATCAAAATCGAAGATGGCCAAAGATGATGGTTCACGAGCAGCGGCCAAAGGACAAAACCGGTCTTTTTAAAGACCAAGAAAATCTCATTTGTGGGAACCACTAAACTGAACAACTTTTATATTTAACAACTCAGAGACTTTTTACATCTCTGTTTTGGAACAACTTTTCTATTTAACAACTCGGAGACTTTTTACATCTCTCTTTTGGAACAACTTATGTAATAAAACTGAACATGGTATATTTTTGCCTATATAGGCGAAACATATACAAATACAAATTGAATTTATTGAATTGATATTAAGTAAACGTTCTTTGCTATAAGATCAAAAAATTATTATTTGAAATAGTAGAACAATTAGAAAATAAATTGTTTGAAAATAATTTCGAAAGTCTTACTTGATAAACTATATTCAAACGATTTATTTCCAAAGTATTGTTTTATGTCAAACATGATCAGGGGGTCTTGAAACGTGTATTTACGTGTCAATTTT